TTTTCACGCTACAGGTTGTTCAAAATTAACAGATTTTGTATAGATTATGCATGGAAAATCCAATTTTCTGCCATAAAACGAAAACTACACCATAGAATTTTGAGATAAAATATGAGAAGATAGCTTTAATAGTATGCTTTCAGATAAGAAGAAGAAAAAATGGGGTCACCGGACCCGTTTTCTTGCTACATAATAAAATAGGTAAATTCCTAACACATTCTATTGTAAAAGTACCTTTATCTGAATTATCTGCCCTTACATTTGAGTTGCCTCCCCTTATGTGGCAAAGTTGGACAAAATTGAATCAAACAAAAGTTTTCTGTTTTTTTGTAAAATACAACCATAAATATGATAAAACACGTCATTTTTATACGACCGCAAAAATTAAAAATTTTTTGGTCGTATATTGGTATGACGTTGGCGTTGTCGTCGTCCGGCGGCGTCGTCGTCGTCGTCGTCGTCGTCCGGCGTCGTCCAGCGTCGTCCGAAGACACATTGGTTTTCGCACTCTAACTTTAGTTTAAGTGAATGGATCTCCATGAAATTTTACCATAAGGTTCAATACCACGAAAGGAAGGTTGGGATTGATTTTGGGGGTTATGGTACCAACAGTTAAGGATTTAGGGGCCAAAAAGGGGCCAAAAATAAGCATTTTTGTAACTTCCAGACAATAACTTGTGTGTAAGTGTATGGATCTCTCTGACATTGTACCACAAGGTTCCATATCACAAAGGGAAGGCTGTAATTGATTTTGGGGGTAATTGCCTCAAAATTTTAGGAATTAGGGGCCAAAAAAGGGGCAAAAAACAAGCATTTTTCTATTTTCATGACAATAACTTGTGTGTAAGTAATTGGATATTTCTGAAATTGTACTACAAGGTTCCATATCACAAAGGGAAAGCTGGAATTGAGTTTGGGGGTAATTGCCTGAAACATTTAGGATTTGGGGGCCAAAAAGGGGCCAAAAATAAGCATTTTTCTAGTTTCCAGACAATAACTTGTGTTCAAGTGTATGGATCTCTCTGAAATTGTACTGCAAGGTACCATACCACAAAGGGAAGGCTGAGATTGAGTTTGGGGGAAATGAATCATAAGGGGGTTCAAAAAATTTGGGGGGGGGGGGGTTTATTCTTTTATTTTTCTTTTTTTCCTTTTTTTTTTCTTTTAAAATTTTCCATTTTAAGTTGGTTATTTCTGATTTATATTTAAAAGCAAATAATAATGATATGGTAGGAGATACACACCAAACAGGATGTGTAAATTATTATATAATAAGTATTGTGCAATAGCAAGAAATTTTCAATTGCACAGTATTGCACAATAGCAAGAAATCTTCAATTGCACAGTATTGCGCAATAGCAAGAAATCTTCAATTGCACAGTATTGCGCAATAGCAAGAAATATCCAATAGCACAATATTGCGCAATAGCAAGAAATTGTCAATTGTACAGTATTGCGCAATAGCAAGAAATATTCAATTGCACAGTATTGTGCAAAAGAAGATACTTCGTATAAATTGCTTATTTCTTGATCAATTTCAATGGGGTTTTATTCTTGAATTCTTGGGGTTCTTTAATATGCTGAATCTAACCGTGTATTAAGTTTTTGGATTTTGGGCCCCGTTTTTAAATTGGTCCACATTGAGGTCCAAAGGGTCCAAAATTTAACTTTGTTTGATTTCATCAAAAATTGAATTATTGGGGTTCTTTGATATGCCGAATCTAACTGTGTATTTAGATTCTTAATTTTTGGTTCTGTTTTCAAATTGGTCTACATAAAGGTCCAAAGGGTCCAAAATTAAACTTAGTTTGATTTCAACAAAAATTGAATATATGGGGTTCTTTGATATGCTGAATCTAACCATGTATTTAGATTTTTGATTATGGGCCCAGTTTTCAAGTTGGTCCAAATAGGGGTCCAAAATTAAACTTTGTTTGATTTCAACAAAAATTGAATATATGGGGTTCTTTGATATGGTGAATCTAACCATGTATTTAGATTTTTTATTATGGGCCCCGTTATCATTTTTGTCCACATTGAGATCAAAAGGGTCCAAAATTAAACTTTGTTTGATTTCATCAAAAATTGAATTTTTGGGGTTCTTTGATATGCTGAATCTAACCATGTATTTAGATTTTGGATATTGGACCATAATAGGTGAATGTCCAATTTAAAATTTTTAAGTTCTTAGACCACATTCATTTTGTGTCAGAAACCTATGCTGTGTCAAATATTTAATCACAATCCAAATTCAGAGCTGTATCAAGCTTGAATGTTGTGTCCATACTTGCCCCAACAGTTTAGGGTTCGACCTCTGCGGTCGTATCAAGCTGCGCCCTGCGGAGCATTTTATCTACATTGAAATGAAAATTCTTACACATGAATTACCTACTACTCTCAAAATTTGCACATTCTATTAAAGATCTAGACCGATTGTTTTCAGGTATTACAAAATCCAAGATGGAGGAAGACACCCTATCTACCTTAAGCTGGTTATTTCTGATTAATATTTAAAAGCAAATAATAATGATATGGTAGGAGATACACACCAAACAGGATGTGTAAATTATTATATAATAAGTATTGTGCAATAGCAAGAAATTTTCAATTGCACAGTATTGCACAATTGCAAGAAATCTTCAATTGCACAGTATTGCGCAATAGCAAGAAATCTTCAATTGCACAGTATTGCGCAATAGCAAGAAATATCCAATAGCACAATATTGCGCAATAGCAAGAAATTGTCAATTGTACAGTATTGCACAATAGCAAGAAATATTCAATTGCACAGTATTGTGCAAAAGAAGATACTTCGTATAAATTGCTTATTTCTTGATCAATTTCAATGGGGTTTTATTCTTGAATTCTTGGGGTTCTTTAATATGCTGAATCTAACCGTGTATTAAGTTTTTGGATTTTGGGCCCCGTTTTTAAATTGGTCCACATTGAGGTCCAAAGGGTCAAAAATTTAACTTTGTTTGATTTCATCAAAAATTGAATTATTGGGGTTCTTTGATATGCCGAATCTAACCGTGTATTTAGATTCTTAATATTTGGTTCCGTTTTCAAATTGGTCTACATTAAGGTCAAAAGGGTCCAAAATTAAACTTAGTTTGATTTTAACAAAAATTGAAGTTTTAGGGTACTTTGATATGCTGAATCTAAACATGTATTTAGATTATTGATTATGGGCCCAGTTTTCAAGTTGGTCCAAATCGGGGTCCAAAATTAAACTTTGTTTGATTTCAACAAAAATTGAATATATGGGGTTCTTTGATATGCTGAATCTAACCATGTATTTAGATTTTTGATTTTTGGGCCCCGTTATCAACTTTGTCCACATTGAGGTCAAAAGGGTCCAAAATTAAACTTTGTTTGATTTCATCAAAAATTGAATTCTTGGGGTTCTTTGATATGCTGAATCTAATTATGTATGTAGATTTTTTATTTGTGGACCCGCTATCAAATTGGTTCATATTGAGGTCAAAAGGGTCCAAAATTAAACTTTGTTTGATTTCATCAAAAATTGAATTATTGGGGTTCTTTGATATGCCAAATCTAACCGTGTATTTAGATTTTTAATTTTGGGTCCTGTTTTTTTAATTGGTCCAACAGTTTGGTTTGACGTTGGCGTCGTCGTCGTCGTCGTCGTCGTCGTCTTCGTCGTCCGGCGTCGTCCGAAGACACATTGGTTTTCGCACTCTAACTTTAGTTTAAGTGAATGGATCTCTATGAAATTTTACCACAAGGTTCAATACCACAAAAGGAAGGTTGGGATTGATTTTGGGGGTTATGGTAATAACAGTAAAGGAATTAGGGGCCAAAAAGGGGCCAAAAATAAGCATTTTTGTAACTTCCAGACATAACTTGTGTGTTAGTGTATGGATCTCTCTGACATTGTACCACAAGGTTCCATATCACTAAAGGAATGCTGGGATTGATTTTGGGGGTAATTGCCTCCAAATTTTAAGAATAAGGGGCCAAAAAAGGGGCAAAAAACAAGCATTTTTCTAGTTTCATGACAATAACTTGTGTGTAAGTGTATGGATCTTTCTGAAATTGTACTACAAGGTTCCATATCACAAAGGGAAAGCTGGGTTTGAGTTTGGGGGTAATTGCCCTAAACGTTTAGGAATTTGGGGCCAAAAAGGGGCCAAAAAACACATTTTTTTCTTGTTTCCAGACAATAACTTGTGTTAAAGTGTATGGATCTCTCTGAAATTGTACTGCAAGGTACCATACCACAAAGGGAAGGCTGGGATTGAGTTTGGGGGTGATGAATCATAATGGGGGGGGGGTTCAAAAAATTTGGGGGGGGGGGGATTTATTTTTTTTTCCTTTTTTTTCTATTTTTCCTTTTTTGTTTCTTTTAAAATTTTCCATTTTAAGTTGGTTATTTCTGATTTATATTTAAAATCAAATAATAATGATATGGTAGGAGATACACACCAAACAGGATGTGTAAATTATTATATAATAAGTATTGTGCAATAGCAAGAAATTTTCAATTGCACAGTATTGCACAATAGCAAGAAATCTTCAATTGCACAGTATTGCGCAATAGCAAGAAATCTTCAATTGCACAGTATTGCGCAATAGCAAGAAATATCCAATAGCACAATATTGCGCAATAGCAAGAAATTGTCAATTGTACAGTATTGCGCAATAGCAAGAAATATTTAATAGCACAGGATTGTGCAAAAGAAGATACTTCCTATAAATTGCTTATTTCTTGACCAATTTCAATGGGGTTTTATTCTTGATTTCATGGGGTTCTTTAATATGCTGAATCTAACCGTGTATTTAGTTTTTGGATTTTGGGCCCCGTTTTTAAATTGGTCCACATTGAGGTCCAAAGGGTCCAAAATTAAACTTTGTTTGATTTCATCAAAAATTGAATTATTGGGGTTCTTTGATATGCCGAATCTAACCGTGTATTTAGATTCTTAAATTTTGGTTCCGTTTTCAAATTGGTCTACATTAAGGTCCAAAGGGTCCAAAATTAAACTTAGTTTGATTTTAACAAAAATTGAATTCTGAGGGTTCTTTGATATGCTGAATCTAAACATGTATTTAGATTTTTGATTATGGGCCCAGTTTTCAAGTTGGTCCAAATCGGGGTCCAAAATTAAACTTTGTTTGATTTCAACAAAAATTGAATATATGGGGTTCTTTGATATACTGAATCTAACCATGTATTTCGATTTTTGATTTTTGGGCCCCGTTGTCAACTTTGTCCACATTGAGGTCAAAAGGGTCCAAAATTAAACTTTGTTTGATTTCATCAAAAATTGAATTATTGGGGTTCTTTGATATGCCGAATCTAACCGTGTATTTAGATTCTTAATTTTTGGTTCCGTTTTCAAATTGGTCTACATTAAGGTCCAAAGGGTCCAAAATTAAACTTAGTTTGATTTTAACAAAAATTGAATTTTTGGGGTTCTTTGATATGCTGAATCTACACATGTGTTTAGATTTTTGATTATGGGACCAGTTTTCAAGTTTGTCCAAGTTGGGGTCCAAAATTAAACTTTGTTTGATTTCAACAAAAATTGAATATATGGGGTTCTTTGATATGCTGAATCTAAACATGTATTTAGATTTTAGATTTTTGGCCCAGTTTTCAGGTTGGTCCAAATTGGGGTCCAAAATTAAACTTTGTTTGATTTCAACAAAAATTGAATATATGGGGTTCTTTGATATGCTGAATCTGACCATGTATTTAGATTTTTTATTTTGTGGGCCCGCTATCAAATTGGTTCATATTGAGGTCAAAAGGGTCCAAAATTAAACTTAGTTTGATTTTAACAAAAATTTAATTCTTGGGGTACTTTGATATGCTGAATCTAAACATGTGTTTAGATTTTTGATTATGGGACCAGTTTTCAAGTTTGTCCAAGTTGGGGTCCAAAATTAAACTTTGTTTGATTTCAACAAAAATTGAATATATGGGGTTCTTTGATATGCTGAATCTAACCATGTATTTTGATTTTGGACATTGGACCATAATAGGTAAATTAAAAAAATTGAAGTTCTTAGACCACATTCTTTCTGTGTCAGAAACCTATGCTGTGTCAAATATTTAATCACAATCCAAATTCAGAGCTGTATCAAGCTTGAATGTTGTGTCCATACTTGCCCCAACTGTTCAGGGTTCGACCTCTGCGGTCGTATCAAGCTGCGCCCAGCGAAGCATTTTATTAAAATTGGGAGTTATCTTCCTTTGTCCATGATTATAGTTGAATCAACTACAATCAATGCTTTATACAATGCAATGTTTAATTTTGACTTCCGCTGATAAAACACAGATCAAGTTGAATTTGGGTAGTGTTATTTTAACCATTATTGAGTAATGCCCCTTTATAAATCGAAAGATTGCAAAGTTTTTAGTTTCCATTCTGTAACTTAAGTTTGCCCCAACCAAACATTATGAAACCTATACACAATATTCATTACCACAAAACTAAGATCAAGTACAAATTTTTTGTTTCCGTTTTCTAACTTTAGTTTGCCTCAACCAAATGTTATGAAACTTATACACAATGCTTATTACAGTCGATTCCGGTTATTTGCATAGCCTATTTGTCAGACAAAATTATGCAATAAAGCGGAGTATGCTTATATCCGAAATGCCAAATTACGGAGTCATATATAACATCGATAGAACAGATCAGTAAAGGTCAGGAAATCCCTGAAGAAAGATGAACGTCTATAATCTACTTACAACATATTGAATGTTGATTTATTCTAATAAAAGTTATATGTCTAGTGTCATACATGTTATTTTATTTTGTATTCTTTCAATAAAGATTATAAACACATTTTGTTTTAGTTTATTTGCGTACCGAAGTTTCCTTTACCTGGGATACGAAAATAAAACAAATTGTTCTAAAAATAGATTTATTTCTATGACCCGTATGTACAATGTACAGGATTACGCCTTGATTAAAATAAATTGTTTAACAATACTACACAGTTTATAATCAGATGTGTAATGAACTGCCTTTGATATGCAGTATTTACAGCTTGCACAGTGATGTAACACTGTTTATTTAACCTCGTTAGTTTCGTATATGCAAAGCAGTAATGGGGCCCTGTACGGGTTATTTGCTGGACACGAGTGTTGAAAGTGAGAAAATATAATAATTAGAAGTAAATGCTCTTTTCATAAAATATCAAAAATAAATGATTGATGTATAAAATTCTTTAACCATATATAAATGCCCTGTAATATTTAACATAAATGCAGTTCACCCCAAGCCCAATTACGAGAGTTCACATTGGATAATGATCGATAATTAGCAGGCGTTATTGTTTTTAAAATTCACCCAAATGTAATCTATGGACAATGTTTGAAATCCAATCAATTATTAACACCTTTTGCGATCGAATGGTCAGTGTTTTTACAACAATTACCTGTTTGACATTTTTATGACCTCGAGGCTTAAAATAGAACATGGGAAACTTTACCTGTGTAGACATCGAGGTTTATTTTTAAATCAAATTCCATCATAAAAACACGAAAGAAACTGTTTTAAAACTTTATTTAAATAACACAAAAGTAAATATGAAATAATAACGAAAATGATGATGCATTCAAGAAAAATATATTCACCAAATTGCCGTTTCCGGTAAAAAATCTCGTCAGTTTTAACTAAGCATATCTAGATGGCAAATATTTTCTATGCAATAAACCGAAAGGCCACTTGTGGAGCTATGCATATAACCGGACAATTTACCATTAGATGAATGGGGAATGGTTTTGTGCAGGAGAAAACTATGCAATTAACCGAATTATGCTATTAAGCGGTATGCAATTAAGTGGAGTCGACTGTACTACATAATACAGATTAAGTACGAAATTTGGTGGCGACACTTTTACCATTCTTGAGTTATGTCCCTTTGTAAACATAAAAATTGCTGAATTTTTTAGTTTGTCTCAACCAAATGTTATAAAACTTATACACAACCGTTCTAGAGTTATGCGTGTTTACAAATAAAAAAATTGCTGAATTTTTATACGACCGCAAAAATTAAAAATTTTTTGGTCGTATATTGGTATGACGTTGGCGTCGTCGTCGTCCGGCGTCGTCGTCGTCGTCGTCGTCGTCGTCGTCGTCCGGCGTCGTCCGAAGACACATTGGTTTTCGCACTCTAACTTTAGTTTAAGTGAATGGATCTCCATGAAATTTTACCATAAGGTTCAATACCACGAAAGGAAGGTTGGGATTGATTTTGGGGGTTATGGTACCAACAGTTAAGGAATTAGGGGCCAAAAAGGGGCCAAAAATGAGCATTTTTGTAACTTCCAGACAATAACTTGTGTGTAAGTGTATGGATCTCTCTGACATTGTACCACAAGGTTCCATATCACAAAGGAAAGGCTGTAATTGATTTTGGGGGTAATTGCCTCAAAATTTTAGGAATTAGGGGCCAAAAAAGGGGCAAAAAACAAGCATTTTTCTAGTTTCATGACAATAACTTGTGTGTAAGTGTTTGGATATTTCTGAAATTGTACTACAAGGTTCCATATCACAAAGGGAAAGCTGGAATTGAGTTTGGGGGTAATTGCCCGAAACATTTAGGAATTGGGGGCCAAAAAGGGGCCAAAAATAAGCATTTTTCTAGTTTCCAGACAATAACTTGTGTTCAAGTGTATGGATCTCTCTGAAATTGTACTGCAAGGTACCATACCACAAAGGGAAGGCTGGGATTGAGTTTGGGGGTGATGAATCATAAGGGGTTCAAAAAATTTGGGGGGGGATTTTTTTTTTTTCTTTTTTTTTCTTTTTTTCCTTTTTTTTTTCTTTTAAAATTTTCCATTTTAAGTTGGTTATTTCTGATTAATATTTAAAAGCAAATAATAATGATATGGTAGGAGATACACACCAAACAGGATGTGTAAATTATTATCTAATAAGTATTGTGCAATAGCAAGAAATTTTCAATTGCACAGTATTGCACAATAGCAAGAAATCTTCAATTGCACAGTATTGCGCAATAGCAAGAAATCTTCAATTGCACAGTATTGCGCAATAGCAAGAAATATCCAATAGCACAATATTGCGCAATAGCAAGAAATTGTCAATTGCACAGTATTGCGCAATAGCAAGAAATATTCAATTGCACAGTAATGTGCAAAAGAAGATACTTCGTATAAATTGCTTATTTCTTGATCAATTTCAATGGGGTTTTATTCTTGAATTCTTGGGGTTCTTTAATATGCTGAATCTAACCGTGTATTAAGTTTTTGGATTTTGGGCCCCGTTTTTAAATTGGTCCACATTGAGGTCCAAAGGGTCCAAAATTTAATTTTGTTTGATTTCATCAAAAATTGAATTATTGGGGTTCTTTGATATGCCGAATCTAACCGTGTATTTAGATTCTTAATTTTTGGTTCCGTTTTCAAATTGGTCTACATTATGGTCCAAAGGGTCCAAAATTAAACTTAGTTTGATTTTAACAAAAATTTAATTTTTAGGGTTCTTTGATATGCTGAATCTAAACATGTATTTAGATTTTTGATTATGGGCCCAGTTTTCAAGTTGGTCCAAATCTGGGTCCAAAATTAAACTTTGTTTGATTTCAACAAAAATTGAATATATGGGGTTCTTTGATATGCTGAATCTAACCATGTATTTAGATTTTTGATTTTTGGGCCCTGTTATCAACTTTGTCCACATTGAGGTCAAAAGGGTCCAAAATTAAACTTTGTTTGATTTCATCAAAAATTGAATTCTTGGGGTTCTTTGATATGCTGAATCTAACCATGTATTTAGATTTTGGATATTGGACCATAATAGGTGAATGTCCAATTTAAAATTTTTAAGTTCTTAGACCACATTCATTCTGTGTCAGAAACCTATGCTGTGTCAAATATTTAATCACAATCCAAATTCAGAGCTGTATCAAGCTTGAATGTTGTGTCCATACTTGCCCCAACTGTTCAGGGTTCGACCTCTGCGGTCGTATCAAGCTGTGCCCCAGCGGAGCATTTTATTAGTTTCTGTTCTCTACTTAAGTTAGCCTCAACCAAATGTTATGAGACTTACACACAATGTTTATTACCACAAAACTCAGATCAAGTTCAAATTTGGGTAGCGTCACTTTTACCGTTCTTCAGTTATGTCCATTTATAACTATATGATATGCAAGCGGGGGCATCATCTGTGTACACTTGTGGACACTATCCACATTTATTTTTAGTATTGTGACAATAACACCTTGTGAAAGCATCTCCTCAGAGACCATTTGGCAGAAAGCTCTCATACTTGGTTCTATTATTTGCCATCAGTGCATCATATGTAGCTGACCAAATGATACAGCCATTTTGATTTGATAGCTTTTACAGGAGTTATGGGACTTTGATCATTGATCTTTTGATCACAACTCCTCTGCGACCATCAACAAGAATATAAGGAAGCTCTTATACTTGGTAGTTTTGTTTGCCATCATTTGTTGATTACCATATCAAATTGTCATTTTCATTTGACCATTTTGGCAGGAGTTATGGGACGTTGATATTTTTTGTTACTATTGTACCACAATAACACTTTGTGAACACAATTCCTCTGAGAATGTTGGACAGAGAACTCTAATACTTGGCATGATTGTTTGCTAACATGTTTTACCATATTTATTTTAACTATCATTCTACAATGTTTCATTGTGACTCACAATTAATGAATTCAGTTTCTCATTTACATATTGGCCTTGTACATTTAGCTACTGTGTAGGAATCTTATTAGTAATTGATTGGAAGAGCATGATGATGGGCATTTGATTATTAGACTTGTTTTAAATTAATTATTAATTATGTCACTTTAATTGTTATAGTGTGTTTTTGCAAGCAACAGGTATACCCATAGAGATTGCCAAAGTCTCAAAGATTTTTGAAACCCTGATACTGTATCAAACTAGTAGATGTTTATTTATCATATTTGTTTTTCAGATAAACAATGTCTTCAGATGAGGGCATGTGGGATCCCTCTGGAGAGGAAGAGGAGGACAGCCGCTGGGGATGTGCTGCTCCAAAGCTTGGTGGCAAGAAATTGGAACAATGTTTAGTTGGAAAGCAAGAAATCATGTTACCTGAAGCTTTAACTGAACAGGTGCTTACTTAATTTTGATATTATTGTACTTTTATGTACATGATGTATTTTATTCTCTTATAATTGACTACAAATTGTAAAATTTATAAAATTTAAGTTCATATAAAAAGTTTGATTCTAGTATTGAATGCATTCACCATTCTTTAAAACATTAAGAAATTAGTTTACTTTGAGTTTACATTGGTTATTGCACATCAATTTAGTAAGAAAATATGATTACTCTCATTAGTCCTCTAAATTTTAGGTAGAAGGCTAAATTTTACATTTACTATCAAGTACTTTGTGATCGGCATCAATGGTGTACAACTATCCCAACACTTAAAACATCAACAGGACCAATACAGACCGAAGTCCTTCAGGCTTCCCTAAATGTGGCGGACCGACAGAATAGTCTGACAATGCTGTCGAGTAGACAAATACATGTATTGGCAACTCACTGGTCAAAATTTCCAGTTAACAAAAAAGTGTGATCTTTTGCAGCCAAAATCATGTTAAAACATGTTTAGAAATAATTTTTCCTCTCACAATAATTGTGATTACATCTGAAATATTATACTCATAAAGTTCTAGTCTTTTCTTTGAGAAGGTAACAATTATGTGTTTATTACTAACAAGCATGGGCTTATAATAGGATACAGCATATAAAAGCTCGTTTACGGGATGTATCATGGTATACCGTTGTCCGTCCGCATGTCCGTCCGTCTTCAACATGTCAGCCAAATAACTCAAAAACAATTTAACCAATTTTCATGAAAAATTGTTTCTATCTATTGGCATAAGCTCCCTTTGGATTTTTATAAATTTTAGATTTTACGTTTCTGAGTTATGGGATTTTATTTATAAAAAAGGGGGGATTTTCCAGTTTTTGGACAATAACTCAAAAATGCTTTGAGCAGTTTACATGAAACTTTGGTGACTGGTTTATATCTAATAAAATAAGCTCCCTTTAGTTTTTTTTTATCAATTTCTGACATTGAAGAGTAATGGAAATTTATTCGTTGAAAAAGCAACGGGTGTATCATGCGCTCATGGCGCAGCTCTTTATTAAATCAGAATTGACCATTGTCTTTGCTGAAAATATAATTCAATAATGAAGAATATTTCCTGGAAACATTAATATGGTTAATAGGAGGCCTTCAGGATTATCATACTATACTGGAGTGGCAGTTTTATTGAAAAGGATTACAAAACAAAAACAAGTGCAAAATGGTGAATAAGAAACCAGATCTCAATTAAATGACAGAAATTATTTCTGTATTAAAAAAGAATTGACCTAAATCCCCATTTCGGTCAATAACCTTTCAGTTTAGGTCATGACTGGCAAATATGACAGTTTCTAGACCCTTGAGCCAGATGAATCATTGCCATCTGTCTGACAAAATGTCTGACAGCTCTTTGATGAATTATGGGAAGCCTAATCCATATTTGAATGCTTTCTCCCTATTACAATTAGACTATTAATCCTTACAGGCTAAATAAGATTTAAATGAAGATCTGCAGACATTTGATGATCTGATCTAATTTTAACTTTCTGAATAATTTTATGGTCTACTGGTATACATTGCTTAACTTACTAACTTAGTTTACATATTTATGAGAAAAAAATTCTGGGTCTTTTCAAGATCAGTAACAGAAATGTAATCCAAATGACCATTTAATAGAGACTTGTTTCATACATGAAAGAATTATATTTCAATGGTGGACTTATAAATTTCAGAAGCGCATATTTGATGAGGTAATGAGTGTTGATACATGGAAGCATGCACTGAATCCAGCACAAAGAGAATATCTAATGGTGAGTATTTAATTCTGAGTTTTTTTATACGACCGCAAAAAAATTTGCGTTCGTATATTGCAATCGTGTCGTCCTCGTCCGAAGACATTTGGTTTCCGGACAATAACTTTAGTATAAATGAATGGATCTCTATTAAATTAAACACAAAGGTTCAGTAGCACCAAAGGAAGGTTGGTATTGATTTTGGGGGTTATGGTGCCAACAGTTAAAGAATTAGGGGCCAAAAAAGGGCCAAAAATAAGCATTTTCTAGTTTCCAGACAATTAACTTGTGGAATGGTGTATGGATCTCTCTGAAATTATACCACAAGTTTCCATACCACAAAGGGATGGTTGGAATTTGCTTTGGGGGGTTATGGCTCAAACCGTTTAGGAATTTGGACAATAACTTGTGTATAAGTGTTTGGATCTCTATGAAATTGTACCACAAGTTTCATACCACAATGGGAAGGTATGGATTGATTTGGGGGATATGGCCCAAACCGTTCAGGAATTAGGAATTAGGGGGACAAGGTTTTTCTGGTTTCCTGACAAATACTTAAGTATTAGTCATTGGATCTCTATGAAATTGTACCATTGGTTCCGTACCACACACTGAAGGTTGGGGTCGATTTTGTGGGTTGTGGCTTTAATCGTTAAGAAACTAGAGGCCAAATAGGGGCCAAAAGCAAGACTTTTCTAATACTGGCTAAGCTGGTTCTAACATAAATTATTTCTGATCTATATAAAGAAACAACAAATACTGATATGGCAGGAGATACACACCAAACAGGGTGTGTAAATTATTATATTTAGATTGTAAACAGATGTACTAAGTATTGCACAACAGCAAGAAATCTTCAATTGAAAATAAATAAAAATCTTTTAACCAATTTCAATGAGGATTAATTTAAAGTCTTGAATTGTTTGAGGTTTTTACCATGCATTACTATGTTGGATATTTGGACATTTTTAAATAGGTCTACATTGAGGTCCAAAGGGTCCAAAATTAGACTTTGTTTGATTTCATCAAAAACTGAATTCTGGTGGTTCTATGACATGCTGAATCTAACTGTGCATTCAAATTTTTAATTTTGGACCCTGTTTTCAAATTAGTCCATATTAAGGTCCAAAGGGTCCAAAATTAAACTTTGTTTGAATTCATGGATTTTTTTTATATGCTGAATATAACCATGGAATTAGATTTTGGATATTGGACCATTTAGGAGATTAAATGTCCCATTTCAAATTTTTAAGTTATCTGACCACATTTATTTCTGTCAGAAATCTATAATGTATCAAATATTTAATCACTATCCAAATTCAGAGCTGTATCAAGCTTGGATATTGTGTCCATACTTACTTGCCCCAACTGTTAAAAGTTCAACCTCTGTGGTATCTAGCTGCTCCAGGCGGAGAGTATTTTGTTTTAAACATTGACAATACATATTTGTAACTGCCTTTAAAAAAAATGAGTGAAAATCCATTATTCTTAATCAGGGAAAAGTTCTTGAAATTTCTCAAGTACAGATAAGAGCTATAATTTAACCACTCTTGCTGACTCAGAACAGCTTTTCCTCTAGTGTAAATAAAAAAAAAATTGTTGGAATAAAAGACTCTTTCTGTGCCTTCACACAATATTATTGCTAGTTAGTTTTACTGGATCTGTCCAGGATAAACAACCAACATTTTGAAAGTAACTGATAAAAACATCTCATACCAGAATACTGAAAGCGCCTTGCAATTTTTTATTGGAGATGGAAGTCCTGCTTAAGTAATGATAGCAATGATACTACAAGGAATATGTCGACTAACTTCTTAGACTATTTAACCATAAGTGCCCCATCAACAGATTTCAGTATTTAAAAGTACCATCTCCCAAAACAAGTTCAGTGGTCTGTTTTGTTTGAATAAGCTAGCAAAATTTGATTAAAAGAAATTTTTGAGCAAATTACCACGTATGTATGTAACTGAGAAAAGCGCAAAATTACAATAATAGTACCAGGTTATAGATATTGAAATACATGTATGTATGTAAATTACACACCAACTTGGTCTAACTTTAATTTCCTTAACATATAATTTTTGAATATGTTATTTCAGAAATTTCTCCCATCCTTTCCTGAAAAAGACAAAGAAGAAAAAGAATTAACAGTAAAGTAAGTGTTTGAATTATAGAGTTTGAACTCAGGTTAACTCTGCAGTAGCTATTTATTAGATATAAAACTTATAAGAATGTGTTTATTTATTCATTCAGTTGTCTGCTGGTTAGTTGTAGATGTGAAGTAGTTACCAGTATGGCCAGCATGTTTGTTTGATTTGGTTGTATGGCACTTTCTTTACATTTAATTTCTGTTACAAACTTGCAATACATCCATACTTTATCCTATGATCACTTTTGTGGAGGTCTGTTCATTGATAGAGGAGGTAAAACATCTATCTTTTGCAAGTATTAAATGAAGTCACAACTTTTAAATTGTGTAGCTTAGCAATAGGATCTCTGAAATATTTTTTGTAACTGAAAATATGATTGTTGTCTAATATGATATCATTATTTCAGAAAACTATTCAGTGGAGAGAACATGAAGTTTGGAAATCCTGTACAACAATTCCACACAAAATTAAAAGGTAAACTACACGTGTCTGATTCTCTGCAGACAAAACTTTATACTGTTAATACATTAAAGGTATTTGAAATAATTTTGATTCGGTTAATATTTTTGTTGTTTTTACATTGTAGTCATGACAACTAATGGCATTTATTTTACTTCTTTTAAACAAAAAATACCTAGTTAGCTCACCGGGCCCGAAGAGCCTCATGTGAGCTTATGCCATCACTTGGCGTCGGTCGTCGTCATCTGTCGTCGTAAACTATTTCAAAAATCTTCTCCTCTGAAACTACTGGGCCAATTACCTTCAAACTTTAACTAACTGTTCCTTAGGGTATCTTGTTTATAAATTGTATCCGAAGTTTGTATCCATCGACAAACATGGCCGCCATGGCTAAAAATAGAACATAAGGGTCAAATGCAGTTTTTGGCTTATATCTCAAAAACTAAATCTTTAAGAGCAAATGTGACATATGGGGTAAAATTTTTTAATTGGTCAGGATCTATTGGCCCTGAAATTTTCAGACGAATCGAACAACCCGTTGTTGGGTTGCTGCCACCGAATTGGTAGTTTAAACAAAATTTTGCAGTTTTTTGTTATTATTTTGAATATTATTATAGATATATATAAACTGTAAGCAGCAATAATGTTCAGCAAAATAAGATCTACAAAAAAGTTTATATGACCATAATTGTCAATTGACCCCTTAAGGAGTTATTGCCCTTTAAAGACAATTTTACACAATTTGTTCATCAAGTTTGCTAACATTGAAAAATCTTCTCCTCTGAAATACAGATGAGCGATTCAGGCTCTTGAGAGCCTCTTGTTATTTATAAGGAATTTGAAAGTAAAATAAAATGGCATATTTAATTTTGGTCTTGAAATTAAAAACTTTAAATGGTATTTAAAATAAATTTAATTTGGTTAATATTTTTGTTGTTTTTACATTGCAGTCATGACGACTAATGGCATTTAATTTACTTCTTTTAAACAGAAAATACCTAGTTATTTATAAGGAATTTGAAATTAAAATATAATGTCAGATTTAATTTTGGTGTTGAAATTTAAATCTTTCATAATCTTAGATGAAATTTTCAAGTCTGTTTTACACAGAAGTCAAACACTATTTATTTCCAGCAGTAAAGAAATCTACTTGGAACCTTTTCTTTTGACAGGTGGCTTCTTTTCTCCAGACATAGCGAGATACAGTGGAATGATAAAAAATGTGAAATATCGTGAATATGAGTTCAGACAACAGAAATATTATGGTGATTTGTTGAGAGATATATTGTTATCAAGACAGGTGGGTGGAAAACAACTGGAAAAAATACATAACACATGTCCATCTTTTATAATAAAAGTACTTAAACCTCACTAATCTATCCATTTTGTTGCAAACAATATATAAAAAAATTCTAGTCACTGAAACATGTCAATTTCATTAAATTACTGCAGCAATTTTTTATACGACCGCAAAATATTGGTATGACGTTTGCGTCGTCGTCCGGCGTCGTCGTCGTCCAAAGACACATTAGTTTTCACACTCTAACTTTAGTTTAAGTGAATGGATCTCTATGAAATTTTACCATAAGGTTCAATACCACAAAAGGAAGGTTGGGATTGATTATGGAACCCAGAAGTTAAGGAAAAAGGGGCCAAAAATAAGCATTTTTGTAACTTCCAGACAATAACTTGTGTGTAAGTGTATGGATCTCTCTGACATTGTACCACAAGGTTCCATATCACAAAGAGAAGGCTGGAATTAATTTTGGGGGTAATTGCCTCAAAATTTTAGGAATTAGGAGCCAAAAAAGGGGCAAAAAACAAGCATTTTTCTAGTTTCATGACAATTACTTGTGTGTAAGTGTTTGGATATTTTTGAAATTGTACTACAAGGTTTCATATCACAAAGGGAAAGCTGGAATTGAGTTTGGGGGTAATTGCTGAAACGTTTAGGAATTGAGGGCCAAAAAGGGGCCAAAAATAAGCATTTTTCTAGTTTCAAGACAATAACTTGTGTTCAAGTGTATGGATCTCTCTGAAATTGTACTGCAAGGTACCATACCACAAAGGGAAGGCTGGGATTGAGTTTGGGGGTGATGAATCATAAGGGGGTTCAAAAAATTGGGGGGGGGATTTTTTTTTTTCCTTTTTTTTTTCTTTTAAAATTTTCCATTTTAAGTTGGTTATTTCTGATTTATATTTAAAAGCAAATAATAATGATATGGTAGGAGATACACACCAAACAGAATGTGTAAATTATTATATAATAAGTATTGTGCAATAGCAAGAAATTTTCAATTGCACAGTATTGCACAATAGCAAGAAATCTTCAATTGCACAGTATTGCGCAATAGCAAGAAATATCCAATAGCACAATATTGCGCAATAGCAAGAAATTGTCAATTGCACAGTATTGCGCAATAGCAAGAAATATTCAATTGCACAGTATTGTGCGAAAGAAGATACTTCGTATAATTTGCTTATTTCTTGACCAATTTCAATGGGGTTTTATTCTTGAATTCTTGGGGTTCTTTAATATGCTGAATCTAACCGTGTATTAAGTTTTTGGATTTTGGCCCCATTTTTAAATTGGTCCACATTGAGGTCCAAAGGGTCCAAAATTAAACTTTGTTTGATTTCATCAAAAATTGAATTATTGGGGTTCTATGATATGCCGAATCTAATCGTGTATTTAGATTCTTAATTTTTGGTTCCGTTTTCAAATTGGTCTACAATAAGGTCCAAAGGGTCCAAAATTAAACTTAGTTTGATTTAAAAAAAAATTGAATTCTTAGGGTTCTTTGATATGCTGAATCTAAACATGTATTTAGATTTTTGATTATGGGCCCAGTTTTCAAGTTGGTCCAAATCGGGGTCCAAAATTAAACTTTGTTTGATTTCAACAAAAATTGAATATATGGGGTTCTTTGATATGCTGAATTTAACCATGTATTTAGATTTTTGATTTTTGGGCCCTGTTATCAACTTTGTCCACATTGAGGTCAAAAGGGTCCAAAATTAAACTTTGTTTGATTTCATCAAAAATTGAATTCTTGGGGTTCTTTGATATGCTGAATCTAACCATGTATTTAGATTTTGGATATTGGACCATAATAGGTGAACATCCAATTTAAAATTTTTAGGTTCTTAGACCACATTCATTCTGTGTGAGAAACCTATGCTGTGTCAAATATTTAATCACAATCCAAATTCAGAGCTGTATCAAGCTTGAATGTTGTGTCCATACTTGCCCAAACTGTTCAGGGTTCGACCTCTGCGTTCGTACCAGGCTGCGCCCTGCAGAGCATTTTATTAAGTTTTGTTTTTATAAGTCTTCACAATGTATAACCCATGTATAAAAAAGTTATGAGCAAAGACAAATTCCTAAAAGATTTTTTTTTTTTCAGTTTTATACTGTCTGGTCAATTTGTTCCTGTTTGCAAAGTTACAATAAAATATTGTTGAAAATTATAGGTGAAAACTTTTTGAAGATTGATCCAGTTCATCTTTACTATTAGATTTTTGTCAGTATGGCACAAAAAAGAAAAGAGGAGCTTTGATTGTAATTCATGTACTCAGATTTGATATATATTACTTTTACACTATAGAAAGTCTTGAGTCAGATGAAAAACCTGCCACAAGATGAACGATTAAAGTTTGATCACAAACCACCACAGCCTGATCCTAAGGAGAAAACTATAGAACACAGATCTAGAAAGAAATTCTACAGGTAATTTTAATATATATTATTAAACTTCACGTAAGAATTCCAGATTGAGATTTTTTAATACGAGGAAGACATTCTACTCTATACCATTGCTTATATTCTATTATCCTTCACAGAGATCATTTGTGCTCTTTGTTTAATAAGGATGATTGTTATGTACATGACACCATCATTTAATACTAGCAATTTAGAATTTAAAAGACAAGCGTAACATTCAGTATAATTAGATAAGACATAACTGTAAGGGTGATAGAGCAGATTGTTACCCCTCAAAAAACATTGTCAACCTTGGCTTCATCTCGGTTGACCAGGCTGGGAGAAAGGCTAGTGCATTTTTCAATCCCTGATTTCTTGCTTCTACTTATTAAAAAAAGTCTGCCGCATATACAGAAATGTTGTAATTGACAATTCTTACTGAATTTTAGATTGCTAAAAGAAGTGAGACAGGAATGTGGTGTAGAAGATACGTCATCAGAGGAAGAAGAATATACAAGTTTGTATTTCTCTTGTCTTTATTCTACGAACAAAATATATGATAGTTATTTTACAATGTCTTTGTAAGGAGGATTTTTTGTCCTGATCACTTATATATCGTGTAACTCATGTATGTCAAACAGTCATTCTCTCATCAAACAGTTGCCAGCAGATAATGATCTGATTTTTAGTACATAAGTGAATGATGATGACTTTTTGTAGAAACTGCTGCCCTTTTTTTACGAAAATTGTACATGTCCAGATTTTTTTTGATAGTGCTGCAGATATTGAGCTAATTTTTAGATATTAATGTAAAGTGATGATTTACAGATATTATTCATTTTATACGGTATTACCTGTTGGCTACTTCTAAAGTCAAACTTTAAAAATGAAACTTGTATACTTATTTACAGATCCTGCACAGAAAAGTAAGAAGCAGTTGTTTAAATCCTTGTGTCCAATTCCCTCTCCAGAACCAACCATACCAAGTGTGGTAGCCACATATGATGTCAAACCCTCACTGAATGGTGATCTGACAAGTAAGTGTTGTAAATGGAGAAAGAAAGATATGGGTGTGTGTGTTAGATGTGAGTGTCCAGAACAATTATATGGAGTGTGGTGGTGAAATAGAATGGCAAGTCTTTACTGAAAAGTGTTATGACAAGTATTATGCTAGGAGGGGAGTATGGGAAAAAGAAATGTGCTTGTGTGTTTGTGTGATAGAAGTGTCCAAAAAAACTAGATTGAGTTGTGGCCACCTTATATGTCAATCCTGCACTGCAAAAAGGAGATCTGACAAGTGTTCTGGAAGGGAAAAATGGGTGCAAAAGAGGTCTAGAACAACTGTGACTAGTGTTATGTATATGCGAGATCATACCCTTTATTGGATATGGATTTGTATTAAACTGAATTGGAATTCATTAAACTGTGAAGAGACATGAAATGGGTTAGGTAGTTGACACTGAACTTAAAATTTTAGGGATAATAATGGGGTAGTATTGTCAATTACTCATGGAATAATTCTCTGTAAAATGACTAATATCAAATTTAATTTGTTTCTTCTTCATTAATTTTGTCATACAGAAAAAGACTATAGATCTAAGATATACAAAAAAGACACTACAGATCCAAGTTGAAAATCGTCATCGTCGTCGTCCGAAGACACTTGGTTCCGGACAATAACTTTAGTATTAGTAAATAGAAATCTGTGAAATTTAAACACAAGGTTTATATTCACAAAAGGAAGGTTGGGATTGATTTTAGGGGTTATGGTCCTAACAGTATAGGAATTAGGGGCCAAAAAAGGGGCCCAAATAAGCATTTATCTAGTTTTCAGACAATAACTTGTGGAACGGTGTATGGATCTCTCTGAAATTGTACAACAAGTTTCCATACCACAAAGGGATGGTTAGGATTGGCTTTGGGGGGTTATGGTTCAACCCGTTTAGGAATTAGGGGCAAAAAAGGGGGAAAAACAAGGGTTTCCTTGTTAATGGACAATCACTTTTAAGTACAATGTTTAATTTGGATTACCTCCCTTACACTGCTTTAAAATTATGTATAAAGAAATTTTGTATTGTCTTGAGGTGATTAGCTGTCAATTTATTTTTAGAAGTTACTAATAAAAATGCTGATTAAAGATATATCATTTTTAGATCTGATTATATATGTGATTTTCTATTTTAAGACTTTTGTGATGATGTATTTAAATGGGTAATTATGGTTGCAAACTCCATTGGAAATTTGAATTGAGATAATGACCATGTCTTGAGGGAAAGATTTTTTTTTTGGAAAAAGGGGAGGTGAAAAAAAATTGGGGAGGGGGAGAACAATTTTTTTTTCTCATTACAGATTTCAGAAATTAAAAAGAAAATTTCTTCAAATATTATTTTTGTTTTTGCAAAAAAAAAGGGGTGGGGTGAAAAAAAAAATTTTGCCAAAAAAAAAGGGGGTGAAATCTTTTTTTTTTTTGGGGGGGGGGGGGTCAATTTGCAACAGCATAGTGTATTGCACAAAAGAAAGAAAAAAAGGGGCGTACATTTTTTTTTGGGGGGGGGGGGGGGGGGGCAATTCGCAACAGCATAGTGAATTGCACAAAAGCAAAAAATTGAATATAAATTCAAATCATATAACTAATTCTAAGTTCTTTGACTACAGTTATTCTGTGTCAGAAACCTATAATGTGTCAAACATTTAATTTCAATCCAAATTCAGACCTGTATCAAGCACAAATATTGTGTCCATTTTTGCCCCAACTGTTCAGGGTTGGACCTCTGCGGTCGTATACAGCTGCGCTCGGCGAAGCAATTTATTCACTTTGAAATGAATAATAATATGTGAAATATAATTTAACTTTAATTGTAGGTGATGAAGAACACAAAGGTCCGTCCAATGCAAAGTACCAAAGGCCTATCAGTCCTATAGATGTTACTGAAGAAGACTACTCACAACTTCTTAAAAATCACAGAAGAAAGCACAAGGAATGTGATATAATGGTGAGCATTGGGGTATTATAAATGGAGAACTGTGATTAGAGGGCAGTATGATTTATATCTTGAATCAAATTCATGCTGAAAAGATACTTTTGAAAATTCCTAGATTGGAATTGATACTTAAATTAATGTGCTGTAATAACACATGGATGGAGTAAGCCTTTTGTATGCCATTTGAATTAAAGTAATCAAGCTTAGGTTTTTAGACGATACAATTTAAAATTGTAAAACTTCTGTTTTTTATAAAGACTGTTTTAGAAATAAGTGTAAAAGTACAAGGATAATCAATGGCATTTATTTATACCTTACAATTTTTTATTGGACATTCCGTTTTTCTCCAAGGCTGATCTTTCAAATGATTGCTTTTGATTAAATTTTATTTGTGATCCAAAAAAAGATTTTAACAATAATTTCTGGGAAAGCAAGGGTGAAATTGATTTATGCTGCTATTTCTGTATATTGTTGGAACCTAATCCTTGTCAGTGGTAACCTTTAAAGCTTTTATAATGTTTCTAGTCCTTTGTGGAATTTATTCAAGTTATAGATGTACAAGACAACATATTATAAAAAATAGTAAGATGTGGAATCTTTAGTGAATATTTAACCCAGTCAAAGTCTCAGTAACAGATGTTTGATAAGTGAGTGAGAAAAGCGCATATTATGATTTTTTCAAACTTGTAGGAATGTCCTGAATTGGACATACAGAACATTACTCTAGAGGAAATCATGTCCAGATGTCAGGCTCACAAGAAAAGTCCTAAAATACAACCAGGTAAGTTCTGATGAAAATACTGTAAAGTTTGAAAGGACTAGGTTCGATAAGGCCCTAAAATGGCCCCTATTTCTAGTTAAAATTTTAAAGTAAGATGTATTGACCAATATCACAATGAATCTTTTCTAATATAAAGACTAGAAATAGGAAATAGGTCTTTTTGTTAAAAATTTACATACTTTTGCATTCTATTCATGATGTAGCAAATAGCACTCATTTTGATTTTCCACGAAAATTCAATGAAATCAGGTTAATTTTCATTGATTTTTTGGACAGGAAAAATAGAGCGCATGTGTCAACAAAAAAGATCTTTTAACATAATGTTTGTTATGGCATTTTTCATATCTGACTTGAATATTTAGTTTGTTGACGCCTGCGCTCTATGTTTCCTAGGCCTCAATTTGGTTGAAATCAGGACAATTCTGTCAAATTTCGCAAAAAATCTCTATTTCTGACTTATTTGGGATGTAAAAATCAACTCTTTAAAAAAAACCATTGACAAAAATAGTTCTATTAAACTTTCTCACATGTATTTTCATCAACATAAAACATTTTTTATCTTGAAACATTGAACTTATAAATCGGGGCTAAATACGCCCTTACCGAACGTACTCCTTAATATACCTGAATTTTGTAACTACATTAACAAAAAATACTTGCTCCTGTAAATTTTATCTTCAAGGAAGATAAGAGTCAGGAACAAGATTAAAATCTTAATAAAACTTTGCAAAACTGGTTTGGCTTTTGAAATTGTGAAATCAAATCTCCGTGACAAAAGACCTCTTTACATGAGTTGTTAGGGTTATGAGAAAGTAAAATGTCTCTTGAAGTTCTAATTTTGGATAAGTATACGATACTGATTATTGACTCACTCAAAAGAAGTTATTCTAATACAATCAGTTTTTTACTTTGCTGAAAGATGTACTATAGTTTGATGTGCTGTTGTATATTTGTAGCTTCTACAAATTCCAGTATGTCGTTAAGTAAACGGAAGAAATTAAGAATGAAGGAAAGAGCAGAGAAGAAATTGAAAAAAGAAAAAGATATAAGATCAGAACAATCCACTCCAAGTAGATCAAATTACACTGACGAGGAGGGAAGTGGAATAGGAGATACCTTCTTCAAAACAGAAATTGATAACATGTCAGAATATTCTCTTCCAGAGTAAGTTTTAAAAGTATTTTTCATTGCTATAAGTTATACACAATGTACAGTTATATGTGATCAGTGCTGTTGCATTAAAGCATATAGTAACCAGGGAAGGCTCTTTAAAAATAGGGTAAACACCAAGTGAGGCTATTATTGAAATTGACTTACATTTTCATAATACAAAAATGTATAAGACACCCACCCATAGTTTAATTTCTTCTCTGGGTTTCATGTATGTTTTAATGGAACAGCCAACAGTGTTCTAAAGGATTCATTTTAGTACATGAATAAATATATATTAAAAAAATAAAATCCTATCACTCTCAAATTTATCATTGAAAAACCAGCTAAATTAATAAATATCTTACATAAAGAGACAATTCTAATTCTGTGACTTATGTTTAAGGGAAAATAATATTGTGAACCTACAGATATTGAAAATATTCAAGTGTGAAAGATTTTTTGTTTGTTTAAGAAATATTTTGTTGATAAAATGTATTGTAATAGCTGTCATACATATTCATTAAATTGGTACTATATATTTTTTCAGATCCTATAGATCTAACACAATAATTGCAAAACAGAATAACTTCTTCAGTTTGGTCAGAGATTTGTTGATAGACTTCTCAGATGGTAAAGGAAGCACTGCCAAGGTAAATAGATAGGCATAAACTTTTTAGTTGCTGTCTTATTGATGATACCCAATCTCTTCACATTTATATGTACATTCTGTTTATTGATAAACAATGTTTCTTAATTATATACCTGTCATTAATACTAGATAGGACTTATTATGGTATATTATATGTTGTCATGTCTGTCCATCTGTCTGTCAGTCCACTCATCGTACAAAAGCCATAGAATACTTTCAGGACACTTGTATGGAATATTTGAATAGGTGGAAGAAAGCTTCTGTTTAATTTTCTGTTAGTCATTCAAGAGTTACAGAACTTTAACCGTAAGATAAGCAGATTTTTCAGATTGCACACCAAAATGGGTACACTCAGATAGATTGACTTGAAAATTACACTTTATTTGAGCTGGTTATAAATTTTGATTTTGAAAATTTGTCATTCCATAGTTATGCGTCTTAAACTATCAGATTTAAAGCAATTTTTCACATGTGGTGCACTAGCTCATGTATAATTGGATCAATTTACTTCACACTATATTTTTGTTAGGAGTTGTGAAAGAAAGCTCATTTCAATTTTAATGTTTATACGCCTGTTTACGGGACGTATTATGGTATACCGTTGACCGTCCGTCCGTCCGTCGTCAACATGTCAGACATTAATTCAAAAACACTTTAACCAATATGCATGAAACTTTGGTGAATTGTCTATATTTATTGACATGAGCTCCCTTTCATTTTTTATAAATTTCGGATTTAATGTTTCCGAGTTTTGGGGTTTTATTCATTAAAAAAGGGGGGATTTTCCAGTTTTCGGACAATAACTCAAAAACTGTTTCACCAATTTGAATGAAACTTTTGTGAATTGTTTATATCTATTGACATGAGCTCCCTTGCGTTTTTTATAAATTTCGGATTTATGGTTTCCGAGTATTGGGGTTTTATTCATTAAAAAAGGGGGGATTTTCCAGTTTTCAGGCAATAACTCAAAAATAATTTCACCAATTTGCATGAAACTTTTGTGAATTGTTTATATCTATTGACCTGAGCTCCCTTTTATTTTTTATAAATTTCGTATTTTCTGTTTCCGAGTTTTGGGGTTTTATTCATTAAAAAAGGGGGATTTTCCAGTTTTCGGACAATAACTCAATAACGATTTCACCAATTTGCAAGAAACTTTGATGAATTGTTTATTCCTATCGACATGAGCTCCCTTTTGATTTTTATAAATTTTAGACTATACATTTCTGATTTATGGGGTTTTATTCATTACAAAAAGAGGGATTTTCCAGTTTTCGGACAATAACTCAAAAATGCTTTCAGCATTTTTTATGAAACTTTGGTAAATTGTTTATATCTATTTTTGTAAGCTCCCTTTTGATTTTTATAAATTTTCGAATTTAGGTTTCCGAGTTATTAGATTTTATTTGTTTATAGTCTGACAACAGATTTACTAAGCATTGCACAACAGCACAGTGTATTGCACAACAGCAAGAAATCTTTAATTGAATATAAATTCAATTCATATAACCAATTTCAAGTTCTTTGACTACATTTATTCAGAAACCTATAATATGTCAAATATTTAATTACAATCCAAATTCAGACCTGTATCAAGCTTGAATATTGTGTCCATTTTTGCCCCAACTGTTCAGGGTTGGACCTCTGCGGGGGTATCCAGCTGCACTCAGCGAAGCAGTTTATTAAGATATGTTATTCCAGAGTTATGGGTCTTTTAGTGTCAAATTTAGCAATTTTCATATGTGTCCCTTCCTACCCTTCTCGATTAATAAAGTATCCTGTACTAAATTAGTACGGCAACTGTATGGTGTTCTATATACTAGATTCATTCTTATTATATCAGGTCCCATACTGATGAAATGCATTTTCATCCTGAGAAATCTGTTTTGCAGTCAGCTAAAAAGTCCCATTACAGCTTTTCTATAAAAGCATGCAAAGCAAACCTTTGATCAACTTGCTGGCTATGTTTGTTTGGATGTTTGTTAACAACAGGTAGGTAGTCTATTTCAGTCTGTTTACTATATACTGGAATTTGATTGGACAATAAACATTAACTTCATTTAAATGTTAAGTTTCACATTGTATGTCGATTTTTTTTGTCCAATCAAATACCAGTATATATATTAAACAGACTGAAACTCCGCCTACCCTTTTGTTTACAAACATCCAAGCAAACATAGCAAACAAGTCGATCAAAGGTTTGCTATGCATGCTTTTATAGAAAAGCTGTAAAGGCAAATGCTAAATTACTTTTGAAACGGAAAAAATAAGGGAATTCTATTTAAATATTCACCAGAAGGTGGTAATTTCCTAATCAGAATATATATAATGACTTTTCTTTTAACAGATAGAAGAAAAAGTACGAGAATTACAAGAATCACCCAGTTGGAGTTCAATGACCTGGACAAAATTGGAGACAAACTGGGTCGATACTGTCACTTCAGCACTCAAGTTCTTAGCTGGAGAACTTATAGGTAAACTGAAAATTATCTCACTTAAACCTTAAGTTCTTAGCCCTGAACTTGAAGTTCCTAGCAGGATAATTTGTAGGAAAAGTTCAAATTAGCTGTCATTTTAAGCCCTTTAAAAAAAAAAGATTTAGTGTGTATCAATGCAGTTTATCCTTCACTTCAACACCAGACCTGCCAACTAACCCGATTTTGGCGGTATCATCCCGATTTTCATGTCTCAACCCAAATCCCGATTTTGGGATCTTAAAACAAGTCAAAATCCTAATTTTCACAAAATCTACCAGAAAAATTATTGGTTACCGATTTTGAAGTTTTTCGTATATTGGTATGACGTTGGTGTTGTTGTCATCGTCGTCATCGTCTGAAGACACGTTGGTTTTCGCACTCTAACTTTAATTTTACCTTAAGGTTCAATACCACAAAAGGAAGGTTGGGATTGATTTTGGGGGTTATGGTACCAACAGTTAAGGAATTAGGGGCCAAAAATAAGCATTTTTGTAACTTCCAGACATAACTTGTGTGTTAGTGTATGGATCTCTCTGACATTATACCACAAAGTTCCATATCACAAAGGAAATGCTGGGATTGTTTTTTGGGGTAATTGCCTCAAACCGTTTAGGAATTAGAGGCCAAAAAAGGGGCAAAAAACAAGCATTTTTGTTTTTTTTTTCTAGTTTCATGATTATAACTTGTGTGTAAGTGTATGGATCTTTCTGAAATTGTACTACAAGGTTACATATCACAAAGGGAAAGCTGGAATTGAGTTTGGGGGTAATTGCCCAAAATGTTTAGGAAAAAGGGGCCAAAAATAAGCATTTTTCTAGTTTCCAGACAATAACTTGTGTTCAAGTGTATGGATCTCTCTGAAATTGTACTGCAAGGTACCATACCACAAAGGGAAGGCTGGGATTGATTTTGGGGGTAATTGCCTCAAAATTTTAGGAATTAGGGGCCAAAAAGGGAAAAAAAACAAGCATTTTTCTAGTTTCATGACAATAACTTGTGTTTAAGTGTATGGATCTTTATGAAATTGTACTACAAGGTTCCATATCTCAAAGGGAAAGCTGAGTTTGAGTTTGGGGGTAATTGCCCTAAATGTTTAGGAATTTGGGGTCAAAAAGGGGCCTAAAAACAAGCATTTTTCTAGTTTCCAGACAATAACTTGTGTTCAAGTGTATGGATCTCTCTGAAATTGTACTGCAAGGTACCATACCACAAAGGGAAGGCTGGTATTGAGTTTTTGTGTGATGAATCATAAGGGGGTTCAAAAAATTTGGGGGAGGGATTTTTTTCCCCTTTTTTTCCTTTTTTTTCTTTAAAATTTTCCATTTTAAATTGGTTATTTCTGATTTATATATAAAAGCAAATAATAATGATATGGTTTGAATAGGTAAATTAAAAAAAATTAAGTTCTTAGACCACATTCATTCTGTGTCAGAAACCTATGCTGTGTCAAATTTTTAATCACAATCCAAATTCAGTGCTGTATCAAGCTTGAATGTTGTGTCCATACCTGCCCCAACTGTTCAGGGTTCGACCTCTGCGGTCGTATCAAGCTGCGCCCAGCGGAGCATTTTATTCTAATCAATTTCTATAAATCTATAATTATACCTGGCAACATATTTATGACAAGTTTAAGACCCCAAGCTAATCAACAGTCACAACAGGTGTCAAAATTTGTTGTTACAGGTAACCTGCTTATCTGATGGGTCATAACGATCCTCAAAATTAATTAATTTGTAAATACAATCGGTCATAGTTGGCATTTCAATTTTAATCAATTTATCATACGATCACAATTTGTAACATGTACCGTAGTTTCATTACAAAATCGTAATTTACTGAAATGAACTCATTAGAGAACATCGTTTATCTTGAAATCTGTTAAAAGTGTTGAAATCAGACGTGTTTCTGTCCAGTTCTGATTTAAAATCAACGCCATATTGTATTCACTTTTACTGTGTATAAGCCTTCTCGGATAGGAGCACCTCTGAATACAAAGAAAGATAACTCCAATTTTATCCATTTTCTCATTACTGATAGCAGAGCTCCAGATAAGCTGCGTATTTGCGTGATCACGCAATACAAATTATAAAAAACCCAATGCAATTGACCATTGCAGGGTTCAATAACCCAATTGATTCAAAGGAAAACCCAATTATATGCCAAAACCATGAGTTCTCAACCCTTTTTTTGGCTACCGTTTGCGTTATTTACCCTTATCTGTTTACAGTCGTCGTGTAAATCTATTTTTATAATAATTGGAAATTTCCTTTCGTTCTTAAAATAGATCTCTGCATCAAGAAGCTGAAATGGGTCCCTGTTTAAATTTTCCGTTGCTCAAAAGGTACACGTGGTTTTGAAAACATTTCGATCTTCTCGGAGTTTATCCAATTAGTGTGTGTCATGTTATCATATTTTTTTTGAATTGCTCGGGATTTATCATAACATACATTGAATTAAAACAAAAGTGAAAGTCCGGTAGAAATATTAAATAGAAGCATGTTTTCAGCTTCTTTTGAATAGCTAAGTGAAATTTATGATGATAACAAGACTCAGCCATTGTTATTAGGAAGCCTCCATAGAACGCACGGGTGTTTATGTGTACCTTATCGAGAACATTGCTAATTAACACGGGGTTTCGTCAAAAACAAAATCAGTTGGAAAAAGTGAAAGGCCAATATTGTAGTTGGAAAACATCGGAAACCAAAAGTTCTAATGAGGGACAGCTTGACCCAGATTTATATAAATTAAATTAAACAAAAACATTCAAGTATACAGTTTATATCATATATTTCTTCCATTTTACATTTAATGAGTGAGTACACACACATGCATTCGTCTCAGAATTTTTTATATAAAGGTATATAGGGGGGGGGGGGGGGGGGAATCTGAGACGAGTGTCTGTGAATACACATATCCGTTTTTTACAGTTTATATAAGTTGTGACAAAATACAAAACTGGCAGACGTTTGAAACAGGACACAAATTAAACCTACAATCGCTCGTCAGTGAATAAACCTAATGAAACATCTATAGCACATATACAAAGAAAGGAACATACACATGTATTTAAGAATGAAAAACATCTGAGGTTGATATTGCTTAAATATTCAATATTGTGTTGATGAAAAAACCCAATACAATAATGAGCTTGGTGGTGAAAAACCCAATTTGATATCAACTTGAGGGGTGAATTGAAATTGATAATGCAATTAAAAAACTTTATCACCCAATTAATTAAGAAAATGGTGGGTAAACACCCCAATTTGTGAATTCTTATCTGGAGCTCTGCTGATAGACTAACTGAAGATCTGTGTTCACCCTTCTTCCCTGAGGACATTTAGGTTAAGGTCTTTTCAGTCATGGTGCAAAGATAAGAAGGTCTTCGGAGGGGGAAAAGGAGTGTGGGGGGGGGGGGGGGGGGTCTTCATTTTGTATCCTTTATTTTTTTTAGGATTTTTCTCTATTAAATTATTTTGCCAATTAGTAAGTACAAGAATAAGGCAAATAAAAGAAATCAAAGCTATTAGCTCATCATCAGTATACCAAAAGAAAAAAAAGAAAATATATGAGACTATTTCAAGAGTAAAAAACAGTGCACACAGAAACGCCACAAAAATTGTAACCCTTAAAAAATCTGGTCGCGCACTGAATCCCCCATGGGGATTTTTAAAAGTTGGCAGGACTGCAACACTCATGTTGTAGCTGGAAAAGTTGCAGGTAAAGTTAGAATTATCATAAAATATGTTGAAATCGTATGTCATACATATTTTGAGTATTGATATTCATATTTAACCTGGTTGAAATAACTAGATGTAAACGTTATGCATATCCCCAGGCTCTAATTAACACAGCTGTATCAAGTTCAGTTCATGCAAAAATTGGATTGATATTTCAATGATGTCTGACACAGTGTGTATGTGAGTGAGACTGATACCAATATCAGACACAGCTTTTGACCTTGAACTGTTTAGTATGTTCTCCACTTCATTTCATTAGGATTGGGAGCATACCAATGTCAGAACATCAGTTTGATGTAGTATAGAATGTGCAATAAATGCTTTGAATTCATATAAAAAAGGAAACAAGTTTAAATGTTAGTTTCAAATGAAATGCAGTTTTTCATTTGTTACAATGAAAGAAGTTATGACATATCATTTTACGTACCAGCCTGAAATCAGATTCCCAACAAGTAATTTTGGATGATAATTGGTATAATGTAGTGGAATAATTTGTTTATCTATCATGTCTTTTGTCAGGTTTTTGTCTGCTTTCTCTCAAACATCTTCAAAAAATTACTAAACTAAATGAAGTAAAACAAGCATGTGTAAATATCTTACTGAAAATCCTGACCATGCAAATTTTGGTGTTGTTTGTTTTGCTGCAGGAAATTGACCAAGATTTTAAGGGGCAGCTGTTTTAGAAAATTTGATTGACTGTAAAGTGTACAAATGGTTGGCAAACCACTGAAGAGGTTACAAATGTTATATCAATTTCTGAATTTCGATTATTGTAGGTGCAGTTCCTGATAATTTTGTGCCATTTTTGGATTATAAAGAAAGAGCCCAACAATGGACATGGATAGGTGCAGGTAGAGATTCTGACGATAAATTGGCCCAATTTTTTAAACATTGGATGACCAATAAAAAACTAACCGGGACAGAGGAAGATGGAAGAGATGGATCTCCCCCACCTCCTAGATCGTAAGTATTGTATTGGTATTAGGAATGAATCTGTCCTGTCCAGATCAACCTAGTAATTTAAGTGATTTAAGGATTTTATCGCCGGCCATGGTGTCCTAGATTGAGATTAAGTTTTGCAATCTAGGAGATGGATCTCCTTACAAAAAAAAACTTGTTGCATGCACTGCATTTAGTATCGTGAATCAAAATTGAGAAAACCTTTAGATTTTAATCAACAGTAAAGTACAATGCCAGTCATAGACAAACGAACAAAGTTATAGATATAGGAAGATGTGGTATGAGTGCTAATGAGACAACTCTCCATCCAAGTCACAATTTGTAAAAGTAAACCATTATAGGTCAAAGTATGGCCTTCAACACGGAACATTGGCTCACACCGAACAGCAAGCTATAAAGGGCCCCAAAAATGACTAGTATAATACCATTCAAACAGGAAAACCAACGGTCTGATCTATATAAGAAAAAGAAACACTTATGAACCACATCAACAAACGACAACCACTGAACATCAGGTTTTATGCCTGCTTCTAGCATTCTTTAAAGTTCTAATTAGGAATGTCTTTTTTTTATTGTAGAAAGACAACATTTGTGGTGCGGGCCACTACTGAAGAAGAAAAAGGATTTTTTAGGGAACAAGTATGAGTCAATTAAAAAGATAGATTTTGTGTTTCTGAAAATCATGTATTTTCAGTGAAAATAGTATCACACCGAAAAAGACACTTTTTTAAAGAAGAAAAGAAAGGTCAACAAATTAATAATTAGTTTAAAGTACAGAACCGAATGTAAAGTTATAATATAACTTGAATGTTTTCTACTAGGTTAAGTTCATACTGTTGTGTGGATCTGTCCTTCTTGTCATGCCTAAAATGTATCCGGTTTAATTTGATTTAAGATTTGAGGTAAATGTCATTTGATAAGCAACCAAACAACACATGTTATATAAGTTCTCAATTGACCTATACTAGACATATTGCAAATAAACTAAGTAATAACCATATGAGATAAAAATAACAGTTTACAACAAGAGATTAGCAATGACCACAGATAAGACTACATACTTTGTACAGATGTATACATTTGTTGTGGTTCAAATATTGGTAAGTACTCAAGGTCATCTCTTTTATTTATATATGCATCATGAAAGTCAATCTAGAAAAGTCATGTGACTAATTGTTCCCCACTTGACGTGTTGCGGGTGAGTTAGAAATACCAAGCATCCGTCTGTCTGTTCATTCTTGTTAGCGCTCTTATGTGTACAGTTCTTGCCAGATTTTTATAAAACTTATATCGTAGGTTTATATCAGCATTATTTAGGACAAGTTCGAAAATCAGTGCCAATCAACAACTTTTAAGAGAGTTATACCCCTTGGAAATACTAATTATATGGAAAATTGCATTGCTAGCGCTCTCATGTGTACTTTATATTTCTTATACAGATTCACATAAAAAACAATGATGGTTAATACATTTTGAAAAAATACTTACATTTACTTAAAGCAATCTTTAGCATGTTCACAGTTGCTTGTTTAAGGATATATTGATGAAAAAAATATTTTGGGTAAACTTTAATGAAACATTTTAACAATTCATGACCTGGTTAAAATCAAACATTCAGATATTTTTGAGCAAGTACTGAAAAATGAAACATTTCAACAATACATGACCTGGTTAAAATCAAACATTCAGATGATGTTGTGCAAGTACTAAAAACAACCAGATAGCTCTTGTATATAAGTTACGTCAGATGAAAGAAAACTTGACTGATTTAGGAACTAAAAACTTTGATAGTTGAGCATATTGCTAATTATAGATCTATTTGTTGATAGCATATATATGATAAACTCAAATTTATATTCTAGGAGCGACGGAGATTTGAAAATCCCCATAAGTCTTTCACATATAAATTGCATGGATATGAATCCGTTGTTGGTCCAGTTAAAGGTGTTTATACTAAAGAAAGTGCTTTAAACAAAGCCAGGGAGCATGCATTATTGGTGTCCTCTAGGCCTGCATTTGTTACTATTTTAACTCTAGGTAAGTGAATTGATTGGTAGCTCTAACAAAATTGTAAGTCTATAATAAATGTGTGAAATGTTCGTCCAGTGTAAATTAATTTCTATAAATTCTAAGATATGTGTAGGCTGGCTGCACTATAGACTTTTGGGCTGAGGTGGTTATAAGTACAACAGTCAATCATCATTGATATGTGTAACATTCTTCCATTCAGAGAAGTTTTTAATGAAACACTTTGAAATATTGCATAAATTCCCCCTCTTGGTGACTGGGGCCACCCTTAATTTGATGTTGCATACACATGTCTTGTAGGGTTGGGTAGGTAGGTAGGGATTTTTTTTAAATTTTGGCCAACAACATAAGTTACATGTTTTAGACAAGAAAACAACGTTAGAGCATGAACAAACTTTTATTTAATAAAAGTTTGAAACGATTTGTGTTATAAAATTTTTCTGTTAGGCTGCTTTTCAGGTGGGTAGGTAGGCAACATCTAACAATTTTAATTTTATTTTTGGCCTGGGTCTTCCTGACAACTGTGATGCATAAAAAATATTTTTCACTTTGATTTGTAGCATTTGAACTTGTATCAATCAGATATAACAAACAATGTTTACAATAAAAAAAATCAAATGAAAATATAAATTAGATTTTTCTATTATTTTTCAGTAAGAGATGCCTCTGCTAGACTTCCCAATGGAGAAGGTACACGAGGAGATATTTGTGAATTATTAAAAGATTCTCAGTACTTAGCTCCAGGTGTAACTGATGCACAGGTATTAATATTACATATCAGTAATAGACAAAGTGTTGCACAGAGAATTAAAATCAATAAACCATAAGAAATAAAGACAAAAGATATTATCCATGTGAAGTAGAATTCAAAACTTGTTACAAGGAAAGCCAATCTAGAAAAATAAAATTATGGTTTAAGACATCACTATAATAATAAATTAAACAGATATATTTCCTTTTGTAACTATCAATTCATATTTTTATACTGAAATTGTGCTTTTTGGACTGTCAAATTGCAATGACCGTATAGTCCTTTTTGATATGCACTGACGGTATATCACCTTGTTTATGACATTTACAATGTGTTTCAGGAGCGTTTAATTATGATGTCAAGAATTCAGGTTCTCTGATGTTTCTACGTCGTCCGCTTCAAATTCAAAATGTATGGTTCTTACCCAAATTATTTTATTTGGAACAGTTGTAAGAGTTACAGTATAAAGAGAATGTACTCAGCTGTAAACAAGATAGAAATGTTCAGCAAAGCCTCCCATTGTGTCTTTCTAAACCTTGTACACATACATTTTATATTTTAAGACTAATGTATAGTAATTGTATATGTAATTTAAGATGAATGTTTCAGTTAAATGTGGTAGTTAGTGGTGCTCTTGACAGACTGCATTCAGAAAAAGACCCTTGTGTTAAATATGATGTCAATAGAAAATTGTGGATCTATCTCCATAGAAACAGAACAGAAAATGAATTTGGTAAGCTTTCATTTTTTTTTTTTTATTTTAATCAATTACGTCCAGTTTTGAATTTAATTTTTTTTTTATTAGTATAATTATTTATTGTTATGCATGTGAAAAATATCAGTGTATCTTGAATGCAGAGCATAAACATTAACATTTTTCCATACTGCAGGTCGATAGATGTTAAAAGTTCTCATAAAAATTAACATTTTTCCATACTGCAGGTAGATAGATGTTGAAAGTTCTCATGATAGAAAAGTTCACACAACAATGAATATTTATTATTAGCATATATACTTTGGTTATTTTGGCTTATAGCAAAGGAATGTAAAATTAAGGATTATCTTAACAACATCAATAAATCATCAAACACTGTTTTAATTTCATTTCCATTTTCAGAACGAATCCATCAGGCACATGGTGCTGCACAAAAGGCAAAGAAATCTCTAGCACAAACCAGTAAACCCAAATCTAGCAAAGCTGTAAGTTTTTTAAATAACTAGCATAACATTTGTAACCTTGGTTGACCAGTTAATAAAGTCTTTAAAGCAATTATGTAGATACAGGACATTATACTAAGGGCTATCCAAGTAAAAAAATACCTGGACATGGGTTGGAACTCCATTTTTATTGTGGGTACTACTACTTTTTTAAAATATTTTTTTATTTTAACCTAAAAAAATAATGAAATGATAAAATTGACCTCCACCAACATTTAAAAAATTGAGTGGAGTTCTGACCCCCTGGGTATTTCTTCCTGTAAAAGCCATAACTTACATCTCTAATATAAATCTTATGAAAAAGTATGCATGTTAGCCTTAAATAGATGTAATTTGAACAGTCTCTTCACAATTCTGTAAACACTTCAATAACCAAGCACAACATACTGTGAATTTTGGTTGCAGAATTTCATAACACAAATCTAAGATAGCTGACGGTATAAAAATAGTTTTCACACATCATAAACATTCAGTTACACTGCATATTTATAAAAAATATTATTATAATTCCCTTGCATAGTTTATATTTTTCAACTATTTTTCATATATTTTAGTTAGTATTGAAATATTTATTAAAATGAATGAAAAGAAAATCTTGACAGCCCCGAGATGAGATGTAGCCGAGAAACATCATTAAGTTTGAAAGACCAGTTGATAATCTGTTCATCACTGTTTTCCTAGGCAAAGTCAATGACGTAGGCTCATGATTTCATACACTTTTCTACTCGACTGAGAAAAAACCCACCTCACGTGAAATGAAAAAATATCACCAAAAATAAGCAAAATTTGATAAAATAGTGATAATGTTTAATGATGATTTCTTTTCAGAAATTAAAAGACACTGCATCACAACAGAATGCATCGACTGCAACAAGTCTAAAAACTAGTGTAAATAATAACCCAGAGTCCCTAAGTTCTCCACAACCCATGTCTTCAGCTGTTCAAAGTCCAAAAATCAGTAACCCATTACTTAACCAGAGTCCCAGGACATCAAATGTTGGAGCCAGAACAGTGGCAGCTGCCCTAAAGAATGCCACTGCTGCCAATGCCACCCAGAGTTCAGTGAATGTAACCTTACCAATAACAACCGTGGCTTCTACTAGAGCTAATCAAGTGACAAGTGCTAATATAATGTCCTCTCCAACTGGAGCTACGATACGGTTCCAGCTTCAACAGTATCAGTTACAACAACTTCAACAACAGAAACAACTTCAACAGAAGCTACAACAAGTGGCTGCAGCTCAACAAGCAAGTAACGCTGCCAAATTAGGTGAGTAATCTCATTATAATGTTCAGCTGTATAACATTGATCTGTATTTTTTAGTATTATTTTATCAATTTGAAAGGTTAGTTGTACAAATAAATGAAAGAGAAGCAAAGGATACCAAAGGGACATTCAAACTCATAAGTCGAAAATAAACTGACAACGCAATGGCTAAAAAAGAAAAAGACAAACCGATAAACAACAATACACAAAACAGAAAACCAAAGACTGAGCAACACGAACCCAACCAAAAACTGGGGTTGTTCTCAGGTGCTCCGGAAGGGTAAGCAGATCCTGCTCCACATGTGGCACCCTTCGTATTGCTCATGTTAGTACAAACCCGGTGATAATTCTTATTAGGTAGGTCACATTTGGGAAAAGGGGATGGGATTGTAGTTACAACAATTGGAACATATCTGTTGTCATCTGTGAAACGGATATTCCATAACGGTTAACCAACTCATGATGGCGTGTGTAAAATTTACACAGGGACGATTTCAACTTCACCACTTGGAACTCTTGGTTTGATAGCCTCCTTGTGAGCAGCAACCCTCTATCAAGGAAATCATGATAGGGAATACAAGCCCTGGAATATGGTATCAACTGGGAGATATATTCTCTGTATGCAGGAGCTGCTGGAATGTTGCTACATAGAAATGGAAAGTTCACAATTGGGAAGCTGAAATCATCTCTTTTGTCGTAGAGTTTTGTTTCCAACCGACCATCATTTTCAAGATATGAGGCAGACTTAACTGTATCTGTTGTATCCTTTTATCTCAAGTTCGATAGGATAGATGTGTTCAACATAGTCACCAAATTTTTTATTATTTAGTGAGAGAACATCATCGAAAAAGTGGAAACTGAAATTAAAGGATACTGCTAACTTCTTTTCTTTCTTTCTAAAAAGTTCCTGTACGAAGTCAGTCTCATATGAATAAAGGAACAAGTCGACAAGAAGAGGTGCACAGATGGTTCCCCATGGGAATGCCTATTGTTTGTTGAAAACATGTTCTCCAAATGTAATAAATATGTTGTCAATCAAGAAATCAAGCATCTTGATAATGTCAGTTTCAGAGAATATTTTGTTTGAATCAGAGTGATTTTTTACAAAGTATGATTTATCCCTCCCCAAGACAAGAAACATGTTTCAACGTAGGCCGTTCTTTTTTATGAAACACAGCAGGACCAACTCTTTCAATTTGTCTTTTAGTTTGGAATGGATGATATAAATTTTTACATTTTTAGAACAGAAATTTTGGCTGTTATGTTACTAGAACAGAAATTTCAGTTGTGATGTCACTGTGACATCACTAACATTTTGAATTGACATAGGCAGTACTGAAAAAGAAGTTTTGAGATGCATATTAACATCTTTATATAAGGCATCTTGTAGCAAAATATCTTCTTTGGCAAAGGTTTCAGCTCATCTATAAATATTGTTGGAAAGATCTCAAAGTGGACTATTTTGGCAGTTTTCATCAAATGCAAGAAGTTTAAAGCTCTACAGCAAATATGAAAGACACTGTTCAAAGCTAGGAATACTGATATTTGACAAACTAATGTCTTGTGAACATCTGAAGCATTTGTGTAGTATGTGATTTGATAGATTTATAATTGTTTTTGATTTTCGAATTCAAATGGGCTATATAGTGATCTTATCATACTTTCTCTTTTATCATTACTTCTCCTTTGTGGTACTAACCTGATTCTTCTTTTCAGCAAAATCTGGTAATGATATGACAAGTCCCCAGCCAACAAGTGTTTCACAACTCAAAGGAGAGAATCTTCTCAAACAATTGCCACTCAGCATACTCCAAAGTTTGCAGGCTTCTGTTGCTGATGCCTCATCTCCAGTATCTCAAGCCATAACACAAAGTTTAGCATCAGCTATAAGGCCACAGTTAATACAGCGACAAGCCTCCTCTGGTTCTCCTGTTCCTCAACAATCTCCTGCTGGTACCCCTACTCCGGGATCACCTGTCCCAACACGATTACACACTCCACAGTCTGGTGTAGTGACAGCAACTTCATTATCATCATTGATCCAGTCATCGGGAGCAGGTGCCCCTCTAGTGGCCAGACTAGTACAACAAATAGGAGGGAACCAGATGGTCAATGTCAGTAATCTCTTAGCTGCTCAAAGAGCCCAGAACCCTAATCAAGGATCTTTAACCAATGCTACACTAAAAATACAAGGTTAGTAGTATCAGAATATTATCCAAAGTTTATATAGGCTTTGCACTGTCCAATCATTTAATGTCTGATGTAATGAAAAAGTTTATTAAGAAATTAACACAAAAAATATTTCTGGAACTATTAGGATTTTGTGCTAGTAGGAGGAGTTATTCAGAAATTAAAACACCGGTTGGTTGAAAGACCCACTTTGCAGATTCTTCCCTTGACACCACCATGCATAATGGATGGATACCTCATGTCCTTTGTTTTCTATTAAAAATGTTAGATTGTTCCATATGTTATAATACCTCTTTGAAAGAAAATACAACAAACAAAAAAAATGCTAATGATATTTGTGTAAAGTACCTAATGACCCCCACTGGTTTGGTCATTTCTAAAATAGCCCTACCAGTTTGTATACAACACTTATAAAAATTTGATCGAGAAAAATAAATACAGATGAAAGATTTTTTTTTTGTAGACAAATTAAACAATAGATTTTCGTAATAGTTATTAATTAGAATCTGGTATTTGTGTTTATCAATTAACTGTCGTGTAGTAACGACTATATTAGATATATTAAAAAAAAAGCAAGCAACATTGAAAGTTTTTTTTTCTTAATTAATTAGGTGGTAACGTAATGGCTGGAAAACCAATCCATTTGACAGGTAAACCAAGAGGTCAAATTGTACATATCGCAGGGAAAGGTCAGCAACAAATGGGGCTCATACAGGGAGCTCTTCCCACTATAAGCATAATACCTCAGGCTGGAGGAACAGGGGTCATGACCCTGGCACAGAATAAAACCCCTGTATCAGGTAAATAACACCTTTATTTAATGTTCAAATTATCTTCAATGCATTTTTTCATGGTTATCTGTTTAATACCTTTATATCTGAAACTATAATAAAAATAAAGGTCAAGAATTTGCTGTTTCAGAATCTAATGCATTCTGGGTAATATTTTCAAAAGTGAACACCAAAATGCTGTGATTGGTTAAAAATGTACTTAACAATGGAAATTTAACCAATGACGTAACGTTATTTTCATTTTGGGGTACCAACAATAAAATTACCCATAGTCCTTTAGATTCTGAAATGGCCAATTGATAATTTAAATTTTTTTTTTAACCACATTATTAATCATTAAAGGTGTCAAATGGCAGTAAATCACTTGATAGAGCTTAACATCTATCTACCTAGACCATTCGACCACTTAAGTCTAGTGTCAAATTATTATCTTTATTCAGTGGTTAATTTTGTTGACTAAAAAATGATTTAGTGACTTAAAATTTAAACAATTGGGTCCTAACCTGTTTAATTCATTTAATTACGACCCAGATTATCAAGACAGTGTAGGTTATAAATGAGCATTAATTCCAATGTGTATCAGTATTCATTTTTTGTAAGATCACTAGATTGTTAAAAGAAATAAGGTAAACAAAATTATAACAATTTACAGGGCAGTCCGAAGCCAACAGAACAGGTAGTCCACTGGCAACTGTTATAACAACAGTTGTTTCCTCTTCTGTCAGTCAACCAAAGGTTGTGACTCCTTCTCAGACTGGAATTATGGTAACTCAATTAACTCCTGGTAACCTGGCTCTCAGACAGGGAACTATACCCCAGACTAAGGTAGTTACTGCTGGACAGTCTGGTTTACTGCCAACACAATTTCTGGTACCCTCAGGAACAGCTGCATCTCAATCTCAAATAAGTCAGCATGGTAATTATGGCTGTACATTTAATTTAGTATTAGGGAATGACCATTTAACTTCAAGGGGGTGGGGGGGTTATGGTTTTTTCCTAAAAAAATATTCTGATCCCCAAGTTGATGGAAAAAAAATATTGTGGTTAAGCAGATGACAAAAAAAAATATTCTGAATCCAGATTTTCCCCATACCTTATAGTGTTAAATTTTGAAAAAAGTAATTTGATTGATTGCGTCGAAAAACTGAAAACAAATTTTCGTGCTTTTGTGCGAAAAATATTTTCTGACTCGGACAAAAAACCATAACCCCCCCTTGAAGTTAAATGGTTGCTCCCTTAGTGGTATATGTATTATCACTCTTGTAGTAGTGTTGCCCGTTAAACATCCTATGTACAATAAGGAACTGAAAATGTCACGTTTTTATATTTTTTGAATATCAAATTAATTTGTAATAGACTTCATAAACACAATTCAGTTCACATGATGAATGTGAATTTGCTTACTGATTTAATTGTATTATTATGTTTAAAATTATAGTTTTGTCCATTCTGACCCAAATTGTGAACGTGAGTCAAAGGCTTGCTGTTTCAGGTGGCAGTGGTGCCAACAATGTATTAGTTCGTGATTAAGTCAGTTTAAGGGGAACCACTGGTGGTAGGTCAATGATATTTGATATTGAGTTGTATTAGAATTAATATTGCACATGTCATTTCCATGGAGATTATTTGACCCAGCCCTCATTCATGCTTTATAATTGACTAACTTTTGGTTAGTTTTCATGCTAAGGTTTGGTGTTAGGTCAGTTTAAGATAAACCATTTAGGGTGAGTCAATGATATTTGGTAAGTAGTTTTATTACTAAAATCCTGTCTCATTTCCATGGAGATTACATGGCCCCACCCCCTCAGTCATGGTTCATTGACTTCGAAACTTTTGCATTGTTGACATGTTATAAATTTGTGTTAAAGTCAGTTTAAGGGGAACCACTTTAATATTATAAGTCAATTGTATTTGGTATGCTGTTGGGCACATCTGATTTCCATATAGATTATTTGACCTCACTTTATGTTAAAGCTTTTGTTTAGGTCAATTGTATTTGGTATCCAATTGTATTAGCATTGACAGTTCTCACATAGATTATTAGGCACTTCACCTTCAATCATGGTTTATTGATTTTGACTGTTTTCATAAATTGCTCCTCGGAATTCAGATCGGGATACCTGGTTTGATAAAAGAATCTGAATAGTAAAAGTACAAGCCATTTCCTGTTATTTTCATATTCTTGAGTTTAGTATTATTTTTATTGTTATAGGTGGAGCAGCACCAATTTTTATGACAGCTGCAGGAGCTAAACCAGGACAAAATATTCAAGTTGTTCGTACAATGCTGGGACAACAAGCTGGATTAAAACCAGGACAAGCTACATTACTTATATCTCAGCCTAATCTTCAACAATCTGGAGCAAATATAGTTTCCACTGGACAAATTGTTCATAACACTGCCTCTGTTCAGGGGAAAGCTGGTGCTAAAAATAAAACTACACCTGTTTATGCAAGAATTATAACACCACCTGCCGGTATGCGGTTAGCAACTGTAGGTGCTGCAGCTGGACAATCAAATCAAAATGTTGGCATGATTCAGACTGTCAATAAATTTATCTCAACAGGAAATGTCTCCATAGCAACCACACATCCAGGTGATGGTGATCATGTGATAGCGTCAACAACCAGTGATAACAAAGAAGGAAACTCATGATATTTTGTGATACTGATTAAAATATTTGTTATGTTTTTTGGAAAAAAAAGAAATAGATATATAGATGGACTTATTTCCTTAATGTCACCCAACCAAAACATTATATAATTGAATGTAGATGTGGGTTATATGTCATGAGGCAGAAACATACACACACACAAAAACGGCAAAATTCACCAAAAGACATGTAGAGGACAACAATAGACTGATGTATAATATGGCAAGTTCTAAATCGTCTAGGGTAAATATAAGTTGTGAATAATTTTAACAGAAACAATCAAAAGATCTATCATCACCACCAAATTCTCCAAATAACAAAATTCGATTAGACATGACATACAGCAAATACTGAGGAGGTTCTTGACTGGTGAGAAGGAAATGAAAACTTAATGCAGATAAACTTTTTTTTTTAGATATCTTTTATTCATAATCTGTAGATTAATAAAACTTACCAAGTACATAAAAGAACATACAAGAAAATTCAGTAGAAGAAAAGAACCCTTACTAAAAACATAACTTCATAATCGATAATAAAAACACGCAATAAATAGCAAATTATACTGTACTTATAAAGAATGAGTTACTGAAAGCAACCTCGAAGTACTTGGTACTTAACTTACTGATAAGAAATCATGCTATCCTACAATTGTTATTGGTTGCTTTACTTATAGAAGATTTCATACAGCAATTTCATAAACAGTACAGGAAGGAAGGATTTTGTGCAATGCCCAAAAGACACTGTACAGAAAAACAAAAGAATCATTTCAGGATTGCTTCAAACTTAAATAAGCAAATTATGGTTGTCTGTTAAGAATCAATGTATGGTTTCTATTGCCTTCCTTCATCAGGAACACTTAGTTAAAAGTAGTAGGAGTTAAAATTTGAGATTGTCATCAGTGGATAAATGTTTGTGCTTTTAACTATAATGTACATGTTAAACCTTGCCACATTCTTTATGTACCTTTCACAAGTCAGGAGCCTGTACTTATATGGTTGTCCTTGGTTGCTGTCTGTCATATTTGTTTTTCCTTAATTGATTTATCATCAATCGGGCAATTGGCTTTCTCGTTTGAATTTTTCACATTTTATTGCTAACCATAGGTTGCGCTTCTGTAAATATAGACAATGCAATTTTCCATAGGAACTCCTTTTACGACTAAAACTGCCACTTTTTACTATGAAGTTTCATAAAAAATTATATCTTAGAATGGAAAGTTTATATGCATTACTATTTTTTTCAAAGGTCAAAACATAGGGCTGTGCAGCATATTTTCAACATTTATATGCCTCAAACTTCTGAGAGTTTAAACTTATAATTAAATTCTGTATTACCCCTCCCTTCACTTTGGGTCTTCCTCAGAATTAAATTTGGCCGCTATCCATGTGTATTTATACTGGTTACATTCCCAAGTTGTGTCTCTACGAGATGAAGTATAGAGATCATATCTGGGAACCAGCAGGTAAACAAAACAAAATATCTATGAATATTAAATTTCTCCCCAAAAGAAGCATAGTTTGTGAAACAGCTGTATTTACAAAGTGCAACATATATGGTATGGATTTTGCTTATTGTTGCAGGACATTCAATTACCAATAGATTCTTGCATCTATGTTATTCAGACTTTTGTGGATAGTTGTCCCATTGGCAATCATACCACTTCTCCTTTTTAGCTCACCTGGCCCAAAGGGCCAAATGAGCTTTTCTCATCACTTGGCGTCCATCGTCCGTCGTTAACTTTTACTTTTCTTCTCCTCTGAAACTACTGGGCCAAATTTATCCAAACTTGACCACAATCATCAGTAAGGTATCTAGTTTAAAAAATGTGTCCGATGACCCGTCGTGCCAACCAAGATGACCGACATGGCCAAAAATAGAACATGGGGTAAAATTCAAGTTTTGTCTATTATTTTGAAAAAAACCATTATAAAAAGAGAAAATCTGACATGGCAAAAATGTTCAGAATATTGAGCTCTAGCAATTGTTTATATACGTCAAAACTGTTGGATGACTTTTTAGCTCACCTGGCCCGAAGTGCATGGTCGTCCGTCGTCGTCGTTAACTTTTTACATTTTGAACTTCTTCTAGAGAACCACTGAATGGAATGAAACCAAACATTGCATGAATGTTCCTTATGAGGTGCTGACCAAGTGTTGTTACTTTGTAGCCGATCCATCATCCAAGATGGCCGCCAGCAGGGGACTTAGTTTAACATAGGGCCCTATGGGAAATACATACAAATGTCTTCTTTTAGAGAACCAGTGAATGGAATGAAACCAAACATGGCATGAATGTTCCTTATGAGATGCTGACCAAGTGTTGTTACTTTGCAGTCGATCCATTATCCAAGATGGCCGCCAGCGGGTGACTTAGTTTAACATAGGACCCTATGGGAAATACATACAAATGTCTTCTTTTAGAGAACCAGTGAATGGAATGAAACCAAACATGGCATGAATGTTCCTTATGAGGTACTGACCAAGTGTTGTTACTTTGTAGCCGATCCATCATCCAAGATGGCCGCCAGCGGGGGACTTAGTTTAACATAGGACCCTATGGGAAATACATACAAATGTCTTCTTTTAGAGAACCACTGAATGGAATGGAACCAAACATGGCATGAATGTTCCTTATGAGGTGCTGACCAAGTGTTGTTACTTTGCAGTCGGTCCATCATCAAAGATGGTCGCCAGGGGGGGACTTAGTTTAACATAGTACCCTAAGGGAATTACATACAAATATCTTCTTTTAGAGAACCACTGAATGGAATGAAACCAAACATGGCATGAATGTTCCTTATGAGGTGTTGACCAAGTGTTGTTATTTTGCAGTTGATCCATCATCCAAGATGACCGCCAGCGGGGGACTTAGTTTAACATAGGACCCTATGGGAAATACATACAAATATCTTCTTTTAGAGAGCCAGTGAATGGAATGGAACCAAACATGGCATGAATGTTCCTTATGAGGTGCTGACCAAATGGTGTTACTTGACAGTGGGTCCATCATCCAAGATGGCCGCCAGGGGGGTGGGGACTTAGTTTAACATAGGACCTTATGGGAATTACATACAAATGTCTTCTTTTAGAGAACCACTGAATGGAATGAAACCAAACATGGCATGAATGTTCCATATGAGGTGCTGACCAAGTGTTGTTACATTGCAGCGGATACATCATCCAAGATGGCCACCAGGGGGGACTTAGTTTAACATAGGACCCTATGGGAAATACATACAAATGTCTTCTTTTAGAGTACCACTGAATGGAATGAAACCAAACATGGCATGAATGTTCCTTATGAGGTGCTGACCAATAGATGCTTCTTTATTGCCCATTAACTGTTCAAGATGGCCACCAGGATATTTTATTTAATAAAGGGGACCAATATTAAACCAAATTTGGCCTCAATCATTATTTGGGTATCTGTTATGATTTTTATCTATCTTTACATGATTTCTAAAACCAAAGTAGAGTCAGGTGAGCGACACAGGCTCTTGAGAGCCTCTAGTTATAGGAGTTATTGCCCTTAAATGACAAATTTTACCATTTTTTTCATTTATTATATGTTCATTTATGGGACGTATTATGGTATACCGTTGCCTGTCCGTCTGTCTGTCTGTCTGTAGTCATCATGTCGGACAATAACTCGAAAATTTTCCATTTTTCGGACAATAACTCAAAAACACTTTCACCAATTTGCAAGAGACTTTGGTGAATTGTTTATATCTATTGACATGAGCTCCATTTCAATTTTTATAAAATTTTCGATTTTACTGTTCGGAGTTATGGGGGTTTTATTCATTAAAAAAAGGGGGATTTTCCAGTTTTCGGACAATAACTCAAAAATGCTTTCAGCAGTTTCCATGAAACTTTGGTGAATTGTTTATATCTATTGATGTAAGCTCCCTTTCGATTTTTATAAATTTTATATTTTACGTTTGCGAGTTATGGGATTTTATTCATAAACTAGAGGCTCTCAAGAGCCTGTGTTGCTCACCTGACTCTACTTTGGTTTTAGAAATCATGTAAAGATAGATAAAAATCAACAGATACCCAAATAATGATTGAGGCCAAATTTTGATAAATTTTGGTCCCGTTATTTAATAAAATATCCTGGTGGCCATCTTGAACAGTAAATCGGCAACAAAGTAGCAACACTTGGTCAGCACTTCATAAGGAACATTCATGCCATGTTTGGTTTCATTCCATTCAGTGGTACTCTAAAAGAAGACATTTGTATGTATTTCCCATAGGGTCCTATGTTAAACTAAGCCCCCCCCCCCCCCTAGCAGCCATCTTGGATGATGGATCGACTGCAAAGTAACAACACTTGGTCAGCAACTCATAAGGAACATTCATGCCATGTTTGGTTCAATTCCATTCAGTGGTTCTCTAAAAGAAGACAATTGTATGTATTTCCCATAGGGTCCTATGTTAAACTAAGTCCCCCGCTGTCGGCCATCTTGGATGATGGATCGGCTACAAAGTAACAACACTTGGTCAGCACCTCATAAGGAAGATTCATGCCATGTTTGGTTTCATTCCATTCAGTGGTTCTCTAAAAGAAGACATTTGTATGTATTTCCCATAGGTCGTTTGTTAAACTAAGTCCCCTGCTGTCGGCCATCTTGGATGATGGACCGACTGCAAAGTAACAACACTTGGTCAGCACCTCATAAGGAACATTCATGCCATGTTTGGTTTCATTCCATTCCGTGGTTCTCTAAAAGAAGACATTTGTATGTATTTCCCATAGGGTCCTATGTTAAACTAAGTCCCCCGCTGGCGGCCATCTTGGATGATGGACCGGCTACAAAGTAACAACACTTGGTCAGAATCTCATAAGGAACATTCATGCCATGTTTGGTTTCATTCCATTCAGTGGTTCTCTAAAAGAAGACATTTGTATGTATTTCCCATAAGGCCTATGTTAAACTAAGTCCCCCGCTGGCGGCCATCTTTGATGATCGACCGACTGCAAAGTAACAACACTTGGTCAGCATCTCATAAGGAACATTCATGCCATGTATATGTGGGCCAGGTGAGCTAAGAAGGACTGATTTTCCAGTTTTCATACAATATCTTTGAAGTGCTTTGAGCAGTTTTCATGAAACTTTGGTGACTGGTTTATATCTATTAAGATAAACTCCCTTTAGTTTTTCATAAATTTCTGATATGACATTGAGAAGTTATTGAACTTTATTCTTTGAAAACGCGACAGGCGTATCATGGGCTCATGGCGCAGCTGTTTATTGCCTATTATCTTGAAAACTATAATAGAAAGGGAGAAACTTTAAATTGCAAAAATGATCAGCAAAACAAGTTCTACAAATAATTCTGCATGTTCGAAATAGTCAGTCGACTTCTTATCAGAGTTATTGCCCTTTGAAAAAGATTTTTACCAATTTTTTGCGATTTTGCCTTGTATCTTAAAAATTATAATAGATAGATAGAAGCTTAAATAAGCAAAAATGATCAGCAAGACAAGATGTACAATTTAGACAATATGAAGGAAATCGTTTGACAACTCCTTATTGCCCTTTAATGACGATTGTTATCATTTTTTTGCGTTTCGCCTTATATGATAAAAATTATAATAGATAAATAGACACTTTAAATCACAAAAATGATCAGCAAGGCAAGATCTACTAACAAGTAAAATTTTGCTGATATAGTTATTAGACTGTCACTCTTTATAAGAGTGATTGTCCATATGAGGATTTTTTCCCCTCTTTTGGGTTTTGAGCAAAAACTAAAGAAGATGGAGAGAAACTAAACGATCAGCAATCTAAGATCAACTAAACAGATTTTTGACATGAATTCTATTCTAATCTACAATGTTGGAGAGTGTCCTTTGTTAAATATGCACATAGACCAAGGTGAGCGACACAGGCTCTTTAGAGCCTCTAGTTTTTTTTACATTACATTAAAAGAATAGCCAAAGGCATCAGAGGTTAATTTACACAAATTAATTTTGAAATCTTAGTTTTTGTAAAATGTACAGAATGTATCATCTGTCTTCCTTTAACATCAAATGATTGTCATCTAAAACCAAACTCAATTGAATTTTACATAGGCATTTGATGAATTAACATTAATATGGGACAATCATTTGAATGATGAGGCCTGGTTGATTTTAAATTTATATTGGAAAAGAGTTATTTCAGTTGAACTTGTTGGGAATTTCAGTCTTCCATCATTAATCAGGTAGGGTCATATATTAAAGATGCTGATATTTGTTACAAATGCCACTAAGGAATACATGATCTTCAGTAAAACATATTTTCTAGCAATTTTGTATGTACAAGTAAGGAAGGAGGGGTCCCACAGACAGCTGCACTCAGATAAAAGCAAAAGACCTCACACTGTATAACTCATCATGGTCAAGCTGATGACCGAATATAAACTCATTCAGTTCACTAGTACTGGAAAAAATGTGTGAAGAAAATTTCAAGTTCATCTAACACATTGAAATTTTTAAAGTATCTGGAACTGGATGTAGGTATTTTACAGATCCCAAAAAGTGCATACACTTTACAACTCATTACTGTCGAGCCGCTGAACAAATATGAAGTTGTAATTCCAGAGAAAAGTGTGACACAAATATTTGTTGGAGGAATGGGCTTACACGGTAAATGCAATATAGCCCCCAGTATAATTAGATTAGATATAGGTAAACATTGATGAGACAGAAAAACCCTATAACAAAAGCCAACCAAAATTAGTATTTTCAGGTACATGTAAGTATAAAGTTCATTATAAGGTTGTTAAAACTTAAAAAAAGGTGGAGGGTGGAGACCTATAAAGGCTAGTTTAACCCCACCACATATATGCGTGTTCAGAGTATGGAATTTTGTCAGTAGTTGTTGTGTATCAATGTTTTTGTTGTTTTGATAATTGGTTGTTGATGGCAGATATTTGATTGTTTATGTTTAATTTAATCAAAACTTTAATAGAATTCAGACCATTTACAGCTTGCCATATTGTATAGACACCTGTCTCTTGTTGAAGAATGTATATTGCCTTCATGATGTCTCATTAATGTACATCCCACATCTTCTTTCATTCTTTGTATTTGGTATCAGGCATGACTGGAATAAGTAATAAGGTCAAGGTGAAGATTGAGGTTAAAATAAAGACCATATTTGGTACTGAACTCCAAGCACAAGAAGGTCAAAAATTACATCTTTATCTCATCTGCCACAAAAATGCCAAATTCCTCAAATATAAAAAAAATGATTTATATACTACAACTGTGTGTATGAGAATGTATTCTGGATTTAGTCAAGAAATTGTATGAGGACATTAAGATGAAGACATTATCCCCAATATGGAACTTCATGTTATTCACCTACATGTAATCTTAAAAATAAGAATATTTCAAGTGAAAAAAGTTTTCTTTTATTTGATTTTATTCAACTACCAGCAAGATTTTTTTATAACAATAGTAGAAACATTAACATTCATAACCAATTTATATACAATAGACATTTCTAACAACCTTCACTCACAAGCAATTCATACCGGTACTTACTATATAATTCTAACAACCTGACTCATATGCAATATACATCTCTAACAACCTTCACTCTTATGGAATTTTTTTTTTAATAACCTTTAATTATATGCAATTCATACCGGTATATACTATATATTTCTAACAACCTCCAATTATAATCAGTTCAAATACAATATATATTTCTAACAACCTTCAGCCAAGTTTTGCTTTCAATTTAAAGGATAACTATTGTAAATGACATCCTGAAAAGGTAAGTTTTATCTAACTAAAACAGATATTATGATAAAACAAATTTATTATCTCTCAAAATTATGAAAACAGAAATTGTAAAAAAAAATCTTATTCACCCCTCAAAGTACTCAATTAAAATATGGCTATCTCTATTCTAATACAATGCAAGAAATCTTGAATTTTTTTATTTCAATTTTTTTTAAATTGCCAGAAACATCATGCAAGTCTGTTCCATCAATATATCATAAGTCTGTTATATGTGAATTTTACTCTTTTACAATTTTCCTACGAGAATTAACATTACAAAGTTTGAAAGAACAATGCTTTAAAACTAATTTTTATCTGATCTTTTCAAATATATGTGATTGGCTTATTTTTTTCCCCATTATTTTCAAACCTAGATAAAAATATTTTCCATTTTGAACAATGGATAACCACGATTACTGTATCCAATCTGATTAGATCTTTTGGCAAGAAAGTAATGGCCAATTTAACAACTACATATACATGTACGACTTCTGACTATTTACAGATAAAAAAGGTCATTTTAATTAATATGCATTTGTTATACATGAATCATGGATAGGAAAAATTTAAGAAGTGGAGCTTGATTGTCATTTACATTATTAGATTAATTTCAGGGTTACAATGCAAGACACACTTTCTCACAAGAAAACAGTTTTCCTGTGTTGTAAACAAACTTCATAACAATACATAGTTTTCATTTGATTTAAAACAAATAAATAAATAAATACTTTGATTATTAGAGTAAAAGGCTAACACAATTTTCAGTCTGACTCATCAATTATCTTATTAAATGAGATAGACCTTTCTTTTTATTTATTTAAGGAATGACAGTAATATTTTTTCTGTCTATGAAGAAATAACCTTAAAAATTTGTAAGGGTTCCGCGGAACCCAGTGTCTCGCCTAATTTTGCTGTTAATCGCAGGCTCAACAAAAATGAGATGAGGAAAAAATTAAATAAAATATTCCTCTCGATACAATTTTTTTATTGTAAGAAGCTTCTGTCCAAGTTTGGTAAAATTCCAGGATAGTTTATGAATCTAATAAATATTTTAAAAAATTTAACTGCAGACTGTATGTAATGTTAACTGGAAGAAAAACTAAGTCCATCTATAAGTAAAATATGGATAAACAAGTACAAAATTTTAATAAAAATTTTTTCTAGATACTAGCTTTTGATCATAAACAAACTTCTGTCCATGTTTGGTACAAATCCAGGATAGTATAGGAAAGTTATTAAAATTTAAAAAACTTTAACCACAGAGTGAATGTAATGTTTCCTGGCAGAAAAACTAAGTCCATTTATAAGTAAAATAAGGAAAAACAGGATTTTTTTTTTAAATTTACTTCTGGATACTATCTTATGATCATAAACAAGCTTCTGTCCAAGTTTGGTAGAAATGCAGGATAGTTTGAGAAAGTTATTAAAATTTTAGAAACTTTAACCACAGAGTGAATGTAATGTTTCCTGGCAGAAAAACTAAGTCCATTTATAAGTAAAATACGGAAAAACAGGAATTTTTTTTTTTTAAATTTACTTCTGGATACTATCTTATGATCATAAACAAGCTTCTGTCCAAGTTTGGTAGAAATGCAGGATAGTTTGAGAAAGTTGTTAAAATTTTAGAAACTTTAACCACAGAGTGAATGTAATGTTTCCTGGCAGAAAAACTAAGTCCATTTATAAGTAAAATACGGAAAAACAGGAATTTTTTTTTTTTAAATTTACTTCTGGATACTATCTTATGATCATAAACAAGCTTCTGTCCAAGTTTGGTAGAAATGCAGGATAGTTTGAGAAAGTTATTAAAATTTTAAAAACTTTAACCACAGAGTGAATGTAATGTTTCCTGGCAGAAAAACTAAGTCCTTTATAAGTAGAATACGGAAAAACAGGAATTTTTTTTTAACAAAATTTACTTCTGGATACTATCTTATGATCATAAACAAGCTTCTGTCCAAGTTTGGTAGAAATGCAGGATAGTTTAAGAAAGTTATTAAAATTTCAAAAACTTTAACCACAGAGTGAATATTTGTGGTCGCCGCCGACGACGCCGACGGAATGTAGGATCGCTATGTCTCGCTTTTTCGACAAAAGTCGAAGGCTCAACAAAAATGGGGTGCACACTGAATAATCCGCTTTGAAAGTGTGCACCACATTTTTTAGGTTATTTCGAATAGACAGAAAAAATATTACAGTCATTCCTTATAATTTAATTCTAAATTCCGTTTTTAAGGAGTAAATTTTGAAAAAAACGGTGGTGACGTCACGGTCACATGACAAAATTATGTCTATGAGCTGATAGACAAAACACTTCCAGCCAATCAGAAGACGTGTTACATCCAAAATTAAATTATTCATTAAAAAAAGTTGATTATATTATCTAACAAAATATTAAAAATAACAAAATGTTACATGTACATGATGTATATATACAAATAAGACATATTGGATAAAACATTTAGGGTAATAAACTATAATTTTACAAAATAATTTATGGCACAAATACTGGAATGTTTCATAGTGATATGTATATTTATTGCATACAAAAAAGTTATGAACCTAAGTATAGTTGGAATAAATAACTGTATTATAATTACTGCAGTTGTTAGATTTTGAAACATTTTTGTGTTATTTTGATAGGCTTCATGTTTTCACATTTTTGGACAGATCTTACTGTACATATATGCATGTGATTTACAAAGCACTTAAACTTATGTCCTGCCCTTCTAAAATTATACAATTATATGACCACATGAAATAAAAATCTTGATTTTTACCATTTTTGTTATGGATCAGAGCCTATTTTGAAAATGTGTGATGTTGATCAATTATATTTTTTATTGACTTTCACTAAATAGGGAGAATAATAGAGATAGTAACCTCATCCACTTAATTTAATCTGTACCTATTGTTGTATTTGTGATGTACTTTTATTTTATAATATGAATCTTCTGCCTCGTTCTAAAATCATTAATACTTTAAGGGTTTCTTAAACTCTCTAGATGATGCAGGTAAATGTCCATCTTTCAAGGAAGAGTGCTTCAATAGTTGTATTTATTCTATACATTTGGTATATTGTCTCTTGTATATCATTCAGTCAAGCTAATCCATTTTATTTATAAATGAACATTGATCCATTTTATAAAGACAACTAAAACACCAATAAATATGATAATTGTGTACAAACGAATATAGACAAAAAGCAAAGTGCATAAAACATATAAAAAAACTGTGTAAAGAGTATTATATAAAGCTTAACCTAAGAAAATACAAAACACCTTTTAAACAATGATGCAAAACAGTAATTGTACTTGAAGGTCACAAAAATTCAAAAAGTATATGAGCTAAGACAAAATGTACACTTAAATTGTGTAGATAGTTTTCTTTTGGTTGAAAAATATTGGATTATTCCAACATGTCAGAAAATATTCAATTAACATCTTCAATTCAATTGTGTTAATTTCCAATATGAGTACTGGTATTAAAAAAGTTGACATAAAAAATATTTAAAAACAAATGTTGATATCACAGCTATAAATAGAACTGGAAACTTGAGGTGTACATCTGTTGCTTGGTTACAGTAGTCTGAGTTACAGGTACATGCTGTCACAGATATACCGTCATATGTTGTATCTGTACATCGCTCACTTGTCTGTATTACACATGCTCTAGTAATTTCAATTCCTACAAAAAAGCATTATTTGTTAAGATAAAATATACAAACATTTATGTTTAATATAGTGTACAAAAACCTTAAGGTGGTACCCAACACCTTGACTAATATTAATTTGGCTCGTTTAATTTTCATAAAATTTTGACAAAACGTTTACTTCGACCCTTTGACAAAAATAAAAAAATTTCAAAAAATTTGAAACAACCACTTTATCAGAAAAATTTCATTGGTTATATAGCAGTTTGACAAACACTAATTTTGATCATTGAGAAGCTTAATATTTCCTTAACAATACAACGTGATTAAAACGTTCAGCTGATTTTTACAGAGTTATCTCCCTGTAGTGTTAGGTACCACCTTAATACTGAAAAAAGTTAGCTGATTTTGAAAATGAAAACTTTAGCAAACAAAAGATGTACAATGTATGTCAGGGTTTTTTATAGCTACTATACAGTATTGGTTTTGCTCATTGTTGAAGGCTGTACAGTGACTTATAGTTGCTAACATCCACATCATTTGTGAAATTATCCCTTTTATTATCAGCAAGCTTGAACTGGCCACAGTTTCAAAGCAAAGTCAAAAGTATAAATAACGTATATTATTTCTTTGAAGTTATATACTGTATTACTAAATTTTTTTTCTCAGTTTATAAATGCGCAAATATAATTCCAACTACTCAAATATAATCTTCATATCCCTGTATGTGCTTGCATTGATGTGAACGATATGTAATAGACATGTGCATTTCAATTTAAAAGAATGTATATATAATGCTTAAGAACTAGTGAAATTGCCTCAAACATTGAAATAATCAAATATCAAAATCAATACAATATGTAAATGTAAAGGATACAAAAAAGCACAACTGCAGGCATTTTGGATACACAGATTGTGATTGCCAATTACATTTTTTCTACATTTGTACATGAAAATTGAGAAACAGAGAGGAAAAACTTTGAACTTGTACAAAAATTTTAAAGAAGTAGAAGTAGAAAATGACATAACAAAACAATATTGAGTAAAATTCAATTTGAAAATTATTTACATTTTCATGATGCAGATACATGTATATCATATGATGAAGACATAATCTTTCAATCAGTTTAATTGAGGTCTGGAGCTGGCAAGTCAGTAACTGCTAGTAGTCCTTTGTTAATTTATGTATCATTGTCATTTTGCTTAGTTTCTTTTGTTACTTATTTCTGTGCGTATTGCTATGTGTTTCTTTATTCTACATTGGCTAGAGGTATAGGGGGAGGGTTGCGAACTCACAAAACATGTTTAACCCTGCCGCATTTTTACGCCTGTCCCAAGTCAGGAGCCTCTGGCCTTTGTTAGTCTTGTATGTTTTTTTAATTTTAGTTCCTTTATATGTTTTGGAGTTTAGTGTGACGTCCATTTTCACTGAATCAGTACACAATTTTATTTAGGGACCAGCTGAGGACCACCTATGGTTGCGGGATTTTCTCACTGCATTGTAGACCCATTGGTGGCCTTCGGCTGTTATCTGCTCTTTGGTCGGGTTGTTGTCTCTTTGACATATTCCCCATTTCCATTCTCAATTTTATATCAATATGAACCAGATATGTGCTAAGCGGTTCATTATTTTTTTACCTTACATGTAGTAATTGTGAGTAAATTTAGTTAAGTGGCTACCACACTTTTATTGTCTGACAAAAACTTGATCTATGTTTAGGATGCTTAAATTGCTCTTGTGAAAGAAACTGAAAATTGATATTTCATCAATGATTGAATTAATGATTTTCTTCCCTGAAAATAAATATTCAACAAATAATAATGTACAAATGTATATGACTGCTGAATTTGACCTGGAAGTAAAATAATAAACTCACCAGACCCACCCCTTCGTCCACGACGTTTTATACATGTGCCTTGACACTCCAAGGCATCATATGTTTGTAACTGGAAATAATCTCCACACCGGTTGTCATTTGTAGACTCACAGCTGTAACATTTTAAATAGGCGTTACCTACAAAGAAGTTTTAAGATTGTAACATTTATTAAACCTGATTAAATTAATCAAAATATACATAACTACAGATAAAGTTACAGGGAGCAAGATGATGAAGAAGTCATAGGGTTCTCATTGAACTAAGATCCTAGACAAACAAAAACCAGACTGGACATTGTTGGACTCATTTTCTATGTTCATGATGTTGGTACAAATATGCCAGTATCAGCTGGATCTAGTTAATATCATTTTATATATCTAAATGGCAATTCTATTCATTTTTTTTTATTTTATCAAAGGAAAATTTATAAAAACATACTGTGGATTTATTTTTATTTTTATCAAATTATGATGTTGATAACAATTTTAATGGTTGTAAAAATATTTGCTATTTTGAATTTTACTGTTCCCCAAATGTGACCTACCGAATAAGACTTATCACCAGATTTGTACTTACATGAGCAATAGGACAGGTGCCACATGTGGAGCAGGATCTGCTTACCCTTGCAGACCACCTGAGATCACCCCCGGTTTTTGATAGGGTTCAATTGCTCAGTCTTTATATTATGTTATGTTTTGTATACTGTTATTTGTCTTTTGCTCTTTTATCGTTATTTGCCATGGCGTTTGTCAACTTATTTTTCAACTTATGAGTTTGAATGTCCCTTTGGTATCTTTCACCTCTCTTTGAGTATGGAGAATCTTGTGGTTTGATCATTTCTCCTTTATATCATGGTACATGTAAATAAAACCTATAATTTTAAAGAGTTTTTAAATCAATGGTTTCCCATTTCCCACATTATTTGGTGTCCCACAATTAAATGTATTAATGAGTCTATTCAATAAATTTTACTTAAACTGTGACATAATTACAGAAGTCTAGAAGTTCCAACTATTTCATGGAGACACATATATCATGTAGCAGGATTTAAAAGATAAAAAAAACAAATTTTGTAATTAAGAAGTCTTCATTCATACATACTTTTTAAGAAAGGCAGTGAAAAATTACAAGTGTTCTGATTATGGAGCAACATGGATATAAATTCATCAAACATGTCAAATAAAGGAAAATGTTTTGCATTTTGGGTTAATTTAATAAGAATTGAAAATAATTGGACAAAAAGCAAAATTTTCAGCAATTTTCAATAAAGTTGTAAATTCTGTCACGTCTGTAATAAAATTTATCCAGAAATGATTTTTTCATTGCCATTGGCATTGGTGAAAATGAACATGATGGCCTATTTGGAGCAATCCCATTTAGGAGATGTTTGATCTTGATGAAACACATATGCTATACGAAAGTTACTTACATTTGTCCAGAAATATACAAATATATATAATAAAACAGGGAAAAGAAAGCAAATTCATCTTTGTAAATAATTCTACATTTCATGAAAATGTTACTTCCGTCAATAAGATTAATAACAATAGGGACAAATGCGTACGACGTGAATTATTCCGTATTTTAGGATCCACTACCAAGAATACAGCTGGGCATTTAGCGGTATCGGTTTGGAATCCAAGTATGTCCTTACCGGTTTCCCGGTCGTTGCCATAACATTCGTGCGGCATCTGGGGTGAACTTTTCTCTTATTTTGTATATATTTTGCACTTTTTATATTTGAGGATGAGCGAATCAGTTGAGTGGGCATATGTTGGGGGGGGGGGGGCTATGTTCGTATATTCTATTGTTTTATGTTTTATTCAACTTACTGGAAATGAGTCCTGTCAAGGCCAGGCTGGGGAACTGGGTGGGTAATTAATGCTCACATTAAATCTGTGCCAATACAGTGTGCTAAATGTCCTCCTTTACACCATAACTCATGGTGGTGCTTCGAATGAAAGGAGGCTTATACGTAGTATACATTCATTCATCTCAGTGTAGGTTTTTTAATTTTCATAATAACTTTTTTAAAATTTTATAGGATAGTTGAATTTTTATGTATGACATATTTGGTAAATTTTGTATAGATTCTATTGGCCGGTAGAACAGATTCTTATAGGCCGGATACTGATAACAATTTTACAAGCCTCTGGTAGAGGGAATGTGGCTAAGCGTGAAGACTGAATTGATTTTATTACAAAGTTAATTTATGATTATTTTATTATTTATATTATAGGTCTACTGAAAACTGACATATGGAAACTACACAACATTAGCTCCAAAACGGTGTAAACAGGGACACCGGAGTGTCAGATCTGTAATTAATATTACATAAACTGCTATTTCACTTATTTATATATTTTTTCATTGGAAAGGGGGGGGGGGGGGGGGGGGTGTAAAGTGTGAATAGTTTAATTGGATAACTCGACCGCCAGAAAAAAAAAATACCCCTTTGTATTTATAAATATTTTTAGAATATCGCTGTTGATACCTAAAATAGTTATTTAATAACATTTTGGGAAAAACTCTGAGTAACAGGAGTATAATTTACAAAGAAATATTAAACGCTAAGGAGATGTGGTAAGATTGCCAATGAGACAAATATGGACAACTACTCACCAGAGTCCAAATGAAGTGGAAAAAGTAGCTATATCATGTCACCGTATGGCCTGCAACAATGAGCAAAATACGCGCCGTATAGTCGGCTATTAAATGTCCAAACATGACAAAATGTAAAATAATTCAATCAAGAAAATCAACAGCCTGATTTATGATTACAAAAAACGAGGAAAAAAAACCAACGTTACAAATATGACAGACAGCAACTAGCGACAAACACTGAGTTACAGGCTCCTGACTTGGGACAGACACACAAAGAATGTGGCGGGGTTACACATGTTTGTGGGCGCTCAACCCTACCCTTGACATGGGACAGTGTGTTGTAGAAGCATGTCGTGGATATTTGTTGCCTTTTTTTGTTAATAACACTTTTTTTGGCAAATGTGTACGTCTGTTGGGTCGTTCAATAAGTAGATGTATATACGTTACTGTTCATAAGAATTGCCATTTTTCAGAGCCTGACATAGTCAAATGTTGTGTTTGTAGTTTCCATCACTGACAGTAGTAAGTAAATACTATTTTAAAAATAATACATATTGCGAAAATGCCAGTGCCAAATCAATGATATCTCTTATGTCAACGCGGGGAATGCTCTGTCCTTTACACGTGTCAAACACATTTTTTTGCCAGGTATCCTTAACCTTATATGAATGGGATATTTTTTAATGTTAATTGTCATTTGACACTTTCAGTATTTTTAGTGATCGTTAGATCATCACATGGAAGGAATTTGACCATTACCGTTATTATAATAAACAATTTAACACTAAGCTTCATACTAAATTGGCTCTGTTCTTTTCAGGGAGACTAGACTGAAGAACACATTTCTTTACAGATGAAAACCAACTTAGCTCAAATTAGCCAGAATGATATATAAAAAGAATTAGAATTTTATAAATATTTACCGAAACTCTAACGCAACGAACGCTTATAAGATCAAACTAGAAACAAAGTCAAGAATTGAAAATGAGTTATCTACCGGAAATGTAGAAATAAAGGTGATGCCATCATCAAAGATGACATCATGGATTACCGGTAGTTGCTTGAATAGGTAAAAACAGAAAAAAGTACATAAATGAATGAAATATCTCTATTATATCCTGTTTATACAGAAACATTTATTTCATTTTGTTTGTAGAACAAGACCCATATTCCATTTAAATTCCCCTACTAAGATTTCACATAATGATATAGTAGATTTCAATGGAAGAACTAGAGCAATGAGAGAACATACACAATGAATATGAAATTAGTCTTCTGCTATCGAAATAATAATATACGAATCAGCAATTTTCATGCTGCATATTATATATAGCTATTGTTTAAATTTAAAAAATTGAGGGACTTTTTTTTTAAATATGTTATCTATGTTCATAAAGTTTAATAATTTTTCAATAAGTGTCATGATGATGAGATTAATGGTATTTCTGATCATTTTTGGAATTTTGTTTACTAACTGTAGAGGAGCAAAGAAAGGTATGGGAAAATCAATTAATATGCTTTGATAGAATGGCAGCGGAGGCGGACTCAGAATTAAAATGGTCGATAAAAGGGGATCATATACTTACTAAGGAAAACATGAAGTTGTACTTATTGGCTGTGAGTTGCATTCTATAGTTTTTGGAAGAAGTAGAAAAAATATAACGACCTTGATTTAATTTATAAGCATTTCATGAATGTTTCATGTACTAATAGTGATAGATTATAATATAGAACAGCTAGCTATATACATATATATATATATATCTAACATCACTGAAGAGACATTAATTGTCGAAATCCGGATATGGTGTACAAAAAATCTTTGCACCTTTGTTTGCGGTATACCATCTTTGCCCCAAGTTTATTCTTTTCTGTTTGGTATTAAATTTATAGTTAAGATCCATTTATTACACCTTGTGATCCGTTTATTTGGCAATCGCCAATGGCAGTTAGCAGGATTTAAGAACATTTGTTGTTCGACCTGTTAGTCAAATGCGTTTTGTTAAAATATACTTTTTCACTTTTTTGGTCTTTTGGAAAATGTTGTTTGTGCTGTATTTAGACCCCTCTAACAAGAAATTTGTTTTGCATGCACACGTATAAAAATTGCGGTTTTTATCCAACGCAATCATAAGTTTGAACGTTGTTTTCAATTTAGACTTGTATTATATATATAAAAAAATTGCGGATCTAACATTGTTGGGCTGTTATTTAGACGAATTATGTATACAGAATGTGTCTTCAGCCTTGTATCACCATCACTGGTGATCCGATGGATAAAATCTGTCGTAGAGTTGTCACTGGTTCAGACGTACTTATGATATAATTATTTCTGTGACTGCATCCTACATTAATTTGTAAGATCCTCTACGATAGATAATTCAGCTGATCTGTAAAATTCCATCTTCATGCCTTATATATCATGTACTTTGTTACGACGCTAGATATAAACTGACGAGGAAAGGTAACACCCGGGGCGTGTTTTATTGGTCTCTTCAGAATGTCTTCTGGTGGAGAGTCCAAAAAAATGAATCTGGACCTCTTCTGGAGATATTCTACGGAAGACCAATAAAACAAACATTCAATTTGCCGTCGAATATAGCAGATTTTTGTTATGTTGGATGACATAAGTGAAGTTTACGATTATTTTATAGAAAATTAAGATACGTCCGGTAGACATGATTGTAAAAGTGTGCTATGTTCGTGACATTTTTTTTTGTTCTTTCCTCTAACTCAATTTTGCTAGACAAATCTGGCTTAAACCCCCACTATTTGATTTTTAAGAATAATCTTAAACTGCACAAAAATTCGTCAATGTTTGTCTATCCAATTTTTTTGAAGTAACCAAACTGGATTATTTTTGTATAAAGCAAAGATATCGGAAAGTTTTCAAAATCATTTTTCTCTGGCGGTCCTTGAAGAAAATCTTCTGGTCCTAACTATTATTTCTATTGCAAAATTTCGATGGTCAAAACCTTCGGACCACCACTTTTAAAAAATTTTCATTATATATGTATCAATATGCAAGTATACAATGTATACCAGACATTTCTCAGACTGTTTTTTTTTCTTTTTTTTTTAATAAATCCGTTGGTTGTGTACTGATTGATACTTCAGTCTGGGAGAACAAGATTTATTTCAGTACTAGTTGTTATTAGCTTTGAACAAACTTCCAGTAATTGCAAATACTCTTATTTCGGTGCTTTGTGTCTATTGTCTTAATGTAAGTTTTTTTTTGTGTGTCTCGTACCGTTCTTTTGAGTTAATCTAATTGCAATTGATTTGTGCAGGTTGTTCTTATATTGTACTGTTACACCACTGTCCCAGCTTCGGGAAGGGTTGAGCGCTCACAAACATGTTCTTGTACTGTTACACCACTGTCCCAGATTAGGGGGCGGGTTGGGCCGGATCCCGCTAAAATGTTTAACCCCGCCACATTATTGTCCGTGTAGTTCTTATATTTATCCAGCTTATCGTCCTACAGGGATGTCCTGCTAAGACTGTCATACCATAAAAACGTTTATAACACAGCTCACATTCTAATATATCTACATTCATAAATTTATTAATATCATTTAGACTAAACGACGCCATGTTTGTTATGTGCCTCTGCCGTCTAAACTACCTATCAAAAAAGAAGAGGTGGAAGAGAGCCAGAATATCTTCCCTATTAAAAAAAAACAGAAATGGACCTCTTCTGGCTCACTACCGAAGAACAAAAAAATACGCCCCAGCTGGCCACCGAAAGCTTGATTTTCTGTTGAGTCTAGGTGGTCGAGTGGTCTAGCGCGTCGGCGATTTGGTGCCACGATATCTGAGTAGCATGAGTTCGAATCCCGGCCAGGGAAGAAAAAAAAATGTTTGCTTCCGCAAATTTACAGATCTAACATTATTGGGCTGTTATTTAGACGAATTAGGATGATTTTCACTGTAACTTTATAAATTGCCACAGGAATCAATAATTTCCTAATTTGCACATTATTATAAACAATACATCACAACTCCTAGTTTAGAAATCTTTGGTTCCTCTGGAGTTGGGATACGGCATGAAAAAGCAATCAATATTTTTTTCGATTCGTACTTGATAAACCAACGGAAAAAGTAATTGCTTTGCTGTTAGAATTTCTTTATTTTCTAAATTGTACTCACATGTTCATATACTTTTGTTTGCAAGAGTTAGACATGGTCAAAGAACATTGCACACATGTATCATATCTTTTCAATTCTTTAAATTTTGAAACACATGTATTTCCACCCAGTAAACCAATAACTGTTCTCGTTCGAGTAGAAAGGGAATTTTAATTTAATTTAATCGTCTTCCAGCATAAATGAAACTAAATTTTAGAAGAATTGAACATCCATTTTGATTTTTTTTTCATGGGGTTTACAATATATATATTTATATATGAGGGTCTGGATGGGGTTTACAGAATCGAAAATATTGGGGGGGGGGGGGGAGAAAAATAGGCCCCAAAATAAAGAATAATGAATAATGGGGTCCTAAAATATAACGAAAAGAGAAAATGTTTTATTTTAAAGAATACAAAATTGAGCCCCCCCTCCAATCCAGATCATCATACATTGATTAATTTAATTTGTTGTGTTACAGATGTTATTTGGTTGGTAGATGCATCAAGTTCAATATCAGCTACTGACCATGCACTGACAATGGGTTTCATTTACAACGTGACATCACATTTAACTATAGGCGACTCTGATATTAGAATGGCAGTCGTTACGTTTGAGGTTGAGACATACGCCGAATTTGAGTTAGATGATAACACCAACAAAGCAAGTCTTCTGTCAGCTATAAACAGCATATCATACACTCAATCAACCGTATCTTCGAGGAAAACTATGGACGCATTAACATATACAAAAACACTCTATCTTACCCAAAAAGGAGGTCGCATTGATGCTGGTAAAGTTGTTATTGTGATAGTAAGCGGCACTTCGACTAGCGAAGCTCAAACTAAGAACACAGCCGGGGATCTCAGAACATCACATGGAGTGGAAGTGTTTGCTATAGGCATAGGCTCGGATTTATCTTCAACAAATACCGAATTGCAGGGAATTGCAAACGATCCTGACTCGTATTATGTTGAATATATTGGTGGATTTATAAATCTGTGTGGTATTGTTCCATCCATTGTACCTAAGATTGGTGAGTCTCAAATAAAACATTCCAATGGTTGATATGCAAACCCATGCAACATAAAGTAAAAATAAAAGATGCAGCATTTCTTTTATGTCTCTTGTGTCACCCGATATTTTGAAATGATTTCATTGATATGTTCAATTCCCCCGTCGGTTTCCGTCTTTTTTGTATATGCACTCAAAGTAATATGGAATTGTTTCAGCATGCTATTCGTTTATTCCGGAAAGTATGTCCTGCTTTTGATCGCGATATCCTCCAAGCTATATAAAATAATTCATCGTATTCTGGTGTTTAATTATTCATAGAGCACACTTGTTAACCTTTAGATAATAAGTTGTTATTGGTAAATGTAATAATCAGTATAATAATAATCAAAACAACAGAAACATTGAATGTAAATCTTAGAGGTAAGGCATATTTCCGTCTTTTTGCTTAACTTGTATGGTCAAAATCTAATACTCGTCAAACCCTACTGGAATTTGAATATTAAAGAATATTCATCGTACATTTAAAAAAAAACATGTTTTATACAATTATTACATATTACATAAATTCAAAATGTCATTCTGCGCTTCATACTGCTGTTGAAGACATGTTGATAGAAATTTGCAATGTTTAAATTTTTAGAAAAAATTGCCATCCGTAACCAAAATTAATTAATATGTATTGAAAGACAATGCACAGACCAACTTCTAACATAATGTTGGTTTTAGCAAGGAGGTTAAACCTCCTTGGTTTTAGTTAAGAATTATGTTTTTCCTGTATATTTTGTAAATAAATTCTAAAATTTACCAAATCTGTCAATGTTACAGTTTCCAGCTATCTCATGTGACCGGTTGTTACAATTTGGTGATCTTTTCAGGGAAAAACATAATATTGTTAAAGCTACAATGTAAACTATGGAGCTATGCTATTGTGAATTTAAGTTAAGATTGAATATTTGAGAAAGGGCTCTTTGCTGTGAAATAAATTTTGGGGAAATTGACCCTTTATATGTACATCTTTATTCTGGTGTTGTCTCCTGGAGATGTAAGATATGTACACACATTTTTCTTCTTTAATTTGAAGATAATGAAACAACAGCTACAATGTTGGATGGTTGTGTTGAGTGGGTAGAGCCTACGACCACAGAAATAACTACAACAGACAGAATAACAGAGGCGACAATTTCCCAAACAAACGAAGGTATTAGATTGGTTAATTTTCATCAAATACAATAACACTAATGCACATCAATACTGATAATAATCATAACAGAGGCGACAATTTCCCAAACAAACGAAGGTATTAGATTGGTTAATTTTCATCAAATACAATAACACTAATGCACATCAATACTGATAATAATCCTTCCGCCAAAATAACTTGTAAATTTTGAATACCCAACTACAAAACTTTGAAAGGCGAGGAAACCTGGTGAGTAATTAATGCAAACTGTGATGAAAGAGTTAAGTGGGTAAATATACTGGCATAGCATTTAACTACATGTTTTTCCTGATTATCATTTTATCAGTTCTGACTATACAAAATATGTGTTTATTTCACTCGAATTTATAATGAACGTCTATCTATATTACCGTTCTAATTTATTATAAACACGTTTATAACAAATCTGTATCTCAACTCACTAACATTTACCCATTGTATCCTATTTTCGAGTGCAATATTTTGACTGAGTGTGGATTCGCATGGCGGGTGATGCATACATAGCAGGAGACGACTATCAGGTGGACACACCCGTTCTCGGTCCACTAGGGTTTTTTTCCGATTACCTCAGTTTTTCTTTAACCTTGTGTTGTATCTTTGTAATAGATTCATGAGATTTGAACATCGGTAAAGTACAGTATTGCCTCTAATTTATATATATACTGTATAAAGAATAAACATAAATTGTCTCGAAATATAAATGTTATTTGTACTCGGCTCAAAACAGGATAGAAATGCTTGGCAAAGCCTCGTTTTCTACCTGTTTCTAAGCCTTGTACAAATAAAATTTACATTTCGGGACAATGTATGTTTATTCTATATATAACATTTGTATTCCACCAATACACATAGTATAAAGTATGAGAAACATAATCAGCCTTTTTTCATCTTGGCACTATGCTGTTTAAAAATATTTGTCTGATGCAAACACAAATGCTATTTTAATATCACTACTGATTAGTTGTCAAATTAAGATCTAAAAGTACCCGTATTTCTTTTTTTTTTATTTTAGGTTTAGATGCCGGTGCCATCATAGGTATCCTGTTATCATGTTTACTGCTTTTAGCACTTTCATCCTGCGTATTATACCTACTGTATAGAAGAAAAAGGTATGGTGTAAGATATTCATGTTTATCAGTAACAACGTCGGATTCCGAAAAGTCTGGAAACAGAAAATCATTTTTACATGTACATGTACATGTACTTGTTCTTTTATATATATATGTATCTAACATAGTCGGACAGTAACATAGGATTGAATTGTCTGAATATCATTTTAAACGTTCGATTGAACTTTAAAAAAATAACGAGAAAATTGTATACAAAAAAGTATAACAAAAATACCGAACTCCAAGGCAAATTCAAAAAGAGGGAAGTCCATAAAAATTGACAAAATCAAACGCTATCAGTCAACGGAACAAGTGAAAAACATCTGCCATATTCCTGACTTGGTACAAGCATTTGCCGAAGAAAATGGTGGGTTAAACCTTGTTTCATAGCTAGCTAAACCTCCCACTTGTATGACAGTTGTCTATAGTTCCGTTATATTGACAAAATTGAGTGAGCAACCCAAACAGACGTAATAGGTTATAAGATGGATGGATATTGTATCAGTGAATCGATTGTGTAACCATGCTACAGTAGTCGGAATATATACTACCACAAACGGTGGTTACAACAAACTCTTATATAATTTTTACTTTGCTCCCCACTGGAGGTATCTTTTTTTTATTAATGGAGAAGTATTGACAAATTTCAATTAGTAGCATCTAAATGATATACTAGTAATCACATGTTAACTCGTCCAGAGCTTTTTGAGATAATTTAAATGTGCTATATGCCTTTTTATGTTGTTTATAATTCTTTTTTGAAACTTTTGGCTGATATCAATACTATTGTTAATCATGTACAACTGACACAAAATCTATATACCAAATATACTTTGACCTGCAACTTTAACTGACACAATCGAGACGTTCGAGGTGAACTTTCATATTTCAGCTTTTTGTTACGGTATTCTTCTTTCTTAGAAATAAAATTATTACGACAACATTAAAATAAAACCAAAGATTACTTTCTTGAACGTTATTTTCGATTTCCAATGCTCATCAACTTCGTTTTTGATTAAGACTTCCATTTCAACTGTTTTGATTCGAGTGCCACTGTCGAGATTATGTAGACAAAACGCGCGTTTCATTTTCATCAAATTATATGCCTGGTATCTTTGATGGTTTTTTTTTAATTTTAGAAGAATAAACGCTTACTTTCAGTGAAAAGATAAAATCTGCATCTTAAGTCAAATATTTATAGTCCCTAAAATCTACTGTAAACAAAACTACATTTTTATTATTCTTTATTTCATTTAGAAGAAAAGACAAAAAAGACCAGATTAATCCTGAAGATACGATAGTAAAGGCTGTGAATGACTACAATAACACAAGTCTTGGAGAAAAAAGACACATTTACAAGAGAGACACTACCAGCCTCAATACCAAACCTACTAAAGCAATGAATGAAAATGATACACTGTCTTCAGTGTATGAAAATCTCGGAGAAAGAAGTGTTACATCGTCTATTATTAATGTAAAACTTCCTATATGAAATATTATGTGTTTTGTTAACGTATTGTTTAGCTAGACCTGTTTTACGACCACAGCAAAATAAATAAATAAATTTAAAAAAAAATGAAAAGAAATACGCTTACATACCTTTGGACTTGTTTTCAGTTTTGCTGTATTTGTTTTTTTGGTTTTTTTTTAGATAACAAGAAGATAAAATTATGTGCAATAATGTAAACTATTGTTTTTATTTGTTTTAAGCTCAACCAGTATAACTGACTCAAAAATAAATTTGGGATTCAGACGATTGCAAATAACATAAATTTCCTCTGATGTTGCTGGTCTTAACATCATTTGGTATCATACCGTACCGAACATGTACTGAAAGTGCATCCCCAATTGTTTCTGAATGGGATTTAAAACACATTTCAATACTTTTTTTTAATAAATTTGAGTTTCCTTCCTTGTTTTGGTTTCTTAATTAACTTTGTCTACTTTTTTATTTTTGTGATATAAATCACAATCAGTTGTTATACTGAGTGTAAACATTTTGATATATTAAACTGATTCAAAACTAGAGAGTATTAACAAATAATTGCAAATACTTTATGAACAACATACAATTACATCCATATGCATGATTTTATACATGCAAATTTTAAAAAAGTTACCAGGCAATGTCACAAAACTTCGATCTCCTATGCATTATGTTATTGCCTCAAGCAAAAAAGGAAAATAGAAATTAAAAATTAAAAAATCGTAAGTCGAAAATACAGTAGAGGGATACACAGGTTTACATGTACACTTAACATATGTAGAAAAGTAATGGTACACCACAGCAATAAAACAAGATAATGACGAGAAAGGGACTCGCCTTACACTCTAATGATTTTAGACGATTAGAAAAACTTAATCCATCTTTTCAAATGGTCTGAAAAAAGATTCGATCTTTTTATGTAACACCATCAGGCATAGTCGCCTATTATCGTGACGTCACAATAGGAATTCAGAGGAAAACAAGAATATATGACAAATGAAGAACTGAGATCAAACGAACCACACGTTGCTTAAATAAGAATAACCAACAGGCAAGGGAAAGAATAAATTGACTAAGATTGTTTTTGTAAATATGCCAGAAATGGAGCAGAAATTGATTTGACTGGTTGTTAAGATTATGTCACTAAGAATTGAGGTTCTTAGATTTCTATTTTTAGATATATTCATGAAAACAACTGTGGAATATCGCTTTTCTATCTGACATTTTCAGTCTACCTTTGAAAATACAATTGAATATGTGACTCTTCCGTTGGTTGCTGTCTATCATATTTGTTTTTCGTTGATTGTTTTTTTCCACAATTATTAAGTAGTTTTTTTTCTTTATTGTACTCTCCAATAATATTGGTAATTCCTGTAATCCCTTTTCTGTATCATAAAAATACTAGTATTTTTTTTGCACCATTTTTTTTATAGATTCAGATTCAGATTTTGATGTTCCGCCTATAAAAACGAGGAGAATGGGCATTATGTTTGTCAGTCTATTCGTCCATCCGTTTGTCTATCTTATAGGAAGTTAAAGTTTTGGTTGAAGGCAAGTTTAAGTTTTGATTTAATGAAGTTCAATACAACACAACCGTCATCTTAAATGAAAATTTAGTACATATTAATTATGTGAATGTTTTGAAATATATGCCATATATAGAATGAGACTGAGATTTCGCGTTTACATGGAAATGTGATAGTGCAAGAGGCTCATTATGTTTTATGGACACGGATACTTGTTTCTATTTAAGTTTATATCAGCTTTCAATTTGGAACTTTCTATTTCTATGTGGCAACATTTCAGTGCCTGCATATTGAGTATATATATATATCTCCCATTTGATATTTCAGATCTTGCGTTTCCTATCCTTATTTCATTGATAGAGGGTTGCTGCTTACAAGGTAGCTATTGAATTAAGGGTCATTCCTTCAAAACGTACGGACGCACCACCAGTTTGTTGACCGTTATGGAATATCTGTGTCACAGATGACCATGGACATGTTCCAATTGTCGCAACCATATTCCAGTCCTCTTTTCCTCGATTCTGACAATATTGAATGAGACATATCACCGGATTTGTACGTGCATGAGCAAAACAGGGGTGCCACATGTAGGGCAGGAACTTTTTATCCCTCCGGATCACCTGAGTTCACCCCCGGTTTTAGTGTGGGTCGTGTTTCTCGGTCTTTAGTTTTCTATGTAGTGTTTTTGGAATGTTCGTCTTTTCGTCGTTTCTCGTTTATTGCCATGGACTTGTCAGTTTTTTTTTCAAATTTTGACTTCTTTGAGTTTTGAATGTCCCTTTGGCCTCTTTTGAAACCACCTTGTTTTTCCATACAGTAGGTGATGTAAGGGTTTTAACAAAATAAAAGTGAAACATAATGTACGAATGTCCAATAATTTACATAACATTATAATCACTAGAATTTCAATTCATATGACTTTATATGAAAGCGTATTTTGGTACAAAACTTGATAACAGAGTCACTGCATATCTTTTTTCACAAACAATAGTTGGAAGTGTTTTTTTCTGTAAGATGTTCATGGCTAGATAACTCTTATTGTGTAAAGATTGTTTTTGTTTACCACAAATCATTCAGCAACAAAAGGATTGAGTTATCACAGTTTAAAAAACAAAAAGAAAATTGGGATTTTATTAAAATGTTATTGTTTCTTATTCAGCACGTCTAGTGTCAGGTCATGTTAACATTGTGAATATGCACACAGCATAATTAAATTTGTCTCACATTTATCCTTGAAAGTTATTGTGTCCAAAATAGTTATTTAAATTATGACTTAACAAAGTAGAAAAATTGAAAGGATATTTAATTTTGTAAGGCTATATATGACTGTATATGATTAAGAAATGTTTAATAGAAAGATGCTATTTATCACATGTAGCATATAATGTTCAAATTTGTTCACCGAAAAAAGCACAACAACGAATTCGAATGAACATTTCAGTTACAAAAGAAAGTTACAAAGAAGAAGAAGAAAATACAGAGCAGAGGATTGAATAAAAAAGGTTATTAATGGAAAAACTAGTCATCATTTTGTGTACCACGCTTTGCATAACTTTGTTTATAAACAGAACACAGTCTACAAAAAATGGTAAGTTTGTTTGCATGCGTGTTAACTTTGTATGAAATTTTATACGATTTACGACTTTGTATAAGGATTGACGAAGATATAGAAATATTGTTTTTTCTTGGATTTCTCTGTTTCCGGAAGTACAACCTTTGCTAATGCGGGGCGTCCGGTTTGTCGTTCGGGATGTATGAATACACATTCACGTCCGGTCGGAATATGGGAACGTTAAATCAAATGTAGAGAGTGTGCAATATACAATGCACGTTAAAACTCCTCCAAATCGATCACAGTGGTACGTAGGTGGCCTGTTGCAAGGCAAACTATGTGCCCTTATCCAACATACCCCATTTTCAAGTAGCAGTACAAAACACCCATCCTTCATCCCTGTCGATACTTACTTTGCATGACCTATTTATTGAATTATTTGTTCATTTGTTCTCGCCCTGAACATGTTTGAAAGATTTGCCATTGAACGTTTAGCAAACAACAATAATGAAATCATAATTTGAGGACATTAGAATGATTGCTCAAGTAATCTCTTTTTTATTTATGAAAAGTGTCAATTCTCATTTGCCTGTGGTATATAGGTTCATGTACACGTAAACGAAGTATTAAAATACATTTGATGTTTACTTTTATGGAAAAAAAATTATTTAAAAACTCATCAAAGATACCAGGCTTATAATTTTGCACGCCAGACGCCCGTTTCATCTGCACAAGACTTACCAGTGACACTCGAATCAAAACAGTTGGAAGGCCAATTCAAATACGAAGTTGAAGAGCAATGAAAACCGAAAATTTCGAAAAAGTTATCCGAAATAGATAGCAGCATTAAGTGAATGACCAAGTAAAATACCCAACAATAAATCTTTCATATGTGCATCAATGGAAATAACATACATGACACATTTCCATATTTTATATTCATATGGCAAACAGAAAACAGAGAAGTGATGGAGCTGAAAATGTGTCATAACCTAAAGCTTACCAATATAAGCTCGGTACCAAATATCAAGAAGCTCTGTTTTTGTAAATTGCGTAGAAACATGTGACAGAAATGTGTTACGAATAGACGAACTGACGGAATTACAATATTTTAGAAGACTTTTATTGATTGATGTCCTTAAGTAAACTTCATTCTCTTAATCTTTTGAGATAATCGAAAAAGATTAAAGTTTCATTGACCTTTAGATATATTATCGGTCTTTTTGCTGTACCGGTACATCTTGTATTCATTTATGCAGTTTATTCTTTCCACAGATATTACATTTTTGGTTGATACAACAGGTGACGTTACGCAAGACGAATTCAAACAAGTCATCGACTTCATTTATAACATAACAAGTAGATTGGCTATAGGACCAGAAGATAATAGGGTTGCCCTTGTCACTTTTAACACAATACCAACGACACAGTTCGATCTAAACGATATAAGTGGCAAAGTTAGTTTACTGAATGCTATAATTTCCACTAAGAACTACAATTTAACTGGGACACGTGAAACGCACAAAGCATTAAGTCATATTGAAGACAATATATATGTTTCATCATCAGGAATGAGGACGGACGCACAATCTTCGTTACTACTAATCACGTATGGACAGTCACAATCTCCAACACAAACACAATTCGCTGCATACGTTTTAAAATCGACAGTTCAAGCTATTTACGTTATAGGAGTTGGATCACTGATGTATGACCAAACTGAAAGAAGTGATTTTCCAAATATAGCTAGTTCAATAGAAAACATATTCTATATAGAAGAAGTTTCAATTCTGTGCAATTATATCTTAAGTATAACTATTAAACTGGGTATGTATGCTTTATATTGTAAACCACTTGTAAGAAAAGTAAAGATACCTGTCCGGATGTCAGTTACAAACCATCAGTATCAGAGTAAAATTTTATCTCATTAAAAAAGCTTGAACAGGTCCACAAAGATTGAAAATTCAGCGATTCAATCTTGATTAAGGGTCAATTTAAGGTTTCAATGCATCTACATCATTCTTTAATTTTTCAAAACATGCATTTCCATAATGAAAATTATGAATTCTAATATGACGTGCTTCTTTCGCTTTGTAAACAACACCGTGATAAAAGTCTCGATATATCTATACTTAGCGCAGACTCAGAGATATACATAATAATGGATGTTACAATATACCTCCCACGTAAATCCACATGTATCGAAACCTATTTGCAAACGCTATGCCGATTTTTTTTTTTAAATTGCAATTAAAAAAAAGACTACAGAACACTTATTCTTATTCGGATGCATAACAGAAAGAATTAATGCACAAGTGCTCGGCGAAATCTACAAAATCCAATTAAAATAAAATTCCGCGAAAGTCCACTAATGCTTTTGGCGCATTTAAGTCCTTTCAAAACATGACGTCATACAAATGAAAACGCTAAAGCTGAAGGTTTTTCCGTTACGTGAACCATTGAAATTCGTATAATATTGCATTAAAATGCATTTTTGAGGTAGGATTTGTTTTGCTTTCTATTCTATTGCATTATTCGCATATTTACTGATTTCAGCAAGTCAACATGGCGGCTCCTTAGTAACGAAATGTCTACTTTGGATTACGAGAAAAACATGCAAATCAAAAATGGCAAATGTTGGGTTTGAAAATTAAAAGAATTAAAAACAATTTTTCTAGCTGTTATTTACGAAATATTTATGCAAGCTACAGATTTATTAGAATGTTTTAGCCTTATCCAACAGGGAGTAAAAAAGAACAGCCCCACATACGACATACCCACTCTCGCTTCAGTTTTTTAATGACCGTATTTGTCCTCTTAGAATCGAAATAATTCATGGAAGCCATAGCTTTGTTGTAAATTTACACATGGCCTGGGCCGTGATATTCGTTAATTTTATCCCTCGCTAACGCTCAGGATAAAATTCGAATATCACGGCCCAGGCCATGTGTAAATTTCCAACAAATCTATGGCTTCCATGAATTATTTCTTAAACAATGTGTCAAAATGAGTGTACTCACGATTTAGGCGATTTGTACTATTAGTACATCGTGTCTTGCTGATAATTTTTGCTGCATAAAGTTTCTCTTCATCTATTACAGTTCTCAGAAATTTGAATAAAATGCTCGCGAAGGTCAAGGACGTACACTACCAAGAATTCAGTTACATTTTACTTGTACTTTTCTGCCCTCTAGAAACGAAAAAATAAGAATAAAATCGGCATTTAAGGGCAAAAATTACGATAAAAAGTCGCCTGACAATTTCTTTATATGTATATCTTGTCTTGTTGAACACTTTTGCTTATGAAAGTTTCTTTGTATCTATCATGCGCTTAAAGATAAAAAAAAAAGAAAATAATGGGTAAAATTGTTATTTGTTATTGCAATCACTATTAAAAGGAGTCGTCTGACAGTTTGTCCAATTAGACGGAAGGTAGATCTCATTATTCTGAACATTTTTGCCCCTGTCAAATTGTCTCTATTTATAATGGTTAATGCACTTAAGATAAAAGACAAGGTTACATCTTATCCCTGTGATTTATTTTAAGCCTTGGTAGCCATGTTGGTTGGCAGGCTGTGTATGACCAGACACATTTTCCAAACTAGATAAACAAGGATAATGGTGGTCATGTTTGGTTCTATTTAGCATAGTAGGTTCAACAGAGATGATTTTTTTTAAATGAACGGATGACGACTAGGGACAACAAGTAAAAGCAATAGCTCACAGTGGCCCTTTTGGTAAGATGAGATAAAAAGAAAGCACAAAACCTGATTTTTTAATTTGCGTATTCATGACATAAACATAATTTCTTTTTGGAAACATTTAAGTGATAGAGCATCTGCCAGACATAGTTGATCAAATGTAATGATGGTATTTCTTAAATTAAATATGGGAGATAATGATAAAAGTTTTTTTGTACAGATCTATAACATAAGTTTTCCCTCAATTGTTATTTATTATTAGAATGGTTCATAGAAAACAGTTTAGAAGGATTATGGATAAAAGAACACGGTTTTATCCGAATTCTTTTCAGTGAAAGCACAAATAGTTTTTTTTTCTATGTAAATGATTTTTTTTCTGGCAATAAATTGAAATGGAAAAAATGTGCCAAAAGCGAATGTTTTTCATACATTTAGGAAATACATATAAACAACTTATCACGTTATTTTGCAACCCATTTTGTTGATCCTTTGCATTAAAATATAGGATGTTGACCCTATATAAGTGTATGATTTTGATACTGTAAAAATGCCTGACACTTATCTATTAGAATAATATTTTCAATGAAAAACTTATTGATAGATTTAAAGGCTAACGAGTGTATTAAAAAACCGTTACAGTAAATCGTTTTTATAATGATATTGAAACCGAATTAAATGAGAATATTGTTTTTTTTAGATTTGAATGCCACACAATCTGAAGTTGTTGGTTGCTCACCAATAACAACCACTTGGACAACAATATCAACAACAATACCAACAACTACAGAAATGAAAACAACAGAGTTAACATATTCAACAGAACTAACAGATTCAACTTCAACAGATTTAACATATTCAACAGAATCTTTATCCCAAGAAAAAACAAGTCTTAAACTAGACACTGGTATATATAATTTAAATTCTTAAAGACTTAAATAATCGAAAGTTGTACATGGACAAAATCGAAATACACATAACACGAAATTCACAAACGCTCGAACAAAACACCTTTATACCTTGCTGTTATAACGTCGTAAACGACTTTTATTATGTTCCTTTGGTGTCTTTGGACTATCTCTTGCATACGTCTGACAGTCAAATGGAATGTTTTCTTTCAGACGGCGATTCATTTTCAGAATGCAAGTGGCAGAAAAATTTAGGAACTGAGTTCCACCCTGAATAGTCCAGTTGGTCAACAGTTTTTGGTTGAGTTAATAGGTTCTTGTTCTAAAAACAGCTATACAAAACCATTTACAGTGTTAGAATCCTCGTATTCATGGTTTAACATTTTAGATATTTATATGAAATATGTAAATATTTTTGCGAATATAACCCAATCATTGATGGGATGGGTTATCTAAGTTTTTGAATTATAAACTTCTATTTTATGTATATATATTTATCTTTTTTATGGCTTTTTCGTCATATTTTTTGTATCTACACAATATGTTAAGTTCTTAAACGACCAGAATCTAAAACATGTTTTGAATAAACCAAACAGAGGCTGTCAAACACATGTCATCAAAATAACAAAAATCGTAAGTCTCAAATACAAAGCAACATACATATAATTTTACGCTTGTTTAGTTTTACTTGACCTTATACGTAATCTTTTCATATATGCAATCATTCCGTGTGACCTTTTTTTCTTTAATACTGAATAGTTTTGAATTGCATTGTTTCTGTTCAGGTAATTTTTCTTGGATTAATATGCATGTATTCCTTTCCTGTATCAAATTATAACTGAATATCAATAGTAACAATGAACGTAGGTCTTAATTTTATCCTGGTGAAATAATTTTTAATCCTGATGATTTCAGATATTTGTTTACTTTCATTTAAAGATAATGGGACAACAGCTTCACACTTGAATGGTTGTGTTGTGTGCTATCCAGCGACAACGGAACTAACTTCAACAGAGAAAACAGTTTCCAAAATAAACAAAGGTACTTTAAATGATTTTAATTTTTCGACACCACTTATCAGAAATAGCATGGAAGTACATCAATGGCACATAGAATCCTGACGCTGATCAAAGTCAAGCATTAAGATAAAGAAATGATTTACATTTTTCTGATAATATATATCCAATGCCGCAGCAACGATACGCATGTCACTGAGAAATTTGTTAAATTTAACTGGCCTGGCATCTTTTTTACTCGAATTTATGAACTTGTGAATTTATCGTTTTTTTTATTCAAAATATCATGCAATATCTTATACACACAAGAAGCTTTTGTATTAATCCTTCAATTAGGATTGTCATTAAAATGTTTGTCTAATGCAGACACTACTGCAATTATAACTATAATTATTTCTTTATTTATTATCTTAATTGTTAAGATTTTTATATGTACCTGTAATTATAACTATAATTATTTCTTTATTTATTATCTTAATTGGTAAGATTTTTATATGTACTTGTATTATTTTTTTTATATTCCAGGTTTACCAGCTGTTATCATGATAGGTATCCTGTTATCGTGTTTATTGAGTTTAGTCCTTGTAGCATTGGTTTTATACCTTTTGTGTAATAGGAAAAGGTATATGTATAATTCATCTTCTTAATTTACTATGTGACATCCCGAATATTGGACAAACAGAAAGCCAATTATTTTTCCTGCATATATTTAAAGTATTAAGGCAATGTATGATAAAAAAAAAATGACCATTCTGAATAATTATTACACTTTTGACTTCAAGTAAGATAGAACCCACAATCATGTTTTACTTGCAAATAGATGATGTGACGGTGCTGCCGTGGTACGAATAGTCCTTATAGGTAATTATTACAATTCACATCAATGTTTGTTGAAAATAGCGGTAAAAGACGAATAAAATGCAAGAATTGTAAGGTGCAAACTACCTCAAAAGGTTGTTTTTTTGTGAGCAAAGTACATTACAATAAGTCTTGAACTTGCTTTTCATAGGAACTAAATGTTTCTTGAATAAAATGATGTGCTCTTGTATTTCAAGTAGAAGTTAGAATATTGTGAACAAGAAAATATTTTTTTATTATTTTTTACTAAATACAGAAGAAATAACAGAGAAGAAAAGATTGATCATGATAGTACGATAGAAAATGCAGAAAAAGTTACAATGACGCAACTTTAGGAGTAAAAGGATATATCTACAAAAAGTGTATTACCAGCTTCGATATCAAACCTACAACAGGAAAGAATGTAAAGGATATACTGACTTTCTCTTGAAGATAGAAGTGTTACCTTATCTGTCATCAATCTTAAAATATCTCTATAAAATATAATCTGTTTTGTTTACATGTATTTACTTGCCTCACATGTTCGCTACTTCGAAACTACAAAAAAAACTTCGTCAAGTGACTAAAAAGGGAAAATGTTTCAAAATCCTGTCAATCGTTAAAGGAAAAGTATTATCATTGAAAAATTACATAAGTTTTGAAATTTCTTTTAATAATGTATACAATGTCACTTGATATTGATACAACCTTTTGGTTTCATATATTTGTTGAACCTAACTGCCACCAAGCCTCCGAAAGCCCTTGGAAGGTTTTTGCATTAGCTGTTGTCCAACAACTTTTCCTGTCAATCATTGTATTTTCTACAACTTTTCCATAAAATCTTGTCCTATAAATTGAAATGCCAATTGACATCAAACTTGGCCGGAAACATTCTTAGAGGGTTATTTTAAAAGTTATATCCAATGAGCCGGTTGTCAAAGATACGGCATAAATATGCAAGTTAAACCATACGATAACATTCACAATATGTTTAATGTCAACACCTTCTCTAAAGTTCAAATTATAATGGAAAGAAAGAACAATTTACACCCCTTTTATAATCGTGGTTGTTAATCCAACACTTTGCCGCCTTTACTTTAAAGAAAATATGTCAAAATTCCATTAACAATCTGAAAATGAGACCAGAGACAAGCAACATTTCAATGTTAACCTGAAACATTTAAGGCTTTTCTGTTTAGTTCTTTTGTTTCCCCCCGAATAGGGTTAATATATTGGAATCCCAAACTTTTGGTCTCGAGTATTCCCGATGAATACTACACAATAAACATGTACCATCTGCATGTGAATCAATTATATATATAGTTGATGTGGTTCCCTCGGTTTTAGTTTGTAACCCGGGTTTGTTTTCTCTCAATCGATTTATGACTTTTGAACAGCGGTATACTATTGTTGCCTTTATTTATATCTTCCCCCTAAAACAGGCCAGGCGTGCAATTATATTATATTGTCTTATACTTTTTAAAACAACCGAAAACGTAAACTGCAACTTAATCGATTGAACATTTTCGAAAAAAAATCTGGGCTGGTGTAGTATTCTAAGAGACTAGATGTTGTCTGAAAAATGGTTTCCATTTTTCGAAAAGAAAACGTTTTCAACACAAAATATACGTAAAGCTAGTTTAAAAATGCAGAAAAGGATTGTCATTTATGTCCGTTTAACTGAAGGCTTCCGTGAGGATTTAATATGATGTGAACATATAATTAAACGATTTAGATAGTTGACTGCACCATTTAAAATTAGTTAAATTCTCTCTTTTCTATTCAAGATAATAAATTGCAAGGGCACTTTGCTTATTCAAAATTAAAGATGTCATCAATGTTGACCTGGTTTTTAATACATTGAAAAATACCTTATGACCAATAGATGATTTACACGTCGAAAACATCATTAAATTGCTGCATTTTTCTTGTTGAACATGGTGAGTGTCCTTGTAAAGAACGATAAACAAACATACCGAACTCCAAGGTTAATTCAAAAAGGGGAAAGTCCATAAAACGTGACAAAAATGAAAGCTCGACAATATTAACCAATAGAACGAATGTAAAACAACTGTGATATTTCTGGCTTGTTACAATTTTTTCCGAAGAAAAGAGTGGGTTAAACCCAGTTTTATAGCTATATAAACCTCCCACTTGTAAGACAGTTGTTTATAGTTCCGTACAGACTTTATTTTTTATATCAAAAAATGAAAGCCTGATGGAAAATTAACAGCAAACACGACATAGTTGTAATGTACACCTCAAATATGAAGGTAACTTTCTAGTTTCTACATCGTAATCAGCATGAGACATTGCCAACAGTATCATTTGCTTATGCACTAATTTTCCATAATTTTCGAAATCTGTACATAATATACTATACATTTATTTCTCCTCGCCTTTATGGGAGATGAAGATATTTTTCGAGTGCATTGTCCGATGGAAATATGATTGTTCGAGGGTGAACAAATACGAAATGAAAAAGCATTTGATACCAAAAATTCCGAAAAGTTTTGCCAAATACGGCTAAAACTCGATATTTACCATACTATCGCTGCGTTTAGACATTACATAAACCGCGTGTTGACACGATGCTTAGACGGGGAATTCGACACTTTGAGTGAATATTATGCTCAGAGGGGATCATAATGTTCTGTTAAATATTACTTTGGTTAAGATTTAATTTACAAATACTAATTAAACTATTAATACTTACATACCGTTGAATAAAATGCACTATCAAATAAAGTTGGTCTTCTGTTAGATTTCTTAATGTGAATTGGTTCTAACAAATCCTTTTTTATATAAAATTTCATTTATGACGACCTCTTTATATTCATATGAAGTATGAAAAGGACGAACAAACTCTGATAATTTGTTTAAGTTAAGGAGTATTTCCCCCATACACACGGAAAACTTAGATAGGCCTATTAACTGCTTAGGTATCGTATTCTCGGAGCTCTCGAAGACTTAAGTATATACAATATTTTACATTTTCAGAGTATTGTTGCTACGAATTATAACCTTAGAATGTCTAAAACGATTTTTTCGTGGAAACTTAAGTTCGCTTTAGTGTAGGATTTGATTGATTGATTGTTGTTAGTTTAACGTTCAGTAGCAAATAGTTCATGTATGTTCAGGACGAAAACATATTCACTCTAAAAACAATAGATAGGTTCTACAAGGTATGGATTGACCGGAGTGAAGGGCGGGTAATTTGGACTGCTGCATTGTAATGAGGCTGCGTTTGATAGCAAAAGAAACGTTGCCATGCAACAGGCCAAATACGGAAAACTCAGAGAGTTGTTACAAGGTTTTTTTAAACGTGCAGTGAGCGTAGTACTCTCTTTACACGAGGCACCAGATTCAATTCCGACAGGACGTTGCTGTGTATTAATACACACACAGCCAACTTAAGCAAGGATTTTACGTCATGAACGGGAGGAGTTCAGGTGACCAATGTTCATGCCTTAGCAAATGTTCAGTGTTGTGAAAATTTTAAAGAAGAAACTTATATCTTTGTAACGTGACTTCCACGAAGACCTTTCAAGTTCAATTTTGCGGATGTTGTCGCAATAATTATTCCAGAGATTTGCTTCTTTGACAGTCTCGAATTGGTTACAACTGTTTCCGGTTGATAAGATTGTTTGTGTTGCTTTGCGGTAAGGTTGTTTTTTACATACAACAACTGTTTTCGGTTGATAAGATTGTGTGCTTTGCGATAAGGTCTTTTTAAAATGCAACATAGATAGAGTACGCTTCATCTTTCCTCCCCCTAAAAAAAAGAGAGAATATCTTTCGAATATCTTATTTTCCACGACTACAACACCTTCAGGCAATGATTACCTGAGACATTTAAGGATTTTCTGTTCAGTTCTTTTGTTTAACTCCTAAAAGGGTTAATATTTTGGATTTTCAAACGTTTGGTCTCGAGTATTTCCAATTTTCGAAAGCAAATGTTTTCAACACAAGATAGACCTAAAGCTAGATTAAAAATGCAGAAAAATGATTGTCATCTATGTCCGTATAATTAAAAGCAGTCGTACGGGATTTAATATCGTGTGAACATATAATTATACGATTTAGATACTAGAAGTTGACTGCACCATTTTAAATTAGTTAGATTCTATCTTTAATATTCAAGATAATAAATTGCTTGGTTTTAGAAAAAAATCAAAGATGTCTTCAATTTGTACCTGATTTTCAATACATTGAAAAATACCTTATGACCAATAGATTATTTACACGAAGAAAATATCATTAAATTGTTGCATTTTTCTTGTTGTGCAAAACCTTTTATCCAACGTCAATACAAAACAAAGAAGACCCTCATAAACATATAGGAAATTTCATGCAAGTGCATATTTATAAATAAGGAAAATTTATGGCTTTTTTTAGAAGTGACCTACGTCTGTTTCTATGTGTAAGATATACCATTATAATCACGACATAATATAAATATTATTTTTTTTTTAACAAAAGATGACATGAACCCTTATATTATCAAAATATAGAGAAATATAATATATTTCAAAATACCACATGTAGATTTCGTTACAATTATACGCTGCTTGTAACCTCTTCTGTTCTCTATTGGTGTGGATAGGTTTAGACAAAAGTAGTAAACAACCCTTTTGTCATTTATTGCTAATTAACAAGTCTTTAATATAGTCAGTGATTTAAGAGTTTTAAAAATAAAAGTGAAAAAAAAAAAGATTTCAAATGATTAAATCAAGGCGTAAATAGGTACATAACTTGATAACAAAGTCACTATATACCCTTTCAGTAAACAATAGATGGAAGTGTTTGCTACTGTGTGATTTTCATGGCTACCGAACTCTTATCGTGTCAACATTGTTTACTGTGCACCACGGTTCATTCAGCAATAAAATGATTGAATTATCAAAGACTGATCACGATTTAAAAAAACAAAAAGAAAATTGAGATTTTATTAAAAGGTTATTGTTTCTTAGTCAAGCCGTCGAGTGTCACTTCATTTTAACATTCTTACAATGAACGTTGCATAATTACATTTGTCTCATATTCAGCCTTGAAATTTGATGTGTTGAAAACAGTTAATTGAAATACGACTAACGAAAGGAAAAAAATAGAGAAGGGAACATTAATTTTGAAAGGTTATATATGATTGTATATAATTCAAAGAACTCGTGTAATAGAAAGATTTCAACTGTCACATGAAGCTATAAATGTTTAGACTTGATTACAGACAAAAGAAGAACTATGTATGTCCAATGGAGATATACAAGAAATAATAAGGAGAAAAGGTGTTACCATAAACTTTGAATCAAACAAAAAGAAGAAAATACGGCACTGAGGATTCAATAGAAAATGGTTATTCATGGGACAGCTAATCATCATCTTGTGTACCGCGTTCTATTTAATTATAATGTTAACCAGTACACGTTCTGCAAAAAATGGTAAGTTTTGGCATGTTTGCCAATACATCATGAAATTTTGTATGGATTATTACTTTGTGAATTAGGATGTTTGTCTCAGTAACCAGTTTTTTCTCTTTTAAATCAATTAACACAAGTACTACTTCTCATTTGCCTTTGGTGGTATATAGGCCAATATACAAGTAACCGGAATATTAAATTGCATATTGTTGAATAGCGGTAAAAGAGTTACAACAAACTATGTAAAAGTTGACCAACCTAATAACTTACTCCTTAATTCTAAATAGTTAAATATTTGTAGACTTTTCTTGCTTGTCCGATTAATAATACAAGTTTCAAATTCAATTATTGCTAAAATTTATTTATTGTTATGCAATCGAGGAGAGTTTTGCATTAGGAGGTCTTTTTTATCTGTGGATTTAATTACAAATATTGCATAAACAATGTTTTAAACCTTTAAATGATATAACGTAACACTAACAACAAGACGTACCCTTTTTGTGTAAACTTCGTTTTGTGTCTTCTTTATCTACGTACGTCCTAAAAATGCATGAAATTTTAGCGACTATCAACAATTGAATCTATATAATTTATATGTTATGATGAATGTTACAATTTTGTTATCAGGCAATAGGATCTTCTTTAAAAACAACATTCCGATAACGAAAACCATTGTTTACTTACATTAGTATCTTGTTCACTGTCTGTAATAGCATAAAACTAAGTTTTACCAAGTCTTAGAGTAAAAATTTAAGATATTTAATATAAGTTTAATATATAATATTTAATATAGTTAATATGTCGGTCCGACTGTTGATTTTAATGTAAGTGTTGAAGTCAGATTTATTTAAAGAAACAAGCTGGTGATTTATAAAAAAGTGAAATAAAAAAAAGAACCCATTTTCTTATTTTATTGATATTAAGTTGGTCTTATTGTTGTATTATTGAATGATGAAATTTAATATTTTTTTCCACAGACATATCATTTTTGGTTGATACCACTGATGACGTTTCGCAAGACGAATTTTATCAAATCATCGACTTCATTTACAACATAACGAGTAGATTGATAATAGGACCGAATGACAGTATGGTGGCTCTAGTCACATTTAACACATCTCCTAAGACACAGTTTCATTTCAACGATATAAGCGACAAATCAAGTTTACTGGATGCTATTATGTCAATTAAAAACAACAGTTTAACAGGTACACGTGAAACGCACTTGGCATTAAACCATATTGGAGACAATATCTATGTTTCATCTCAAGGAATGAGGACAGACGCACAGTCTTCGATGCTACTTATCACGTATGGAAAGTCACAATCTCCAACACAAACACAATTCGCTGCATTTTTCTTATCATCGACAGTTCAAGCTATTTACGTTATAGGAGTTGGATCGATGATGTATGACCCAACTGAAAGAACTGATTTTCCAAATATAGCTAGTTCAACAGAAAACATATTTTATATAGAAGAAATTCCATATCTATGCCATTACATCTTAAATATAACTATTAAACTTGGTATGTATGCTTATCTAGAGAAAGAACTCGTAGGAAAAGTTAAGATTCCGGTCATAAAAAAGTCACTTATAAACTATCATTGTCAAGAGTGAAGATTCCATGGCTTAATCTAAATTCCGTATAAAAAAGGAAATATGGTATGACTGATAATACTGACACAGCTGGTTTCAGCGCACCTACTCCATTCGTACCCATGCATACCCATTAAAAATTTAACAAAACATTGCATATATGATGACAAAATATCAGTTTGTGTTAAAAAAGCATTCATCCACGACAAAATATATTAGCGCCACATTGTGAAAACTATAGGTTTCATGTGCGCCACTAAAACTGGTATACAACTTTGACAATTTGATAAATTCAATATGATTTGTATACTTAAGATATTTAATAAATGATTGACTTCACTCTACATTAACTCTGGCTTAGTCCCAACAGTCTAAACTGGTTGAGTTGAAGTTATTTTAATCATAAAAATTATTAATTTTAACGCTGAACTATGTATACCCTATTTGTAAACAGTTATAAGAAATCTCATGTTCTGTGTGAGTAAGCCAAAGGCTGTTATTTTAACATACGATGCCTCTCTGAAAGTAATATGTGAAAAACTGTTCTTAATGAAACATTTTTAGCTTTTATAAGTGGTCTTTCAAATGGGCATTAAGGATAATGTGTCGCTTTTTCAAAATTTCAATTTTTAGGAAATAAAGGGCTCATAGAACAATCCCTCCTTTGGTAGAGATAACAAAAGGACAAACAGAAAAATGTAAGAACAGAGATGTATAACGTCTTTTCAGAGAGCACTAGACAAGAACATTTTATTGGGTTCACGATTTTTTCGAAATTAATCATCATTAGAAAAGCACATGGGCAAAATATTAAAAACGAAATACGCACATAACCCCAGTGGCAAAATAAAAGAATCTAAACAAAAAAAGCTAAAATCTTTTTTTCTCTCTCTTTGCCTATGTATATACAACATGAAGCCATCAGACAATTCTTTTGTATCATCATAACTTAGTTTTCAATATACTTTTACAAGAAAAACTGTTGACAAGACGAAAAAGCTATTGGCATTTTTTATTTTAATGTATAAAATTTTCGATTACAGTAATACTTTTTCTGTGAAAATTTTAATTGGCAAATGTTATTGAGCTAATGTGAATAATGGACCATCACAGTAAACTGCTTTTATAAAGCGCTGAACATCGAGTTGAATGTGGAAAGTTCGTCATACGGCGTATGTATATGAATGAAAATTAATTTTTCAGATTCGAATGCCACACAGTCCGAAGTTGATGGTTGCCCAGAAATTACAACCACTTCGACAACAACAACAACAATACCAACAACAACAGAAATGGAAACAACAGAATTTACATATTCAACAGTATTAACATATTCAACAGAATTAACATATTCAACAGAATTAACATATTCAACAGAACTAACATATTCAACAGAATCAACGTATTCAACAGACTCTTTATCCAAAGAACAAACAAGTAAAACATTAAACATAGGTAGAAGTATATTTTAACTACTTGCAAACTTAAATCATAGAAAAGATACAAAAAGATATCGAAATGCACATGACGTGAAAATCATGAATGTGCTGAGATAGATATATTCAATAATCCAATAATCAATTATTTCTATAATCGCATATGAGCATTCAATATGTCTTGAAAAAATGGATTTTTATCAAGGTAAATAAAATAACATTTTCAATTAAATAAGATTTTCCAACGCCTTGATAATTTGCTGTTATAACATCGACTGTGTCGAAAAAATACACCGGCAAAATATGTTTCGACTCGTAAATTTCATATTTCCAAATCATCATTCAAGAGTAAAAATCCTATTAGAAGTTTACTGATAATTTCGCATATGTTTACGCAGATCTTGTCTTGCAGATAATTTTTGTTTTTTACAGTTACTCTCTATCATTTTTTGCCCAAAACATAAAAAAAGGTAAAATCAAATTCGTCATTTATGGGCAATTACTCCTATAAGGAATGAATGAAAATAACATCCCTAATTTTTTTACATCCGATACGCTTTTCTGGATTTACCTTCAAACAGAAGTACAAACAGTAAAAATCAATAACGTATCAAACAATCCTGGCTGACCGCGGCCAATGAAAGCAAACTCAACCGGTTAGAAAAAAAGTGATGCAAGTAATGTACTGATTTACGTCGAATATACAGATAATTCGAATTGATATATAAAACAACCGACGTAACATTTATTCTGTGTAATGCGGCGTTCACAAAGTGCCGATTATGGCTCCCGTTTGAGATCAGACAGCGCTAAGACACAAAAAGTGAAAAAAATTGGGATTACTATCCTCAATGATCTGGAATGTCCTATCATTGTCTGAACGCAGTCGTATACGTTCGTAACAAATTCCTACGGATCGGAAATGGTCCGGAGAGATCGGTCAAGCACCCCGACAGTTAGGTGCGTCCCGTAACATTCGGGGAAACTCAGACGATTTTGTCTAGTCGGATTACAATCGTGACTATGTCGTGACAGATTCTGCTGTATCGGATCAAAATCGTAACAATGGTCTGTGTTTTCTGGACGGTGTCCTGGGGAACGGGCATGATCTGAAGAAATTTGTCATTGCTGTTTTTTGCCGATTGAGTCCAGATTGCATCCAGATCTTGCCGAATGCGAACCGTCTTTGTTCCGGAACAGTCCCGTTAATAATACGAAATTCGGTAATAATACCCACTTCGGAGTCCCGACAATCATAGAACACGATACGACGGAGTCCCGACAAAGCCGTTTGCAACGTGGTACAGCAGACTGTATTAGGATTGCGTTCCGGTAGTACCTGATCATACCAAATATGGCGATTTATTATAATACGGGACTATCACATGAAACGGTTTTCTAACGGATATCTTCCGTCAGCGTCGGTTTACTGTCTGGTCACTGTCTGATCTCTGTCGGATCGCATACGGTATAATCGGGACGCTGTGGGAACATATTCGGTCGTTTTTTACCATGCGAAAGATACAAATCGAATTAGAATTGGATTGAGAACGGGATAATCGGCACAAATTCGGCTGGAAACGGATGAATTTGGACGCTTCCTGAACGATATCTGAATTTTGTCGTGATTAGATAAATGTTTTTACAAATTAAAGTTTGAATTACCAGCCGCGATTCACCGGATCTTGATCAGACTTTTGACAAATTTTAATCGGGAATGGTCCTATCAAGGACGGCAGTAAAAATCGTCAATGTGTGACCCCGGCTTTATACCCCATCACACTAGGACCACGATCCCGTTACGACCTCAGAAATAATGAAGTCGTAGTAAGAACGTGGTTGTCGTAGTAAGGTCGCAGTAAGGACGTGCCAAGTCTTCATGATCGCGGAGGTTCACGACTTATTTTTAAAAATTATGAGTGAGATTTTTTTATAATCACTAAAATCTGAACTATATATATAATAACACAGTTTATTTGTTAACTTTCTGCATGTCAATGTTTGTAGGTGACCGTGCAATAATAGTTGTGTCAGTTATTACTGTGGTGTTGGTACTAGTCACCGTAATCGTTGGGATAACCGTTATATATTACTTATTAAAATACAGGTGAGTACAGATAATATGAAAATAAGAAGATGTGGTATGATTGCCAATGAGACAACTCTCCACAAGAGACCAAATGACACAGAAATTAACAACTACTGTAAACCAACTTATTTTCGCGGATACTTTATTTCGCGATTTTCTAATTTTCGTCATCTATTTACATAACGGAGGACATGCATTTTATGCATTCGCAACAATTAATATTCGCGTTATTTTCCTACTCGCGAAACTCGCGAAATTAAATCTCTCTCGAAAATTAGTTGGTTTACAGTATAGGTCACATAAAATTGAGAATGGAAATGGGGAATGTGTCAAAGAGACAACAACCCGACCACAGAACAGACAACAGCAGAAGGTCACCAACAGGTCTTCAATGCAGCGAGAAATTCCAGCACCCGGAGGCGTCCTTCAGCTGGCCCCTAAAAAAATATATATACTAGTTCAGTGATAATGAACGCCATACTATACTCCAAATTGTACACAAGAAACTAAAATTAAAAATAATACAAGACTAACAAAGGCTAGAGGCTCCTGACTTGGGACAGGCGCAAAAATGCGGCGGGGTTAAACATGTTTATGAGATCTCAACCCCCCCCTATACCTCTAGCCAATGTAGAAAAGTAAACGCATTACAATACGCACATTAAAATTCAGTTCAAGAGAAGTCCGAGTCTGATGTCAGAAGGTGTAACCAAAGAAAATAAACAAAATGACAATAATACATAAATAACAACAGACTACTAGCAGTTAACTGACATGCCAGCTCCAGACTTCAATTAAACTGATTGAAAGATTATGTCTTCATCATATGAATATCAGGCACAATCCTTCCCGTTAGGGGTTTAGTATCATACCATCATAACATATATGAGAAGAACATAACCCGTGTCATGCCAACAACTGGTTTTTAAATAAATGTGTTTAGTGCCGATGCAAAGACCCTATAAGTGAATCAATATTAACGCCAAAATATGCAATCTGTAATGACCTGACAACAGTATCGTAACTATATCCCTTCTTAATAAGTCTATTTAAAGGTTTTGTTAGCTTCAGAGGTGAATACTGACATTTTTGTGCTTTACAAAGAATATTTCCATAAAAAATTGGATGTGAAATACCTGAACGTATAAGAAGTCTGCATGTTGAGCTATATTTACGAATGATGTCCTTATACCGATGATAAAATTTAGTAAATGTTTTGACTAGTTTGTGATATCGAAAACCCTGGTGTAATAATTTTTCAGTAATACATAAATTTAATAACACATGTTCTTTTCCTAACAGAAATTGGGTTCATAGTTGGTGAAATTGTTTTCTGAGGAACACATATTTGAATTAATTTAAAAAACCAAAATTAAGTCTATAAAAAACAAGCGTTGACGAGATATTTCAGTCGTACCCGTATACGCAATATACAAAATGGAAAGATATACGTTTGTTTTTTCGTCAAATACTGAATGATTGTTTAATGTGTAAAAGTAGACAAACCAATATTTTAGTGATTCGAAATTGGTGATAGTGAGTCGATTACCTATTTCAATCATTTATATTTTGGTACGTGCTTTTATCGTCTCCTGGCCAGTGCTGTCAGTGTCGTTTTGGGCTAACAGGAAGTTGGAATAACAAATGAGTAAAACCAGGAAGGCCTAAATAAGCACTGAAGACTATGTCAAATCTAATCTAAAACCCGATAATAACATTCTAAAAATATGCGTATTTATATAGATCAACAATGTTTTCTATTTACCTTTTGACATTGTTGCGACTTTCAGATGTTCTTTTTTATTCCAGTATTTATTCAAATTACAATTTAGACAAAATATTTGCCATATCCTTAGAATATTATGAATTCATTATAACATGTCCTATAGTTTCTAAATTCTACGTCATTTGGTCTCTGGTGAAAAGTTGTTCATTGGCAATCATACCACATCTTCTCATATTTATATTGACATCTAAAACGTCATTACAGACAATAGCATAGCGAACGAGCAAGGAAATACACACACCTTAGTAGGGACCAAAGGAGGAACATAGCCTTTAGTTCAATGGTTGTCGTTGGTTCATGTCGGTCATATTTGTTTTTTGTAAATTGTTTTGTTATAAATTTGGCCGTTAGTTTTCTCAATTGAATTGTTTCATATTTTTTTATATCGGTGCCTTTTATAGCCGACTATACGGTATGGTTTTTTTCTTCTCATTTTTGAAGGCCGTACGGTTGCCTATAATTGCTTACATCCACTTCATTTGAACTTTGGTGGATAGTTGTCTCATTGGCAATCATACCTCATCTCCTTATTTTTATATAGCCGTCAAAAAAAGAAGAAATATGTACAAATCATCTCTATAGTCGTATATTTGTGTATAGAGTTTGTCTTTTGAAATATCAAAATCTAGAAAAGGACAATCATTGTTGTTTATAGTTGATACATTTAAAGTCAGTTCCCTTGGGGAAATTTCTGTAGTATATTCATAACTATAAAAACCGAAATGAAAAGACCATCAAGAGCATGTAATTTATTTACATTCCATTATTTTAAAGATTGCCAGTAGAGATTAGACAAATTTAAGCTATCGTATTAAATTGTATTTATGTTTGTCTTTTATCAATAGATTTTTACGCAAAACATGCATTTTGTTTTACATAGTTGCATTATTTGAAGAAGAAGAAGAAAAAACAAAAACAAAATCAACCCGATGATTCTTTCCTTTTTTTGATTTCAGAAAACGAAAGCGATGCTTGGAACTAATAACTGTCCTTGCTCGTGAATATCCAGACATGAAAAATGGATTAGGACCTTCACGAGTGAAATATATAGAAACAAAACATGAATATAAAAATGTACATTCTACGAAGTTTCATACTTTTTTGAAACTGAGCATGATAAGCAATGGTACCAAAATAGTTTGTCGTTGAATATTAACAATGCATACAATTTTCCCTTTGTGTTCAAAAAGCATAATTTCAGACTAAGTAATTTGTATAGCTCAACTGTTCATTTCGAAACTATTATGAAAGGAAAAAAAAAAACAAAGATATTTTGAACATTATTTGTACATGTACTTTGTAAACGTCAAAATATGTGAAACTACAAAGCAATCATTTAACATAATACTGTAAATAGTATTGAAAAGTATGTCTGTAAAAAATCCTCCTCATATTTGAAACCATGTTGTATTTTCAATAAATAGTTTTAGTATGATATCGTTTCAGCAATACTCGTTAAGAAAAAAACCTTCGACAAATGTGGTCAACCAAGGTCACGGCCGGTGTTTGATTGAAATAAAAGATCTTGGAGTAAACGTCTTGTATGTTCTTTTAAGGATGTTTGGTTCTTAATTGCATGCATCCTTTTATTCGATATTGCTGTGCTTGTAAAAACATTAAAGGTACCACTTTCACTGCACCAGATACGCATTATAGTTGTATTTTTGAAATACCGGTATTATACTGTGGAGTACTTTTTCTGTATTGATTGTTTGTTCCACATCTTGTTGTTCTACTTTTCGAAATTAAAAATTGGGGTTGAGGTTTTGAGCCTAGCATATGGTTGATTATTATGTAGGTTAACCGTAAAACAACTTTTGCTAAGAAGTCAGCGGTTTTGGATGTTTAAATACGCAGTCTCGTCCATATTGATAAAAGGTCTACATTCTAATATCGAAGGTTGTACCTCGGATTGAATTGCATATATAATAACGTTGCTTATATACTTCACTATAATGACGTCATGGTTAAAACCCCCACCCCTTGCACGTGAAAAGTGGTGTATATTCAGTGAATAATAATATTGGTACAAGAAAACACGATGTTTTGAAAAGCTTAAAAAGTTTGTGCTCAGAATTTCAATGAGAAAAATGTAGTGTCTAACTGTCTCAGTGAAAACTGGTGACAAAATTTATCGTTCTTTAAAATGCTTTCAAGTATTTATCCAAAAATTAATTTTCGTCAAAGTAATGCTAATTTTCGTTTTTTTTAGGAAAATCTTTTTTACCAACAGATACATAGAAATAACTTTTAGGAAAACATGAAACTTTGTCAGTTATGTTCATCCATCACCCACTGTTTATAGATGCTACGAGTATGTGCACGCTGTTGTATTCTTTGTTATTCATATTAATAAACGATACACGTGTAGAAAGTATTGTTATAATAAAACAAAAGATCTTGTCTAGAAAAAATTCTATCAGTGCTTGATCTTATGTTAACTCTTCAAGAAATAAATAAGCTTCGAACGGATTTTATTTCCGTCCAGAAAATATAGATTTGATAGAATGTTAAAATTTTTCTCCTTTCAAACATCTGGAGGTGGTACTTCTCTGGCTGAAGGATCATTCAGGGCATTAGAATCAAAAATGGCTCTGTTTGTTCCTTGTCTGGTCATACTGTCATAGGGATCTACCTGGTTCTTTTTACCAAATAATCCCCTCCTGAAAAATGTTGAAATTCATATATCAATTTATATATAAGGGTTGAGCATGCGTACTGAGTGAAAGTTTTTTCCGCAAACACGTGACACACTGATACCGATATCATACTTTATTATCATTTATGGCAGTTGCTTCTAACATTTTCACCCGAAAATTACAATGCTTGGAATACTTTTCCAAAATTTCAGAATGTGCCATCAAGTTGGCAAATGATTTAAGTCTAGACGGTTACAACAAATCGATAATATTAGAAACATCACCGTTTTGATTGTGTAGACAAAACGCAATTCAGCTGTACAAAATTCCAAGCCTGGTATCTTTGATGAGTTGTAACAACCATTGTGTCGATTCCACTGTAAGGGTATCACCAGCCCAGTTTTCAGCACTTCAGTACTCAAATAGAATATCAATTACGCCATCATTTTTTTCAGTAAAGTTACTATTCATAAAACTTTAAAATCTTTCGAATTTTATTGTTTTCTATCCACAAGTAAAGAACGCCATGGTCAGATTTGACACAACCTTTTGGATATTTAGTTTTCAATGTTTGACTTCCTAATTACGATTTGACCTTCAAACGGATTTAACTCGAGCGCCACTGACGAGTCTTGTGTTGACGAATTGCGCGTAAAATATTATAAACCTATTATCTTTGATGAGTTTTTTTTTTTCAACATTCCTAGAAGTTTAAAAAACAAAAAATTGTAATACCAAAAAAAAAATATGCATTTAAAATTTTGAATGAAATCCAGCAGTTGCAGGAATAGGAAATGTTTTAAGAAGGAAATCCTTATTTTCACCCCAATTTCTTTTTTGGATTAAGAATAAGCACAACACTGTCACGATAACGTTAATTGAGAGTAATATCATCTAGAACCTGTGAATTATGTATGTCAAAAGAACACATTTCGAACTTATAGTATCAATAATCATTTTTGCCGTTTGTATTTTGTTGTCTCACATTGTATATTTCCTGTAGATTGCTAATTCCCTGTAGTCTCATTGTCAATATAATTCAACCTAGAGTAGGTAGTTTCACAGTAACTTTAAAGACTAGCTTTGATTGCTGATAACATTGATGTTAATAGTTCGGAAAGAGGTTTGTGGAGCAATAGAAAGACCAAGCAATATAAAAATAAGGAGATGTGGTATGATTGCCTATGAGACAACAATCCACCAAAGTTCAAATGAAGTGGATGTAAGCAATTATAGGCAACCGTATGGCCTTCAACAATGAGAAGAACCCATACCGTATAGTCGGCTATAAAAGGCCCAGACATGAACCAACGATGACCACTGAACTACATGCTCCTGATTTGGGACGGGCACATATAGAATGTGACGAGGTTAAACTAGTTTGCTGTCGCAACCCCTCCCCCTCTAACCTGGGACAGTGGTGTAACAGTACAACATAAAAGCAATCTTTAAAAATCACTATTAACGTATTTACAGTTTCTTTTCAAGTAAAGATGCAATAAGTGCGGTAAGGCCTAATCCTGCAACAGCTGCTACAGTCGCCACTGCGGCCACTACCACTGTGTTATCCTCTGTAAAAAAAAACATATCATTAAAAAATGTCTGTAGTTAATGTTCTCCTGCTTTAAATCTGTTTTTAAAAACCATTGGCTTCCCTGTTAAGGTAAAACCACTTTGTCAGCTAACATCACAATTATAAGGCTAATGTGACCTTTGTTAGCTGTTGAATTTCTTAATCATAAAAGTCGAATGGTTTCTTATTTTCAAATTGCTTTGAATTTATGTGTTACATACATGTATATGTGTACTATAAAAATAAGGAGATGTGGTATGATTGCCAATGCGTTAACTATCCACCAAGTTCAAATGAAGTGGATGTAAGCAATTAGAGGCAACCGTACGGCCTTCAACAATGAGAAGAACCCATACCGTATAGTCGGCTATAAAAGGCCCCGACATGAAAAATATGAAACAATTCAGTTGAGAAAACTAACGGCCTAATTCATAACAAAACAATTTACGAAAAACAAATATGACAGACATCTGGGGCAGTGGTTTTACAGATCAACATAAGAACAAAATATAAAAATCAGTTAAAAAGGGCTTATTTCATCAGATCGATACAAAGCAGAAAAAAATCTACCAAAAACAGACCAGACGCGACAGGGTATTTATACTTTCTAACAACAATACATGGTTATAAATAATCTTAGAATATTTTTTCCAGTTGATGTTTATTTTTTTTTCGATCCTTGAACATAGATAAATCAACAAAAATGGTAGCATCCGCTGTCAATTCAATTTACAGATACTGAGGTAATATTTAGTATATAATTGTATGATTATGCGCATTAGTTTCGTTCTTGTTGATCCCCTTCTGACCGATGTAAGTTAGTGATTCAATTAGTCTTTTGCTTCGTCGTGAAATATGGAATTGAACTATAACATACAACGTTTTTTTTCAGCGCCGAAGACATTTTTTTCTTTTGGAGGGGGAAGGGTCAAAATCGAGCAAATCAAAAAACGTTTTGTCGCTTGCTAGCGATACTTCAGTTTCACAATTTGTGAAATGTTGTATTGGCAAGAAAGAGGGGCGGAAGAACGTTTTGTCGGGACGTCGGGATTGGACCATTATTTTTGCTAGAACTCGGGATTTACACTTATCGGAAATCGGGAATTACACTAATCGGCAATCGGAAATAGATAATAAGGAATCCTGGAAATATTGCTATTCCTCCCCTCCCCCGGGAATTCGGGATTCGGCGTTAATTTTCCCGGGAATTCGGGATACAACCCGTCCTAGCCCCCCCCCCCCCCCCCCCCCCCCCCCGTTTCCAGGAAGAATTTTGATTTAACAGATAAGGTCAAGATGGGAAGGTGCATTGTAATTGAATAATAGCATTGCCGTTGTATTGTGCCATGAATTAAGAAAAACGTAATTCGAACAATGATCCATTCACCCTGTTTTCTCATTGCTCCTGTATATCAAAGGAAGAGATTCAGGTTTTAATTTACAGAAACATCTTGCTTTCTGTGAGTAATTTGATGATCACGAGTGGCGTTCTTTAGCCCAGTCTTCGGTTGCACATAAAGCGAATGTTATTCTCTTCTTGAAATTTTTACCACCTTCATCCCCTTTCACTTTAAATGCGTTTTATTTGTAGATAGAATGGTTCAGTTTCATCATATTAAAGTCGTCCTTGTGAGATATACCGGCGCAGACGGCAGCTTATTTTCCATCCGGCAACCCCGTTATCGCTCACTTCACCTCGTTCTCTATTCAAGGTCCGAAAATCAATGTTGTGACGATTTTTCAAAGATTCTAACCAACAATTTTTCGCTTTGAATGTTCCCGATTAACAAACTTTAATCCCTTCTCCTGTATTATAGACAGATAGCGTTTATGCGCCAAAAGCATCGTTATATACCATTTCCAGAACAGAACATATATTTTCTTATTGTCAGTCGGTCTAAGTTGTTAGTATCTGTGAATGGGCACATTGCTTTCGAAGTCTGTCATAACTTCGGCTTTTTGGCTCAGGAAATGATTAATTTGAATATGCCCAACTCCCATTAGTATCGCTTTTTTTCGGTATGAAATTTTGTCAACTTCGGACTTTTCTGATAACTTCTTGACGCCGCTCTAACGTTAAGGTATTGACTTATTGTATGTCATTTTCACGGAATAAATAAAATTAACACATACATTAGTTGCATCATAAGCGCATTTCTTGATTTTTCTTCATCAGGAACGCCCAAAGCCAAGCCTTTGAAAGCCCAGTGTACAAGTACTTAAGCTGAGGAGCTAATAATTTAGGGTAATCAATTATTTGTTGAAGAATATAGCTTGCAAGTTTCTACATTTAGAAGAAAAAAACCCAGAGATGTCATTCTTTACCAAATTAATAAAATCAAAATATATTTGAGAATTTAAGCATATTTAAAAAAATAAATAAATAAACAAGGCATAAAATAAGTTGGTATACATAAGCGAACAGAAAAGATGATTTTAAACACGATACTGCGACGTTTTCTCTAAAAAGACACCATTGGCTAACATGAGTACAGAAATACATATTTCTTTAAGTACCAAGTGATCTGGACTTTTCCAATCCCGAAACCCTCTACTCAGAACCTGTCTCGTTAATTTCTTGTATCTAAATACAAAATAATTGACCAATAAATGATTTATAATATCACCTTCCAACTTTCCATACGAAAAATGATTTCTTGTTTTTGTATAAAAGAAACACTGTCTTGTATTACATGTTTAGTTCTAAACATGTTTAGGATTATGTTTAATATCTAAACACATTTATCAGTAAGCACATTAAATGTACATGTAGGCATGTCTAGAATTTAAACACTTTTAAATGTGTTTTAGAATTAAAGTGTTTAGGATTAAAACACTAATGCAAAGCCTAACTCGATCCTAAACACAATCCTAAACACATTGTCAACCTAAACATATTTAGAACGGAGTCATGTTTAGATCAAAACGTGTAAAAAAAGTGCACAAAAGATATGCTTAGAATTCTGTTTATGCTCTAAGCACAATTTTACAGTGTAGTGTATCAATAAATGTTTCATAAACTCATATTCCAACTGTCCATGCGAACAAAAAGATTACTGTACTATTATCTTTAGTGATATGTTATCAATCAAACTTGATTTGAGGAAAGAAAAAGGTGGATAGCAAAAGTCTAATATGCATGAAATGGATACTTAGTATATCATTCGCGTTTTTTTTACAAGTACAATGTACGGTTTTTGTTTTAAAAGTTTGAATATATTTTTTATTTTTCTACTTTCACAGTGTCATGTTATATACTTTTGATCCTTATAGATTCTGTAAACAATCTGCAGAAAAAAATGAGGCAGATGATACCAGAAGGGATAAAATCACAGATGATACCAGAAGGGATAAAATCACAGATGATACCAGAAGGGATAAAATCACAAGTCGAAGTTAAACTGACAACACCATCATGGCAAAAAATAAAATCTATGTAAAGAAAATCAAAACTCCACAAAACAGAAAACGAAGACTGAGCAGCAAGAACCCAATCAAAAACACGGGATGATCTCAAGTGCGTCGGAAGGGTAAGCTGACCCTTCTCTGAATATTAATGATATTGCAAAAAGGATTTGTAACTTTTCCTACGATGTTAAGATTACCTGGAGATGTTGATGTTGATGCTTGAGTCGCCGGACATCCAGTAACAGCCTGAGGAGTAACCGTTGGATCTAAATAAAAAAAAACACATAATTTAATTTAAGCCACGATATTTAGTTTCCTCAAATGTAGTAAATGCATACATCTTTTGAAGTATCAACAACAAAAATTTGATGCATAAAATTTCAGACTTTATATCTTTGTCGCTTATCAAACAAAATTTAATCACGTGATTTTATGTTGGCTGTTTACGTTCCAGGAATGATTAATTCATACATACAAGCGAAAATATATCAATATGTGGGATCTGATGTGACATTTGATTATGTCGTAGATTTTTGGTAAGGTACGAAATTAGCTCCAAGTCGACTACAAACATTTCTGGATAGTCGATGGTCTTGTTCTTTAAGAGCAAAGAAGGGAAAGTGTGGAGCTCTCTACAATTAAAAAAATCGTAGCAACTCCTTTCAGCTCCTATCCAATATGTCTTTCCCCCCATAATTCATCCTTAATTACTCTCTCTTCAGACAATACTTGTTTGATTTATTGATTAGTTCTCGTCATGAATATGCATGAAAGATGTGCCAATGTGGATTTTAAACAAAAACAATCAAATCATGTATGCGTTAAGAATGTTGCCTCCGAGACATATAACGATTAGAACAGGAAATTATTAAAATAAAAAGGATGGCGAGGGGCTTAGTTATAAAACCGGTTCAATCCACAATTTGAATTTTTAAACAATGGCTGTGCAAAGTTAGGTAATATGTAGCATATAACCTACCAATTTTTCTAATGTTGAAGAGTTGCTATCCGAAATTACTAGTAACAAGTTCCTTAGATATTGATTTGGATTGTAATGTACATGTCATCCACTATATTTCAAACGACAAACAGACCCCTTAAACGTTTAATCATATTCAACATAACTGTCCTATTTCATGTCATTCAGTTTTGTTATATCACGTTGACAATTCTATAAGATCTAATTTTGGATAAATTAAAACAGATTTGAAACACTAGTCCTGATTGATATTCTGGTCTTGGAAAACATTGTACGTTTGTGCTTCGGTCAGCGAATACTCTGAGATTGGAATCTGTACCAAGTCAGGAATATGACAGTTGTTGTCCATTCGTTTGATGTGTTTTATCATTTGATTTTGCCATTTGATTAGGGACTTTCCGTTTTGAATTTTCCTCGGAGTTCAGTATTTTTGTGATTTTACTTTTTTCAGTCAAGATAAAAATAAGGAGATGTGGTGTGATTGCCAATGAGACTACTGTCCACCAAATTTCAGATGGAGTGGATGTTAGCAGTTAAAGGCAACCGTTTGGCCTTCAACAATGAGAAAAACCCATACCGTATAGTCGGCTATAAAAGGCCCCGGCATGAAAAATGTGAAACAATTGAATTGAGAAAACTAACGCCCTAATTTATAACAAACATTTACGAAAAACAAATATGACAGACACGAACCAACGACAACCACTGAACTACAGGCTTCTGACTTAGGACAGGCACATAAAGGATGTGGCGTGGTTAAACGTGTGTGCGCATTCAACCCACCCCTAATATGGGAGAGTGGTATAACAGCACACCAAAAGATCAAACTGTAAAATCAGTAGCAATTGACCATTTCAAGGCCATTTCAACTGATTCTTACAGTTTATTCTAATGTCGTGCTGTTAAAACACTGTCCCAGGTTAGAGGAAGGTCGAAATTTCAACATGTTAAACCCCGACATACCAATTATGTGCCTGTCCCAAACCAAGGATCTGTTGTCTAATGGTTGTCGTTGATTGCCGCTTGTCTTTACAGCTTTGTTTTATATATCACGGGGCATTTTATACGTGTAGCTTACTATACGATTAGTCTTTGCTTAATTATGAGGTGTCCAGTAGTTACAACCAGGTCTTTGGCCTTTATTGGATAGTTGTTTCTTTGGCAACCACACCACACCTCCTTATGTTCATACAAACTATTTGGTAGATTTTAAAATTGTGTCATTGTGCAATTGAAAAGTTTACTTTAACAGCCCAAGACAGTCTTTTGTCACATTGTGTATATATTATGTATTGCCATAACATTTCATGTATGCGCTTGTAAATAAACGTTCACCAATTACAAATATAACAAATAGAACCTATAAATTGCGTTCACTACAAGAAAATGTTAAATTATAATTTTCTACTTACCAATCTTAGGAACAACGGTCGGAATCAGACTACACAGATCGACATATGACTCCACGTGATGGGAGTAATAAGAATCAGGGTCACTGGACATACTTAATAACTCAACATTACTTGCGGATATAGCTGAGCCAATTCCAATGGAGAATACTTCCGCACCGAGATTAGTTTTGAGTAAATCAGCTTCTGCTGCAGTTCTCGGATAGTTCACGGATTGTCCATCGGTCAATATAATAACAGTCTTATCTGCATTTGAACGACTTCCTTTTGAAGATATAAAAGAAGACGTCCGTACAAAAGTTAAGGCATCGTATGTGTATGTGCTACCACTTGGCGTGATACTTTTGAGGCCACTGATGGCATTTAATATCGTAGCATTTGTTGAGTAGTCGTTCAAATCAAAACGTTCTGTGATATCGCTAGAAAACGTCACTACCGAGAATTGGGTCGCAGTTGAACCAACTGCGATAAATTTAGTCACATTGTATATAAAATCTACAGCTTCTGAGAAATCCTCTGTAGACAAACTGGCTGACTTATCCACCACGAATACTACATCTGTAATATGTGTACATTTATATAATGTTAAATAAGTCATATAACTGCAAATTCCTTAAATGGAATTGGAACAATTTGATTTCCCTTTGTCTGTTTTATGTTGAAATCTAACACATGGTTTGACATTAATCTTTAGTACGCGATATTTATTATTTAAGCAGTTTGAATAATTATGTATGGACACCTGTCTATTGATGACTGTATGTTACCCTCTATATATCTAATAGATATTTTGTGTTGTTGGGTTGCTTGCTACCTCATTGACGTATACCCACATACTCTGAAGATCGCAAAAATACATTTTAAGTATAGTCTTTATAAATGTTAAAACAATGAAAACTTCTTTAAATTGGTTGAACTGGTACAAATTTTAACATAACTGGTAACAAATATTTTTTTCATGTGTTCTTAAATTTTATTTCTGGAATGAATTCTTTTTCTATACAGGAAGTCTTACAAACTTCTGTTTTATGCAATATTGATAATCTATAAACGACGACACAGATATCATATATATAATTCATAAGTTGTTGAATGAATATATGTTTAAATCTTCTATATATCTTTATTCTCATCACCAAATATAAATGGAATACAGAGAAGATATGTTATACATTACATTAAATACATAAACATAAATATACAATATATACAAAAACAACAACAATAATTTCAATTTATTCAGGAGAACACTCGCTTGTTTATAATTCTTCTGAACTTTCATAAATTCATGAGATCTGTCCTATTCATAGAAGACATATTTTCAGTTAATAGTATAATAATTAGCCTTCTATTTAAATTTTGTTTTATAAATTTATTTCTCTCTTCTACTAAATCATTAAAATCATGTTAAGTATTGTATGTTTAGTTTGGTAGCGATGATTATATTGTTATTATTCTGCTCTCATGAGGACATACTTTGGTTAATTAATAGAATTACTGTATACCAGATAGTATCTATATATATCTTACCTTTTAACAAGTAAACATTCGATGGAAATATTACAATCCAAAGAAAAATCCTATTTGAAATCATGTCATTTAAACTAATAATTCATATTTTTATCATAATTTTTTCATACTTTCCTTTACACAATGTAATCATATATCATAAAAGTTTTGTTTTGACGTTGATACTAATAAAATACACAGAAGTGGAATTAGTGTTTCACATTGAACAGATTAACGGGATTACATCGGATTAAAGGTGCACAGAGTCATTGGTGCAATGTACATTTAAATCTTCATTATAAACTTACCATACATTAATTTAAAACTAATATTATTAATCACTATATTGTAAATCTTGATGGATTTAAAGACGTGTTTTTGGCTGGGTGTATTTAATTGCAGGTGGAAAGCTCTTCGTCTGCAATATGCTAAGTCCAACGTCACTATATTCAGTATGCATGCAATTATTGTTTTTTTTTAAATAATTTTGATCAATATATACACATATATGCTGTGCTGTTACACCACTGCCCCAGGTTAGGGGAGGGTGAGTCGCATGCAAACATGTTTAATCCCGCCACATTCTGTATGTGTCTGTCCCAAGTCAGGAGCCTGTAATTAAGTGGTTGTTGTTAGTTGCTGTATATCATATTTATTTTTCGTTCATTGTTTATTGTTTTGTTATATGCATAAATCAGATCGTTAGTTTTTTCGCTGATTTACATTTGTCATTTTGGGGACGTTTATAGCTGACTTGCGGTATGGGTTTTGCTGATTGTTGAAGGCCGTACTGTGACCTATAGTTGTTAACTTATATTTGGTCTCTGATGGAGAGTTGTCTCATTGGCAATCATACCACATCTTCTTATTATTTTTATTGATACGTATTATATATTCAGACAGGGATATTTACATGCAAACACATAATTCTTCCTCATCATCTATTGGACTATAGAGTATAGTTTATTATTTTTTTTTATAATTTAAGTACCAAAATGTAATGTTCTTTATCTTATGTTGCATACTTCATGTGTACTACACATTTTGATGACCCTCAGATGATAAGGCGTTAGCCCTATGGAGTGTATCTTATTTACCCCAATGATTTAATGCTTAATGCAAAATGATGAATTCTAATTATTTAGAAGAAGGTTTTTTTTACGGTAAAGCATGATTGTGTAAATATACTAAAATAGGCTGAATTGTGTTTAATCATGAAGAATAGGATTTACCGATCTCGTTTTCTTGATAGATATCCTCATCAATGCATTTTGTATATCAATTTTCGAACAAATTAAAGCTCTGTTTGTTTGGTATAAAAATATCACGATAAGAGAAGGTTAACAAGGATGTTTTCATATCAAAAATATTCTAACAACGGACAGTTTTTCAATATCAGAGAGGGAAAATGTCCTACCATCAACCATGGATCCCACTTTCGAAGGAAGATTAATAGAAAATATCTGTATCCATTTTCTTTAGACTAATTTGTCTTGTTTCTTGGACGTACTTAAATATACGAGATAAAAAAAAAACTGAACGAAGCAAGATTTATGCTAGTCCTAGATGACCTTATATTTCATGTGCTTCCATATTTGAATATGCACGAACTATTTGACACGCACTGGACTTACTTTTATTTCATAAACTTTCCAAAATAGCTATGAATTTCTCTACAAATTTTTTTAAAAGACAGTTAATCTTTTTAAAATCGTCACAAGTGTAACAAGGATGTTTGCGCGTATAGATTGAGAACTACACTCGGACTACAGGCACATCGAAACTAGTTAGTGATAAAAGTATTTCTATACCTATACTGTGGTTAAAGATCAAATAAATGTATATAAAAGTTTGTTTAATTGAATATCAACTTGGATGTTTTCATATCAAAAATATTCTAACAACGGACAGTTTTTCAATATCAGAGAGGGAAAATGTCCTACCATCAACCATGGATCCCACTTTCGAAGGAAGATTAATAGAAAATATCTGTATCCATTTTCTTTAGTCTAATTTATCTTGTTTCTTGGACGTACTTAAATATACGAGATAAAAAAAAAAACTGAACGAAGCAAGATTTATGCTAGTCCTAGATGATCTTATATCATGTGCTTCCATATTTGAATATGCACGAACTATTTGACACGCACTGGACTTACTTTTATTTCATAAACTTTCCAAAATAGTTATGATTTTTTCTACAATTTTTTTTTAATAGACAGTTAATCTTTTTAAAATCGTCACAAGTGTAACAAGGATGTTTGCGCGTATAGATTGAGAACTACACTCGGACTACAGGCACATTGAAACTAGTTAGTGATAAAAGTATTTCTATACCTATACAGTGGTTAAAGATCAAATAAATTTATATAAAAGTTTGTTTAATTAAATGTCAACTTTTTGAAATGTAAATTGCGCAAATCAATAACCAATAGATTATAAAATCACCGTTTATCTCAAACGGAAGGCTAATGTTGAAGGAATAACATTATGAAAACATGTACCGGATAATTGCTGTATTTATATTCAATATTGTATGTTCTGTTATTGGAGTAAAGAAAGGTATTGTATCTTTTTCTAGTTTAAATAAAGAGAGCGTAAAAATATACGAAAATTCTGTATTCGAAAGGTTTTAGCAATTGTATTACAAAAATGATACAAATAAAGACATTGATGCACTTTCATACATTCAAAGTGTAACCAATGGATTTCCCGAGTCGTACCTGTTTTTCGAAGTTTATGTTTGTATCTTGAAAAATGGCTATTTTAAGAATTAATACATTTGATTAAACTCATAAAGGTACAAATTCAGCAAACCATTCTAAAAAAAAAAATCGGAAAGAAACGCATGGATTTTGAAAAAGAAAATTGAAGGGGAAGTGTTCATAAGAATATGATTTTCGTCATTCAAAGTGTGTAATTATGATTTCACAATGACATTATAACTGCTGTAGTGTTGCAAAACTGTTTTTTTTATTGTATGTGTTTCAGGAACTGTTACAAATTTTTGTATCAAAATTTATATTTAAGACTATTGCTAGCTATAAAACCAGGTTTAATCCACCATTTTCTGCATAAGGAAATGTCTGTACCAAGTCAGGAATATGACAGTTGTTTTCCATCCGTAAGATGTGTTTAAGCTTTTAATTTTGTCATTTTATAAAGGACTTTCCGTTTTGAATTTCCTTTGGAGTTCGGTATTTTTGTTATTTTACCTTTTACTACAACCAAGTCGATGTCAAGTTTCTTACCAGAAGAAACTTTTCTGCCGGTGGATCATTCCCCGAGGGCATCATTAACTTGGTAGCTTAATGCATGGTGAATAATAGTAAAACAAAGAACAAACCGGCTAGGACGTCGCTCTCGTTACCAAGGTCTTCTTTTGCTACACGGAACACTGTAGCATTTGATTTGTGTGTTCCACGGAACATCCTACGGGATATCCCTAATTTGACCCATGTACAGCTAGAAGGTAATTATTACTTTAAAAATTCAGATACTTTTAAAAAATTAAAACCATGTACTGTAAATATTTTCGACTGTTTAAAGACACCCGCAACTGGTGAATCAACTATCATTTCTACTTGTAAACATTAAAAAGGAAAGAAGAGCACATGTAAGACATGTAATATGTTAATCACTTCGACAGATTTCACTAGTTACTTAACAGGAAAAACTTATTATACAAAATCTTTTGAGCCTCTGGACTGTTCCGTACAAACAACGGTACATTGCCGGCTCATCTGCATGTTCTACAAAGAAATTGTCCATTAGGTTGACAAAAATTCTGGCCGCAGTGAAAGAGGGTCTTCAGAAATACTGTGAAACTGTTTACTCGCGTAGTGGTATTAACCATAAGTGGATTCTAAAAACTCTAAAGAACTTATTGATAATTTTAAATCTCGATCTTTCTCTGAAATAAATTATATCAAAACTTTTGATTTTTTCAACCCTGTATACCACCATTCCCCATGTGAAATTAAAAAATCGTCTAAAAGAAATAATCAACAATGCTTTTCAATATAAGAATAGCAGCATTCGCTATACATTTATTGCTTTGGGATACCATACGGCATATTTTGTTAAAAATGAACAAAAAGGTGAAAAATGCTACACAGAGGAACAAGTGATCAGTATGCTTGAGTTTCTCATTGACAACATATTTGTTGAATTTGGAGGTAGACATTTTCAGCAAGTTGTCGGTATTCCTATGGGAACGAACTGCGCGCTTCTCCTTGCCGACCTCTTTTTATTTCATATGAGTTGGAGTTCCTTCAGACACTTATCAAAAACAAGAAAATCAAAGAAGTCCGATCATTTAATTTCACATTCAGATATATTGATGATGTTCTTTCCATTAACAATCCAAACTTTTCTGATTGGTTTCCATTAATATATCCTCCAGAACTAGAAATTAAAGAAACAACAGACACGGCTTCCTCCCCCTCATTTTTTAGACTTATACCTCGAATTTGACATAAGTGGTCATCTCAATACCAGAATCTATGACAAGCGAGACGATTTCAATTTTGAAATTATAAATTTTCCCCACCTTAGCAGCAATATACCAACTTCACCTGCATATGGGATATACATTTCCCAACTCATTCGGTATTCAAGAGCTTGTAGCTGCTACTCAGACTTTATAAAAAGTCACCAGTGTCTGAGCAGAAAATTGATGAGTCAAGCTTAAAGTTATGTCAGAGAACGTCTCGTCCTGTTTCTAAAAAAGATACCAAGACCTTGTTGATAACTATTCCGTATCAACTTCACAAATAATACATGATGGTCTTGGAGTATAGATTCTAGGTACTGACTGTGTTTATCATCTTAATAACTTGTCAAAGTTCCTCTTTTTTGTCCTTGTATATTTTTAATCTTTACTGTCCATTATCCATTTTTGATTAAATACTTATGACTTGGATCGGTAATTATACATCCCGCCATTGTGTTATTGTGCTATGGTCAATTTTGGGTTCTTGTCTTTCATTTTTGCTTGTATGCTTTGTCTATATGCCATTTTGTGTTTCTTTGTTGAAACAGTTATTTGTTTTTATAGTGATTAAGATTATATTACAATGTTGACTGCTGTACCCACATTTTTGACGTTTTAACCTACTTTGTCTGTTTGTTTTGCTCACACATTGTTGTCAATATAATGGAATTCCATGCGATTGTCATAAAAGTGAGAGGTTTAGCTAGCTATAAAACCAGGTTTAATCCACCATTTTCTACATAAGGAAATGCCTGTACCAAGTCAGGAATATGACAGTCGTTTTTCATTCGTAAGATGTGTTTGAGATTTTGATTTTGCCATTTTATTAAAGACTTTCCGTTTTGAATTTCCCTTGGAGTTCGGCATTTTTGTTATTTTGCTTTTTGCTAAGTTAAATTGCAAGGAATATAAGAGTCAATATTGAATCCTCTTGAATCTTCCAATTTTTTCATTTTTATGGTTATCTTCCCGGTACACAATTGTTTCTTAAACTGGAATCGACTTGTATTTAAGCTACATTCAAATCTACGAACAAAGGCTAGTTGTCAGCTTAAATTGTTCCATAGCTGTTTTTTTATACCTTTATTGTAAACTCCAAAACTGTGGCGACGTTGTTTTGCTTGACATACTCAAGTCAGGGTAGCGTAGCAGAGACGACGTTATCATTTTTCCGGAGTTTGGCCTTTGTTTGTGTTATTTAGTTTAGTTTCTGTTCAACGTTTGGTGTACTTAAATTTCAATATTTCATTTCGACAACTAACGTGAGGGACCCAAATTGCATCTATTTTGATAGTTTTTTAACCTACTTTTATTTATGATTCAGACAAAAGTTTCCATTCTGTGTTTATTTGGAAGATGTATCCTTATTTACTATATAGTTCCACCAATCTAATTCTAAATCCATATTCAATCATAGAAAAAGAAAAAAATGAGTTTGAACCCACCTTCAAATGATCCATGATTATGTTATGAGGAGTACCCAAATTGCACCCATGCTTAAATTCACATCCGTAAAAATCGAATAACTGATGTTTTGTTTAATTTCTCCAAATATTTAGAACAATTTGACAAAAGTCCATGTTTTCTATACATTTTTTAAGAAATGGATGCCTGTAACATATTTTAATTGCTCATTTTTAAAAGTTGACTTTTTGTGGACGTCGCAAGGCCACGTTTTCGTAGATTGTACTTTTTCCGTTGGATACTTCGTCTGTTGATATATGCTGTGAACGTTTTGTGTATATTTAAATATATTTAGCTATGTTTAAAGACGTGCATAAAGTCATATCATAAAAATACAAATTGTTTAGTCTCTAAGAAAACTTGTAAGACTTCCGCTTCTATTTTTGCTAAATAGGTGCAATTTGGGTATTCGGTGCAACCTGGGTACCGTGCACGTGACGTTACCAACTATCATTTTTTTCCAGTTCTTAAAATTGTACATCACATTAACATCTATTCAGTAGGTTTGAAGGTTTCCTGGATAGTTTTGGTTTTTTTTCTTTTGTCAAATATGAATGATCTTTATTAAGAAATGATTTTTAGAAAGAAAAAGAAGAATGCGTCGTTGCTTACCACTTGTCCGGATGTATTGATTTGCATCATTTGTCTTTGTGAATTATTGGCCATTGCTGTTTTGTCCATTTTAAGTAGTGTCCTTTTGGCGTGGATCGGTGCGTATATATCCCGTTATTGTGAAATTGTAAATATGAAGATGAGAACGGTAATTAATGTTGAAATCAGGGTACCATACTTTAATATAATTGTTTATTTAACGAGAGACGATTGTTGTTAATGAATGACAAATCTATCCCCAGAGACATATAATACAATACACCAGACATCGCGGGTCTGTGACTGAATTAAAGTACCTACGCCTTATTTTGAGTCTGGATTTTTAGTTTTCGTATCGTCAATGAAGTAATCGTAGATCAGCGGAATACAACGACTGAATTATTCGGGTTAGGAATGGTGTAATTTTTAATCAACACAATTGTCCTATATTAGTTATATATAAAGTTGAATTCTTTGATTCGTCGTTTTTGCGTCATGGCGGCTAACAAATTTGACCTTCTTTATTTTAGTAGCATAGAAATGCCTCTGTTATCACTACAGCGATAGGGGAGGTGTTTTAAATAGCCTATTTTGGCGATAGTAATATTCGTTTTTCAGAACAATATCCATTTTTAATGCATTCTATGATGGCCGGATGCGGCCATTTCGCCTTTTTTCGTTTTCGCGTTTTCTCCTTTCACTTTGCAAACGCGAAATCGAGAAATCGAGAATTCGGGAAATCGGGAAATCGAGAAAGCGAGAAAGCGAAATCGAGAAATCGGGAAATCGAGCAATCGGGAAATCGAGAAATCGGGAAATCGAGAAATCGAGAAATCGAAATCGAGAAATCGGGAAATCGGGAAATCGGGAAATCGAGTAAGCAAAAACGCGAAATCGTGAAATCTATTTCCCGTTTTCGCGTTATCGCCTTCGCGTATTCTTGTTTTCGCTTTCTTGATTTCTTGATTTCTCGATTTCTCGATTTCCCGATTTCCCGATTTCCCGATTTCCCGATTTCTCTATTTCCCGATTTCCCGATTTCTCGATTTCTCGATTTCGCGTTTGCAAAGTGAAAGGCGAAAACACGAAAAGGCTAAATGGCCGCATCCGGCCACCATATCATTCGGTAATTTTAATTGTTAAACAGTGCTTTGGTTGTATGATGTTGAATCGTTCCTACATTTACATATGTTCAATATTCTGAAGAACAGGCGTAAATCTCACGCTTCAGTACGTTTCGAATATACCCCTTCCAATATATACATGAATAACAAAAGTAGCAAATACACTAAAAATTATAAGAATTTATAGTGGGAAAATATATGGCATAAAACACGAAAAACTGAATGGTATAAGCACAAATGCATAAATATGTATAGTCAAAGATATGTACACAGACAGAAAGCATGAACGCTAGTTTCAACTTATTTAAAAAAATTAAAAAAAAAAATCAGCATGTCCTATTTTATAGTGATCCAAAAATAAATATCATGTTTACCTTTAATATTCATTTATTTTACTTATTCGATTTTAGTCAAGGATAATATGATATAAACTTATCAATGAACAATCATAATGACTAATATTTACAAAATTGCAATATAAAGTTTAATTATGCTAGTGCTTTTCGGAACCAAATATTCATCCATATAGTACAAAAGAATCTTTTGAAAAGCGATTGCGTGACTACTTAATGAAGTCAAGTTGGTAATTTGAAGTAGGATTATGCCTGTTCCTACTGGACAATTAGTGAAAGCAAATATGTATTTATTCAAAACCCAGAGAACTCTTTCTTCATAAGGTAGGATTAACAATCATATATATAATAATAGTTCACTTTGTTTCGTCGACAGTCTGAAATGCAATTGTTTCTGAAATACCTTGATTTCCAATGTGAAAAATCATATATAGTGGACAAAAGTAGATCTAAGTAATTAGATAATGCGGTACCAATTTTATTGCAACAGATGCAAATTTTGACAAACAACGTAACGGGAGCCACACCCGGAGCAGGATCGGGCTACCTTTCCGAAGTACTTGAAATAACAACTGGTTTGGATGGGGTCCTATTGCTCAGTCTTTCAACTAGTTTTCTATGTAGTGTTTGTGGACCTTCTTTTCTGGACTTTCTTTTCTTTTCGTCGTTTTTCGGGGTTTTTTTCAAGACGTTGTCCCCCTTTGTATTATTTTTTATTTTAGTCATAGTTTATTTTTTTTGTTTAGTCGAATTTTAAATATGTTTTAAAATGTAAAGAAGATAATGCATGTACAATAAATGTTGCATACAAAAATCAATTTTATAAATAAAAACCACAATACTGAATTTTACGTTTTATTTGTATTTTGCAGATATTGTATTTCTCATTGATACGTCATCAAGTATCAGCCAAACGGAGTTTGAGCATTCAATAGATTTCGTATACAACATTACAAATTTCTTAAAAATTGGAACCCAAGATATTCAAATTTCTGTGGTTTTGTATGACAAAAAGCCTATTGGTGTGTTCAACTTTGATACATATCTAACCAAACAGTCGCTACTAAATGCTATTAAGAACATTAATAAAGGCATTGGAGCCAGTACAAATACTGCACTAGCATTAGACTATTCCCGGGCATTGTTCAATTTCCAAAACGGAAGTAGAAGTAACGCAGAAAAAGTGGTAGTGACTTTAACTGACGGAGTTTCAAATGATCCAATTAGTACTAAACATGCTGCGGAGTTGCTTAGAAAGAACAATATTACTGTGTATGGAGTAGGCGTTGGTAATTTTCCACATGGATCTGAAATATTCAACATTGCAGGCGAAAGTGCAAATGTTTATACCGTTAGTGGATTTGAGTATATATGTAATTTAGTTCCAATTATGGTACCAGTTTTAGGTGAGTGACTTTGATTAGACTCACATAACAATAATAGGTTGCTGGTCAGCAAAGTATCCTTTAATATTTTTGTAAAATTTTGTTATCAATCTCGAAACGTTACAGATATAGAAATGAAACCGAAATTTTTGTCAACGTTTTGATTTACTAAACGCAAACGCATCATTAATCCAAGGCGTTAATTTCCATTTTCCTCATTTACAAACACCAATGAAAGAGTTTCCCAAAATTCAAATTGTTCATGCTTGATTTTCAGTAACATCTCATACACACTTTAAACCTGCAAAGATATATTGACCACGATTAATTGCCAAACTAAGGAAATGGCATCGGGACATCGTGAAGTGTTCCTATGCATGAGATCTTTAACTGAACGATAGACTATTTTATTTCCAAATACGTGTTGATTAACAGTCCCGAAAAATTACCTTAATTATTTCTATGTGTTAGTCATCTGTCATTTTATTTTTACAGATCCCAGTGCTACACATTATATTGTTAACAACTGTCCTCAAGAACCAAGTACAACACCTTATAGTACCACAATTCTCGCTACTAATTATTCAGCTAAAACTGCTAGCGAAGATAAGGGTAAATAACAACAAGTTTAAAGTCCAGAGAATCGATCTTAGTCAAAACATGATTGATTAATTGGTTGGTGTTTAACGCCACTTTCAGCACTACTGTGCTATTTCGTGGCGGTCAGTTTTTATTGGTGGAGGAAGGCGGAGTGCTGGCAGAAAACCACCGACCTTCGGTAGGAAAACTGACAATCCTAGTTTAGATTGGAGTCGAGCGTGTGGGATTAGAACTCGTCAAAAAATGAAAGATATGTTATATTTAATATATATATATAAAATTACATTCAACGTTTTTTTACTTCACAGAAACATATAGCCGCTTCAACAGATGTGTTTTAATTGACCTGTATCATTTATCATTACGTAAAACGGATGTTAACATATCATTAACAATTATTTTAATGTAGATATTGCAAACAGCTAATACATGACCTACTACTATCAAATAGCAACCAATATATTACCAGCAGAAGTCATTATTATAGAAAGCTTGAATAACAACAGCAGAATGAAACCCATACATGCCTTTTATTGTAGGGAAGACAGGAGTTATCGCTGGTGTAACTGCATCCATAAGTCTTTTGTCTTTGTTATTGCTATTTCTCATATTACGACGAAAATGTTCAAGGTATGTGTATATATCACATGATACATATATGTTTCATACGATTTAAAACTAAAAAGTCCGTTTTGATACGGCATGCTCTATGGCACATGTATAACTTCTAAAGAGTCCATACCAATTGTTCATTTTATAAAAGAAAAAAATGACATCATCAAAAATATTGAAGTTCATAGCACATGATAGTCAAACAATAAGATTCTCAGCCTTCGTGGTTAGTTTATTAAAATGTTCCACGAAGTATAAATGTTTTCAAGGCTTTAATGCAGACATTGGCACAATCATGAAATCAAATATCCACGAAAGCACATTTTTTTCGTAATCCATGAAAATAGATATCTACGACAATTAACGGATCTTATTTGATAACGACAAACCGTATTCAGATTAAGTGTGCTTGAAATAAACTTAACCTAGATACTCAAAATTTTGTACGCCGGACGCCCACCTCGTCTACAAAAGAATCACCAGTGACTCATGAATCAAAAAGTCAAAAAAGGCCAAAAAAAGTACGAAGTTGAAGAGCGCAGAAAAAGATAGCAACAATAAGTGCAGTCAATTAACTGAAATCAAGTCGGTGGCCGAAAACCTGCAAGTTAGCCAATGAAACCCTACCAATTATAAATCACACGCAACGTTAAAGCCGAAGGGAATTACATGATGTAAAGAGACTGTGTTTGTCTGTAATTCAAACTTAATCAAATAAGCTCAAAGCAATACTTCTTATATAAGCACTCATTTAAACGCAGCGTATGCCATTAAAGTAATATGAAACGAGTTTCTTGAAATTTTAATGTTATCGAAATTATTGAACCCAATGTATGCATATATACTAAACTAAGTCTTGTATGCACGTTTTTTTTATATATCTATTACGAATCTATAACGTAATATATTTCATTTAGTGATTGTTGATCGCAAGCTAATTATTTTTCGAGTTTGTTGCCGAAGTTTACCGGATCGTGACATTGATAACCAATAAAACAGAGCACGTGGAAAACGTGACAAATAAGTGAATTGAAAGAGCCATGACATTTGTTTTTAGCTCACCTGGCCCAAAGGGCCAAGTGAGCTTTTTTCATCACTTGGCGTCCGTCGTCTCTTGTCGTCGTCGTCCGTCGTCGTTAACTTTTACAAAAATCTTCTCCTCTGAAACTACTTGGCCAAATTAAATCAAACTTGGCCACAATCATCATTGGGGTATCTAGTTTAAAAAATGTGTCCAGTGACCCGGCGAACCAACCAAGATGGCCGCCATGGCTAAAAATAGAACATAGGGGTAAAATGTAGATTTTGGCTTATATCTCTGAAACCAAAGCATTTAGAGCAAATCTGACAGAGTAAAATTGTTTATCAGGTCAAGATCTATCTGCCCTAAAATTTTCAGATGAATCTGACAACCCGTTGTTGGGTTGCTGACCCTGAATTGGTAATTTTAAGGAAATTTTGCCGTTTTTGGTTATTATCTTGAATATTATTTTAGATAGAGATAAACTGTAAACAGCAATAATGTTCAGCAAAGTAAGATCTACAATTAAGTCAACTTGACCAAAATGGTCAGTTGACCCCTTAAGGAGTTATTGCCCTTTATAGACAAATTTTAACCATTTTTCGTAAATTTTTGTAATCTTTTACAAAAATCTTCTCCTCTGAAACTACTAGGACAAATTTAACCAAACTTGTCCACAATCAGCATTAGGGTATCTAGTTTAAAAAATGTGTCCGATGACCCCGCCCGCGAACCAAGATGGCCGACATGGCTAAAAAATAGTACATAGGGTAAAATGCAGTTTTTGGCTCATATCTCTGAAACCAAAGTTTTTAGAGCAAATCTGTCATGGGGGAAAATTTGTATATCAGGTCAAGATCTATCTACCCGAAAATTTTCAGACCAATCAGTCAAATCGTTGTTTGGTTGCTGCCCCTGAATTGGTAATTTTAAGGAAATTTTGCCGTTTTTGGTTATTATCTTGAATATTATTATAGATAGAGATAAACTGTAAACAGCAATAATGTTCAGCAAAGTAAGATCTTCAATTAAGTTAACTTGACCAAAATGGTCAGTTGACCCCTTGAGGAGTTATTGCCCTTTATAGTCAATTTTTAACCATTTTTCGTAAATTTTTGTAATCTTTTACAAAAATCTTCTCCTCTGAAACTACTAAGACAAATTTAACCAAACTTGTCCACAATCATCATTAGGTTATATAGTTTAAAAATGTGTCCGATGACCCCGCCCGCGAACCAAGATGGCCGACATGGCTAAAAATAGAACATAGGGGTAAAATGTAGATTTTGGCTTATATCTCTGAAACCAAAGCATTTAGAGTAAATCTGACATAGGGTAAAACTGATTATCAGGCCAAGATCTATCTGCCCTGAAATTTTCAGACCAATCAGGCAACACGTTGTTGGGTTGCTGCCCCTGAATTGGTAATTTTAAGAAAATTTTGCAGCTTTTGGTTATTATCTTGAATATTATTATAGATAGAGATCAACTGTAAACAGCAATAATGTACAGCAAAGTAAGATCTACAAATAAGTCAACATGACCAAAATTGTCAATTGACCCCTTAAGGAGTTATTGCCCTTAATAGTCAATTTTTTACAATTTTTTCATAAATTTTGTAATTTTTGTAAATTTTTTACAAAATATTTTCCACTGTAACTACTGGGCCAAGTTCATTATAGATAAAGATAATTGTAAGCAGCAAGAATGTTCAGTAAAGTAAGATCTACAAACACATCACCATCACCAAAACACAATTTTGTCATGAATCCATCTTTGTCCTTTGTTTAATATGCACATGTACCAAGGTGAGCCATACAGGCTCTTTAGAGCCTTTAGTTATATTTTCCATGCGTTCCGATTTGTTAATTAAACTTTTCATAAAAAGTTGCTAAATGATTTGTTCTATTAAATTTGTTCTTTAAGAATCTGTTATTACTATTTACCTTCCAGAGCACGATTGTTTACATTCTTTCATCACGCTTTCCCCTCGCACTTGCGCTGTGCGCTGGCCGAAGTTATAACGAGAGGTCTCGTAGTTAAGGTCACTGCATGCGGGAAAATATCGGCGAATTAGTGTCTGGAAGACAATAATTCAATATCGGTACATTTATGAAGATTTTGATAACATACAGGATTTTCTTTTAAAAAAAAGTTCACGTTCTCTTATTTTAGAACTTAACCATTCAAGTATATAAAACATATTAAACTTTTTTTTAAATTTGAAGTTTCATATGACTTTAAAACAGCAAGGTAGGTCTCATTGTTTTAAAGGTCGTTTGACATTTTATAAACTTAATGGTAAGCCATCAATTTTGGTTAGTAAGCTTTAAATATCTGCACACACTATGTCACAGTTTGTTATCAAACCCGAAAGTGTGACTTATTAAACGTGAAAGAATTCTATGGAACGATTTTTATTTTTATGTTTTACAAATATGAAACGGGCGAATAAAAATCAACTGACATACACTTGTTATCTTCTCATGCTTATATTGGTATGATGTTCGTGATTGTTTTGTTTGTTTGTGGGTATTGTTTGTTTTGGTTGAGTCGGGTATTGATGCTTGGTTTGGTCTATTTAAATGTCTAATAATTTTTGTCATTCCTATCATCCTTTTTATGCAATATGTATTAATAATACATGTATTTTATAAAGTCGTCATTAATTTTTAAGTAAAAACAATACAATAAAACTCATGCTTATATTTTTTTTCATTTTAGAAAAAGAAAAATAGAATCTCCGCCAAACGACATTATAATTGGACAAGCACCTCGAAAAACAACATTCATCAAATGATGCATCATGTCCCAGGAGAAAAAATCATTCTCAATAGAAATAAAAATATTACATTACTTTATTAGAAAAAATCCACTAATTAAGACGACTTTGTCTTTTGTAGAATTGTATTTTGCAGTAGTTTGTGAGAGCAATACACAATGCATAGATAGAAAATGGGAAAATAACAAATATCAGTTTATTAGAAGTATATTTTTTTATCGGAACACCAAAAACACATAATAAAATTTCAAAAGTCGCTGAAATGTTGCAGTGATGGAGTGGGGCTGTATAATCGTTTTGTAATAACAATTCATGATTACTATTGTAATTGCAAACAAAATAAAATGTATCAATGACCAGTTGTAAGTACTTCTTCCAAAGATATGCACTTTCTGCTTCTTAAAAGTGTTCTGCCCCCTTTCCATTTTACATTGACTTCAATGCACCTTTCTTATTTCTAATTGGTTATCAAAGGTACCAGGATTATGATTTTATACGCCAGACGCGCGTTTCGTCTACATAAGACTCATCAGATCAAAATAGTTATAAAGCCAAACAAGTACAAAGTTGAAGAGCATTGAGGACCCAAAATTCCAAAAAGTTGTGCCAAATACGGCTAAGCTAATCTATTCCTGGGATAAGAAAATCCTTAGTTTTCCGATAAATTCAAAGTTTTGTAACAGGAAATTTATAGAAATGACCAAATAATTGATATTCATGTCAACACCGAAGTGCTGACTACTGGGCTGGTGATACCCTCGGGGACGAAACGTCCACCAGCAGCGGCATCGACCCAGTGGTGTAAATAGTTATCAAAGGTACCAGGATTATAATTTTATACGCCAGACGCGCGTTTCGTCTACATAAGACTCATCAGTGACTAAACCAGTGCTCTTTTCGTACATTTTGTGGACTTACACAAAGATACACGTTGCATAGTTTCTTTGATGTTTTTCTCCGTTTCCTTGTAAAGTTTGATAATTCGACTAAGGCAACATAAAACTAACATTTATTGTATCGAATATGACATCAAAATTTGATACCATCACTATAATGTATAATCAATCATTTACATCCACGGACCATTATATTCACGACGTCATTGGTACTTATAGACGTCACTGCTTCCAAGTTTATTTTGTGTCATTTGGCAGGAATACAAAATGTGGCGTATACGACCATGAAACAGCAACCTAACGAAACAAAAACAAAAAACCAAACTATTCGTTCGATGTCTAGATTTACTTGTGTACTATACGAACGATTTAACTTTGTTGCCGTTTTTGTGTCAGTCGTTCAGCCATACCAGTGTAAGCCGGTCAGTTCTATATTTTTATGCCCCCGCCGCGGCGGAGGGGGTAATAAGCGTTACCCTTGTCCGTCTGTACGTCAGTCCGTACATACGCCCATACGTACGTCCGAAAATTAGTTTCCGTTCTCTAGCTTTAGTTTGCCTCAACCAAATGTTATATAACTTGTACATAATGCTTATTACTACATAACACAGATCGTGTTTGAATTTGGGTGACGTCACTTTTATCGTTCTTGAGTTATGCCCCGTTATTAATGGAAAAATTGCTGAATTTTTCGTTTCCGTTCTCTAATTTTAGTTTGCCTCAACCAAATGTTAAGACACTTATACGTAATACTTATTACCATAAAATACAGTTCAAGTTCGAATTTGGGTGACATCACTTTTACAGTTCTCTTGTTATGTCCCTTTATAAAGTTATATGCAAGCGTGGGCATCAGCTGTGTCAATGGGACACATTCTCCATTTATTTTACATGATATATGATCAGCATGAGCCAACAAACAACATGTGCAAGTGAAATCAGGGGGAAACGGATGAACAGGTTTACCTATAAACGACCAATTGTCATGTTGTAAAAATGCGTGAAATTGTGAATTTTAGCATTTTCTTCTTTTTATGTCGTGTTTGGTATCAAAAGTAATTATTTCGCATAAGTAATTAAGTTTCAATATTTTTATTAAGCAAGAAGTGCATTTTGTTCGGGAAACAAGATTTTGGACTATTTTCAAATAATTTAATAAGAGACATTTATTAGTCGTGTTCGCGTTACTAGGAAATATTTATGGATCAAGATTAAGATTATTTCGTGAGAACACTTTTTGACAACAATGGTCATCAATGTAATTTATTTGTCAACACACAAACTGTATATAGAGTGAATAATGTCAATTAACACTAAGTATTAATTTAGGGTGCATTTCTTTCTAACCAAAATTTTGTAAACGTTGTGTGCCGTTTGTTATCGTTTGCTAAACGCTACAAAAGTAGAAACAAATACAGCGTTTAATCAGTATTTACTGACCCTGTTTGAACTTTCAATAATGCATGCAAATGTTGTTGGTAAACAGACTTATTACAAAAGTTGAAACAAACACATCGTTTAATCAGGCTGAAGTTAGAAACAAATGTAGCGTTTGTACTAACAAACGATGAACGACAAACTGTAGAAGCAGTTTTAGCGAGTGCATAGTTTGTCAAAGTTTAGGTAAACTTTGCAAACGTATGTTAGAAACAAATGATCAAAACATGTGCGCGCTTATCCGTTTGTATCGTTTGTGTTAGAAAGAAATGCACTCATTATCTGCTTTTGATATGTATATGTAAGAGAATGATAATCCCTTTCTTCATGAAGTAAGGGATTATCATTCTCTTACAAACTTAGAATATTGTAAAGTTCTCAAGGCTTTAATGATCTCTTGATTGGTTTTATTCATGAATTAGTTTCTTTGTCAGTGCAATGTTTATAATTGATGCATGACTTCCTTTTTCGGCATGTCATTTATGGATTAGTTTTAGTGATGTAAGGACTTTCTTATCATTTGGGAAATATTTTTAACAAAAATGCGTTATAGATATAAGTTGACACAACAGTACAAAGAAAATGTTGGAATTGTATATATTTACTGATTGTGAGTATGAATGTAAATCATGTAATATTTTAGTGAGGAATTATCCTTTTTTTATTATTTACTAATACATTTGAGTTACAACTAAATTTTATTTCACAGCCAATATTTTGGTCCGGCTTTTTACATCAAATGCTATTTCATTATGTCAGGGAAATGTTCAAATAAAATGCCTTTAAAAGTTTTTAATTTGTTCAAAACTTAAATTCCTTTTTTTTTAAAATTTTATCGGACTATTGGAAATAACTAATCTTCCCGACAGCTGATCCAGTAATCAAAGTTTTGGAAAGCTAAAGATTTAGGTTATTTTTTATTTTAAACTTTTTTTTTTCTTTTTTTGTATTGCTTTGATATTATTTAATTTCTTAGTAATTTGAGGTTATTAATATTATCATTATTACATTTAGAATTCACGGTACCAATTTTACTGCACCAGTAAACTTCAACTTATTTTAAGTTTGTTGTTTGTTTCACGATTCAATTTTTAGTCAGTTTCAATCACTGTGTGATAAATCCTTTCAATCTGATCATGCTGATAAATGTGCTTCGGGACAGTTGTAAATCATTTATAGAAACTCTTTGTTTTATAAAGGTTAATTTTGAAACGAAAAAAAGGGAGGTAGAGAAAAGAGAGAGAACCATGTGACGCATCGGTTCGCCCCGCTCTCGATCTGCGAGTAGCGGCGGGTTAATGTATGTTGCCATGATTACTGTTTTGTAAATATGTTTTATGAACTGACTGTATATATGTTGGATGGAAAAATAAAGTATGTGAACGTTCATGTATCCAGTCTTCTGTATTGATATACAACAACGTCCTAGTATGGATTTTTTGTCATCTGAAATTGGACTTAGTTGTTGGATTGTAAAACACAGCTATTTGTCTATGATGGAATGGATTTACCAAAAACGAAACACACAAACGAAACAAACACCATTTTATAATCAACTATTTTAGTTACGCCGAACAAAGGATTTTCTAAACACGTCAAATACTAGGATTTTCAATTATCACCCTTTTACGGACAGCCTTGTCCATTGGAATGTTGTCTGACCTTGTTTAAATGTGGTATTACATCATAACAATGTATGCTCATTAGGCATCCTGATTGACTGAGTGATTGGTACTTTTTTACTGAGCGTCCAGTGACAAATATTTCATGATAATCAGTAAGTGATGTGTTCAAATGGGTTTGATCTGAATGAATGCCCCGGGGAAGAGATGACATATTGGTAATGAACTACAATCCAAATGGTCCCACAGTGTAATCAAGCGTGTACAAACCTAGGTCTATCACAAAACGGCTCATTGGATTGAATATCTTGAATAAAAAAAACGACAGGACTGTGTAATTGTTCGCCAAGAAATCGTAATGCCTAAAGGGAGAGGTAGAATTACAATATAATGCTCTAATTACCCTTTGGGTCTCGTAGTTAACAGTCATCCTCTTCATAAAATAAAAGAGCCTATCTGGAAATATAGCGCCAGAAGAACATAGCTTTGCCAAAACAATTTTTGTCTAGATCTGTGATGATTTGTTCTCTCGTAGATGTGCGAGTATCAAACATTCCTCCTAAATCACCCACTGCTGTAAATATGAAACGTCTTAATACAGATAATATAGGCATCCAAGTACAGAAATAATTAATTAATAACAACCATATAATTTCAAAAGGCATAATGCAAATGAATATGCGTTTCTAAATTTGGTACATTTTATTCAGATGGGGCCTCGGTGGCCGAGTGGTCTAAGTAGTCCCACTACTGTATCACTAGCCAGTCAACACTGAGGTTGTGAGTTCGAATCCCGCACGTGGCAGGTGCACTCGACTGCAATCCTAATTGACTAGGATTGTCAGTTTTCCTACCGAAGGTCGGTGGTTCTCTCCTGCTTCCTTCACCAATAAAAACTATCCGCCACGAAATAGCACAATCGTGTTGAAAGTGGTGTTAAGTACCAATCAATCAATCAATCAATCATTTTATTCAGATAAAGCGAGCGTTTGAATTTGAATAAGAACCGTCCTTCACCATACCGGAGTACACTAATACAACACTTTTAAACTTTAAAAGGTGCTTTGTGCAGGTTGAATTTCCCTCAAACTTTAAACTTGACTGCGAAGTATAAATCAGTCAAAAAATTGCATCAAAATGATGTTGGATTGAAAATCAGCTTATCAGCTACACCACTAAGAAAACACAAAATTTTCAAATAAATTTGTCACTTCAATTGTAAGTTTGTTTGTTGATGAATACCACATGTTTAATGTTTTCTTGATAATAGGTGGTAATTGTTACATGAAGGAATTAATAGTAAATACACACTATTTATAAATGTGATTATTTAGTTAATAAGAAACATAAACATGTAAGACAAATTAAAATT